TTCTCGCGAGAGAGGTCCTCGTTTCTCCGCTAATGAGTGAAAAAACGATATCTTTTCGCGTTACGCAAAAACGTAACGAGAGTTTTTCTCGTCATATGATGTAAGGTATATCTTCTTCAAATCTTTTTTCCCGCCAGAGAGAAAAAAGCTTGGCGATGCGGTTTAGATTTTTTCGTCTTCAGTTTGAATATTAGGATTCCGTGAAGAGATGCGCGCGATATCTCCGTGGGACCCGAGTCACGTGATTGTACCCGGGTGTCTCGTGTCATGGGAATCAAACTTTTCACCGAGGATCTCTTCCGCAGGCGCTGGTTATCACATTTTATCCTATTTTTCTATTGTTCGCGATAAAGAACATGACGGGTGTAACAAGAATCCTCTACGTACACAACTGATTGTAAAATACAATGTGAAAGTATTAAAATTAAATTCGTCAGCGACGCGAAGCTGTAACGGTAGCCGAAACGACGACGTTCGCTTTCCGCGATGCGAAGACCCCGCGAAACGATGAGATCCGGTGCGCGTCCCCCCCCCCCTCCCCCGTCTGCGCAAACTTTCGCGGAATGTTCTTTGTCGGAATGATCCTTTGTGGAATCGACAGTCATCGCGCGCGATACGTGTCTCGTATTCCCAAGAGCGTTCGGTGTCGTACGGAGAAGCGTACGTGCGAGTATTCCGCGCGCCGGTGACAAGCAATTAGTACCGACAATTAGCACCGAGCGAGATATCTCTGCCGGCAGATCGTGGCCAAGGATAGTCGCGGCCGCTCTCGTCACGGGACTCAGCTGCCTTCGACGCGACCAACTAGAACCAGTTTTTTTTTCCTCCTCCTTCCTCCCTCTTCTTTTCGGCTCGTCACGATGCGCGAATCCTGACGCGTCTTCGCGGTTTTGAGCCGCGATAAAAAAAACAAAAAAATGTCGAGCGAGGTTCGATATGCCGATCGAGTTTAAGTTCGGTACACTGGCGTGTAACATGTCTACGTACCGAACAGTTTGCAGAAATACTTTTGAAATATATTTGCATCTATAAAAATATAATAATTTAATAATGTGTGCATTTTCGAAGTTTGAAACGCAGTTTTAAATCGTCCATCGATACTTTTATTACATCATAGTTCAAGAATATTGTTTTTCTGTATGTATATACAAAATTTTGTTCTCGTACGTACGTATGATTTATTTATTTTTTGTTTACGATTTTTTTGAGAAAATGTAATTCCGGCTGAGAATAAATAAACGCTATAATAATAAAAATAAATTTGTGTCTCAAAACAACGTTTTACTCAACATCGTTTCTTTCTCTCATTCCCGATGTGAAATACGACGAGGTAGTTTATCATAATATCTTGTTCGAAAATCTTTAATCATATTTAATACAGTTTCAGCATTATACCCCCCTGATAATTTATACGCGGATAATCAGACGCGACGCGCACGTCGATATATTTTATTCGGAGCCGTTAATGATACCGGGTCGAATTTACGGAATGCAGGCGTCGTCGATGTATTTATGAACGAGAGACGACTCTCTCGTGAAGTGTGCAGTCAGTGGTTCAGCCTTGCGACATCGGCGGCAAATTCCGTCGTAAACAGACGCAGATGCTGCTGCCCGCGATCATAAGCGCACCCGCGAACACACACACACACACAGCGCTACTTTCTCTCCTTCGCGATCCCGCTCCGGGTCCAAACCTAATTATCCCACGCAAGTGGCTCGTTGAATGCTCTACTTTTTCACGGGATTGCGAGAAAAATACACATATTGCCTTCGAGACTATCTGAAGTGGCTCGCGATAATTTTTCAGTTTTCTAGACGCACTTGTATACGTCAAGAGGAAGCAATGTTATAATATCTCCAAGTCTCTCATTAAAAAATCCATGTGTACCGCAAAGTGCGCGTTTTTGAGTCGAATGTATCGCATCTATTGTTACCTCCTTTCCGCGTTGCCGATTGGTTGGTTGATCGAGTCGAGTTGAGTCAAATCGAATCGGTAAGATCGAGAGAGTAAATAATGACAGAAAAGCGACTTTGACAGTTCGTCGTATACGTGGAGAAAACTAAAAACGTGACTAAAGTAAAGTCACGTGACAGAAAAGAGTAGAAAAACAACACGTGACTAAAGTAACGTGACTGTAATTTATAGTATATATATTATAATATATATTCCGTATAATATATATTATATAATTAATTATATATTTATAATATTATACATTATATTATATTATATGTGTATTACATACTACGGTAAGATCACTGATCTTGTTCACGTGACCGCGGCGGGGTCACTGACCTCGGCCGCGCGGCCTTGACGGGGTCACTGACCTCGGTCGCGCGGCCTTGATGGGAGGGGTCACTGACCTCGGCCGCGCGGCCTTGGTGGGGTGGGTTACTGACCTCGGCCGCGCGACTTTGGCGGGGTCACTGACTTTGGTCACGTGATTACGGTGTGTGTGTGTGTGTGTGTGTGTGTATGTATTATATATAGATATAGAATATTATATATGATATATATAATATTCTCGTTTTTACTCTTTTCCTTGTCACGTGACTTTAGTCATATGGTGTTTCTCTACTTCTCCTTGTTACGTGTTGTTTTTCCACTCTTCTCTTTTTTTAGTTTTTGAGTTTGATTTTCATGTGTTATTTCTGATATCTCTCATTTATACTTCATGGGTATTATATGGTTTGTAAGACGTATATATTAGCTGTCATCATATTTTATCGCGGTGACAGGTTGTGTTCACTGACACTACACGTTAAAATAAAAACAATAATAGCGTGCGCGCAGCGCGCGCCTGTGTTGTACTAATATCCATAAAATACACTTCGCACTTTACATTCTGACGCCTCGGATCGGAAAGTTCCTGAGTTGTTTTCGATATTGTATCGGAAACACGAAAACTTCGAATACGCGACGGGTTCCCCTAACGCGTTCATTAACGCTTTTATCGCGCAGACGCGCTTAAACTTCTTTGTCGCAGATAAAGAAAGCGAAAATGCTCGTCACTAGCGAGAAAAATCGGTTGGCCTCCGCCCGCCGACGGCGCCGAAACGAACGCCGTTTGTTTCTCTCCGTTTACGCAGTGGCGTAGAACCGCGCCGATCAAAAATAGAGAGATTTCTCTCCTTTTCCCGAGACAATCTCTCGACTCTCGCTTTCGCTCGTGCGTTTTTTCGCGAACTGCGCGCCGAGCGTGTACGGCCCGTGTCCCAGGTCGTTTCGAACGAAACCACGGGGTCATCTGCGATAAATAAATTCGCTCTGCGCGCACCGGAAGAGATATCGATACACGATTCGCTCGGCGCCAATGAAGAGCGCATTTTTGTTGGCGCGCGCGCGCGCGCGAGCGCTCTCTCGAAGAGCGCGCACTCGTGACCCGCCATGCGCGACGACACGGTAATTTCCAATTACCGTGCGACCGGCCCTTCGACCGGGCTCCATTATTGTAACGAGAGAAGTTAAAGGTCGATCCGGTTACAAGGATCTCTTCCTGAAACGAGCGGCGATACTCCACCTTGGTCGTAGCGGAAACGCGGAAAACAGGGCGGGTCCTCGTTTCGCTTATTCTCTCAGACGCGAGTAAATTCGATGCGAAATTATATTCCGCTTTAAAGCGGAACAACAAAAATTATTTTTCGAATGATCTTTTTAATATCGAGAGAGAGAGAGAGAGAGAGAAAACACCCGACAATGTGCTGGAAGAAGCTTATACGTCGATTGTGCATTCGATTCCTCTCATTCGCGAGATCTTTTTTTTTTCTTCCTCCGATTCGTCGGGGATGTCTGGTCGTTTCTCTGGTTACTTGTAAGCCGGCGCTGCTTCTTTTAGTTGCGTTTATGGCGCCAGTTGCGATGACGACGCCGGTGGTGGTACTGGCGAGGATACTGTTGGAGTCTCTCTCTCTCTCTCTCTCTCTCTCCTCTCTGACGTAGGTGGAATCCAGCCGCGCGGCGATCGCCGCGTAGATGTCCGGGCGCGAGTGCATTATGCATGTGCATAAGTTGCGCCTCGAGAAAAGGAAGGATGGAAAGCGAAGAGAGAGAGAGAGAGGAGGAGCACGAGGATTTTCTGCTACGGCGCGTCGCTTCCTTTCTAGGTTCCACGCCGAAGTGGTTCCTGCAACGCGATGATGCTCTTTGTGTGATTTGCCGTCGATTCTCACCTCAAAAGAGTCCAGAGACATTTTTGATATTTAAGTATTTATACAAACTGCAGGAAAATGTGAATCTATTTAAAAAATATACGAAGATAAAAGTTGACTCGACCGAAGTTAATTAACAACGATCGAATCTAGTGTTCGAAGGATTGATCGAGATTGTGGAAACCTACGCGCGTAGGTAGGTAGGACAGTAGTAGTTAATTAACCTTGTCTATATATTTCTCTGAAGCATTACGAGCGAACGAGAGTTTTGTATCGATATAGCAAAGTAGGACGTTTTGAGGATCGAGCGCGAGCATAGTAGGACACGCATTGCTCCCCAAAAGTGGGGAAGCGCGTCTGACCCGCTTGTAACACAAGTAGTTCATTGACTGGTCTCTCTCTCTCTTTTTCTTTCTCTTTCGTCTAGTCCGATTAGATTCTCGAAAAACGATTGAACACTTGAGACGTTGCGAACTTCGACTTGAGAAGCCCCCGAGTCGTAAAAATCAAAAAATCGTTTCTCATTTTTATTTAAAACAGAAGCGTGTGTTTTGTGGGTGGGAAGAAGAAAAACGGAGGCCGTCCGATCCGTTTATACAATCCCGCGAATAAAAAAAATCGCGCGCGAGAGGAACAATAAGTCCCGCTACGTTATTTGCATATCGAAGCGCTATTTCATGTCCGCTTATAATTGCGATGCCGGACCGCGCAAGGAGGAGGATTTTGCTCCGACCCTGAGAGAAGGTGAAACGAAGAGGGAGAATCGCGACAAGAGAACGCGAGAGAGGATCGAGGTGGTCCAGAGAGCGAAACACGAGACGGGGATCTCTCTCTCTCGGTGTTGGACTCTCGGTGTTGCTCTCGAGCGCGCGAGGAAGGAAGAGAGCGAGGCGGAGAGGAGCGCGCAGAGGAGGTTTCTGCTCTCGTTGACTCCGGCGACGGCCAGTTTCAGACTCGGCGTTGCACCGTGTGCCACGCGATCTCGATCTCTTTCTCTTTCTTTCTTTCTTTCTATCCTTCGCAGGCGGACGGGCCGCGAAGATGTGAAGATCGTCGTGTCGATCGCGAATTCCCTCGTCGAGTAAGAGAGCCGTCTCCTGGTCGCGATAGAAATGACACCGCGCGCACCGCGTAGCTGCGTGGCCGATCGAGAGGAGGTCGTACGCGGCGAGTGCAGCCCGTGAAAGATCGGGATCGAGATCGCGACATCGCGACGCCGACGAGAAGCCTGGAAAAGTCGCGCGATCGATAAAGCGCGATCGAGTGCGCGCCGAGCGTTGAAGTCTCCGCCTCGCGTCGTCGCGAACGAGCACGTGCGGTTTTTCTCTGTTGCATTTCGTTCGTCGTCGGTATGATGATCTATCAGTCGAGTCACCAGGCGCCAACGATGTCGTCCGCGAGGAAGACGTCGCCGAGACCGCAACATCGCAATTTGCAAGCGTCACCGGCTAAGTGCGCGAAGACGAAGCGGGCGAACGATCGGGCGGTCAGCGACGAGAGATGCAGAGGCAGATGCAGAGTACAGTGGAGCGAGAAGCACGTGAAGGAGGGCTTGGTTCTCGTCCAGGAGGCGCAGCTCGCCAGGGTAGTGAAAACGAGACCTATCACGGAGCATTACGAGATTGATCCGAAACCGTTCGCGAGGTGAGTCGATTTTGCAACGTATGAGAGTCTCCGTTACGATTTTTCTGTATTAGAAAATTTTGCTATTGGAATGGTGTGAAGTTTTGTTAGTACACGTGTAAAATTTTGCAAAAGTCACAGTTTGTTAAAATTCAATCGCACTGTGCGTGTTGGTTAGGTTACATAAATTTAAACATTTGTAATATTTTTAGATCTGGAACGATTATGCGTTCAGTCTAAGAATGTCTGTGTGCGCGCGAATTCCTGAACGAGCGCGCCTCGTTTAATCCCGACGATCTCGTCGCCGCTCGTCGTCGCGGATGGCTCGGATCGCGTTGCACGCAACGAGCCACGCACGATGATTAATCGCCTTCGGATGCGACGCGTAATTTGTCAAACCGTTACGCACGGTAGCAATATGCGCACGACGATACGACGTGACGCGCGTCGCGCATTAATCATATTTATTGCGCCCCGGCTAATCGCGCCGCGCGCGAATTAGGTCCGTAATGATCGGCCGGACGGAGTGACGGGTCCGGTAATAAACCGCCGATTGGCCAACGTGTAATTTTCGTGCTAATAATTTAATTTAGAGTCGCGCGTTGCATTGCACGCACGGCACAATTTGCCGGGGGAGAGAGGAACGGGGGCGCGCGATTTTCTCGTCGTTTATATTTACTTTCGTCGCGCGCGCGCGAACTTACTTTCGCTTTCAAGAGATTAATCGACATCTCATCGTCATTTCGATTATAGCGCGCGTATCTCGCAAATAAAAAAAATATTTAAAATACTTAAACTGTTTAGCGAATAAAAAGAAATTTTCGAGAAATGTTAACAAATCTATCACGAGCAAAATTTACTGCTTTTCATTTATTTTTTTTTTTTTTCCCGATGTAAATACACAGTGCTAATCACGTCATCGTTTTTTAATCCCAAAGCTGTCTCTCGTTGTCTCGCGAGAGACAGAGATTTAGCACAAAGAGCACGAAAGTTTGTTCAGTTCGTTGTCGTGTGTGTTTGCGCGTCCCCGCGCGGGGAGAAACGTGGGAGAGAAAGAGAACGTCGCGGTGGAATGGGAACGTATCGGCCTTCTCCTCGAATATATATCCTGGTACTGATTAATCGAGGGATCGATCGCCCGGTTATTAAACCCAAAAAACTGCGATAGCGACTCCACTTTCGGGAAGACATGATAAAAGACCCGTGAACGAACGAGCAAGCGTTTATACTCGCGCCGTTCTGTACTTTAAAGCGTTTCATATTCATGGATATGTTAATGGCGCGCAAACCATTTTAATGGATAGTGTCGGCGTGTGCGCATTGATAACTGGACGCGCTTGCTCTCGCCGGGTATATCGATATCAGTCGAACGCGATTGCCTCGCAGCGCCTTTGCATCGCTAATGAGGCTGATTTACCTGCTGCTCCGGCACACAAAGGCTTCTCACATAATATCGCACACGCAAACATGGACAAGCCCGCGGATAGTCGCGCGATATATTCGCGCAGACGTGTTTATACGTAAATATACATTTCGCGATCGACGACACCGCTCGCGCGATTAATAATAATAATAATAATAATAACAACAACAACAACAACAATAATAATAAACACCGAACACACTATTATTTGCAATAATTGAAATGTTGAAGCGCTTATATTGCAACGGGTACTTACTTATGCACCTCTTATGCTCGAGACGTTTTTCATTACATCACGATACGGCTGAGTCACTGTGAGACGGAGACGAGATCGAGCGAGAAAACAAAAACGAAACGTATAGAGAGAATATATAAATTTTCATAAGTTATTCCACGCTCGCGTTGGCTTTCAACACCTCTCCCCCCCGGGAGACGAGGGCGATCATTACGCCAGCAATCTCGCTAAAATCCAATTTTCTATGATTACTACGCTCGATGAGAGTCCCCGCGATCTTTAATAACAACACGATTGGCTCTTTAATCGTCGCGCGCTCCCGTATGCAGCGGCGTATTTTATTCAGATAATCCGATGTCCTGGCGATTCCAATAATCTTTCTCTCTTTCTTTTTCCTCTCGTTCGTGTATCTTCGATACACATCCGCGCTCTGCTCCCGCGGTAAATTGCTTTTAGAACCGAGCCTTGAGCCCGCGCGTTTAAAGGGCAGCAAAAATTGCGATATCGCCCCTCTCCGTTTGACGAACGATCTCGCCGCTTTTGTTCGCTCCATCCGTCCCAGGTCTTTTAACCCGAGACGAATGGGAGGAGTGGAAAAGTCCGGGATACCAGTCGGCGTCTTAAAATTGGAATCGATTAAAGTTAATTGCGACCCGCTATCAGATGCTCATTATCCTTATCGCGCGACCGCGAAAGGACGCAACGATGAGTTGTTGATTCGCACGCGAGAACCGATGCACTTCCGTGTTTCTAATTCACGAGTGTGATGTATACACACAGAGACGCGCCGACGACGTTTCCCATTCGCTTCGGTTATTTCAATGGATTAAAGTCGTAACGAGAAATAAACCGACAAAGCTGATCCCTTGTGTTTGGATCTTCGATTATCTCGAACCGACTGAAAACAGAACATCGAGATATGATATATCGATGTAGAAAGTTGATTCGATATCATCTACGACCGTATATCGCATCGTCATTTATGTAACACTCTCTCTTTCTCTTTCTCTTTCTCTTTCTCTCTCTCTCTCGCTCGCGCGCGCATATAAAGGTACTCGCTTGAATACTCGGGTGAAAATGTGAGATATACGCATTACGAGCGCAGCCTTGCCAGGCGCCGCTGTGTCGACCTTGCTTGAAGAGACGACCGGAATCTTCGGCGGCGATATATTGTGAGACTCGGCGCGCGCAATGAAGAGTGCGCACGGGATTGTAAATAATGTGGATTACTCGGTGGAATGTTTCGAAGAGAGAAAATATATACGCGACACCGAGTACCGCGAACGAGTACGAATGTGCGCAGAACACAGCGAAAAGAAGAGAATAGCAGCTGTATATTATTGTCACGGAAATTATAAACAGAGAAATAAAGTAAATAATTCTGTTAATTCATTAAGTTAATTAATTAATTAAATATAGTTACAAAAAAAAAAAAAAACAGCGGAACTAACAGTCGCGTCAAAGTGTGACCTCGCGGAAAATTTCGAAGACGCGTAAAAGGCGATCGATAACGATCGGAAGGAGGTAACAGAGAAACGTGACGAAAGGTATTCGAAATGGTAATGAAGGATTCCGGGAAGGCGTTCTCCTCATCGGGCATTGACTTTTGCTTTTCGAGGACAAAGTGAATTCGTCGTGAAAATGTAAAGTTCACTGCCAATAAAAAAAAAAAGAAAAAAAGAATCGAAGCTGGCACGAATGAAAGCAAAATTGTGTTGGCGTACATGTTGCTCGAGAGAACTTGTAATTTGCCACATATTCATATAAATTCTTCGTTTTTTTTCCTCTCCTTCGCCTTTTCTCTCATTATTGTGTATTTTATTTTATTTGCATATCATTTTACGTTCCGCGTAATTTGTTTTTTCATCGACTTTTGCGTCAACTTGAAATTTTGGATCGTGCGAGACTTACGTTTTGCGACAAATATGAAAATACTTGACTCTTTGCAGTTTTGCAGGATCGGAACAAATGTTAACAAAATACGTTTGTTGATGTTATTTGTTGAAAACAGCGGTCAATGGGCGAGAGTCTATCGCTGCAGGTCCCGATCGACCGGCATACTTTACGCGGCCAAGTACTCGTCAAGAAATCGATTCAACGCCGACTGCAGCGCGGAACTGAGACACGAAATTGCTCTGCTGTCCCTGTGCTCGCAATCGCCGCGTGTCGTGAGACTGCACGATGTCTACGAGACACCGAAGGAAATCATTTTGGTTATGGAGTAGTAAGTGTACTATGTGTGTGTTTCTCTCTCTCTGTAATAAATTAAATATATATATATATATATATATATTCACTTTTTCGCGCAATATTATTATAAAAAATATAACGTAATTTTATTATTAACAGAGCGTCTGTTAAACGCTTACGCAATCGCTCGTACACGCCGGAAATACGTACAGGATGTTCAACTCTTCTTGGCGAAACGTGACGGAATCCTCGAGTATCGTCTTCGCGTTTATTATCACGATCGCGAGATAAACGCCGATTTTTTTTCCAGCGCGCCCGGAGGCGATCTGCAGACGCTCATCGATGGCGATTTGGTGCCTCTCGAAGGTGACGTCGTGCACTTTGTGCGGCAGCTAGTGGAAGGACTCGCCTACCTCCACGAGAGAAATATCGCCCATTTGGATATCAAGGTAAGTTCGACCCATAAAAGGTCGATGCGAATGCTTGTCACGGCTTCTCTCTCCGTGTGAATTCAGATCCCGGAACCCGTCGGGTTCGTTTCGACAGAAATTCCCATTTTCTTCGCGCAGACGAGCGCGAAGAAAATGTTTCCGAAGCTTCGAGAGAAAGAGAGAGAGAGAGCGATACAGATATTCTCTCACAAAAACGAGTTCTTTTGCTTCCAGATCTGTTCGTTTCACGTCGCGATCGTTTTCCAATACGTCTAACAATTCGAAATCGGACGATCGTCAAACGGCAGACAGGCTTCCGCCGTCCTACTTTCGTACTATAGGCAAAAATAAAAACACACACACACGAATAACCGATAGAGGAAAACGTTTTTGGCAACGAAGTCACGTTATATCGATCGACCGTAGTGATAAGCTCTCGAAAACAAATTGGAATCTCCATTTATGTCGATTCCAATATTTGTCGCGCACGGATAAAGGCTCGATCGCCCGAAATCTTCTCGGATGGGAGAAAATAAAAAAAAAAAAAAAAAAAAAAAAAAAAAAAAAAAAAAAAAACGAAAATCACGAACAAATACACAAGCCTGTGCTCGCCCTGACGATTTATCGCGTTCGCCTGCTGTGCGCGCGTGTTATTTCAACATTCGCGAAAACGAAACTCGCTTTTAAGCTTTTACGAACGACGATATGTGCGCAGAAAACAAAAAATCGGGGGAGAATCGGACGTTCCCGACCAGACTCTCGAAACTTGACACCTTCGCGCGCGCGCGAACGATGTGTTTTCTTTCTTCCGCGGAGAGTCGCGTATCGGTGTTGATTTCCTTCGCCAGTAGGAAAGAAAGAACCAGCGGCGGTCCAACGACACGTGATGTATCGCGACTTTCAGCGCAACATTTTCTTCTTGGCGACGTCGCCGTATATTATCGCGAAACTCGTCTTAGCGCATACGAATGTATGGCCGTTGGCGAAACGAATTGTCTATTAAACAACGAAGCGGCGCCTCATTCACGAGCTCGCTTTTTTATTCTCTCGAAGCCGGTGTCTTTGCTATTTTTTTTTTTCTCTCGCGAGTATCTTTTGCCGATGAACGACTCGCTCATCCGGGCCGGAGGTAAACATCTCGACTGGTTCACTTCTGTTCTCTCGTATCCCCTTTATTTCGGCAGTAAAACGTTCGTCTCCAACGGCGCAATTAAGCGCAGACGACACGCGGCAGTCGACATTTTACACGTTGAGAGAGAAAGAGAGAGAGAGAGAGAGAGAATTCTCTTTAATCTCCGACGGTCTTTAATCTCGACAGCATTGTTTTTTATCGCTCGAACGAAGATTCTTTTGCCGTTCGCGCGCGTATAAAAACGTCGGCGCGACGTTTTGGAAGTCTCGAAAACTCGAGCGCGCCGCGCCCGTGTGTCTCACAGAGCGTTTTTATCACCTCGCGATAAAAAAAATTTATGTTTTGACTATTTGTTTCGGCGTCTTGGAAGTCTCGAGCGCGCCGCCCGTGTCGCATCTCGTTTAACTTTGTCACCCCGCGCATATAAAAGAATTCATATTTTGACTATTCGTTTCGTCGCGACCGTCGTCGTTTCGCTGTACGCCCGACAAAATATTTCACGATTACGTTTCACAGTCGTGTCGTCGGTATTAATTCGTATCCATCGCCGTCGCTCTCGGAGCTTTCATCAAGTTTGAACCGTATCTTGGCGCGGTTGTGCTTTTACTGTCCGCAGCGTCTCGTCATCGTTAACTCGCTAATCAAATTAGGAAACACGACGGCGGCGCCGAGAGAGAACCTCGTCGCGTAAATAAATTCGCGTCGTCGTCGTCGTCGTCGTCGTCGGGCGAGCGCGCGATCGCGTGAAATCTCGGCGTGGGCGTCCGCGGAAAAATAAGCCGGCGACAACACAAGGCGCGCGAGGTGCAAAAACGCGCGCGACCGCTTCGCGCCGTAAAGTACATTTTGATTCGGACGAGGTCGTCGGATCGCTCGTTACGGGAGAGGATTCCCCCTTGTTATCCTCGCTGCGAGAGGAGCAACATCCTCGGCCTCGAGGTAGCGGATATAATACCCGGTGTCGTTCGACCGTCGCCGCTTTTTCTCCGAGATGCGCGGGTTAAGGTCGAATTTGCATTGCGCATCGACGAACAAAGAAGAAGCGCTCCCGCGAGAGAGCGGTACGTGATTCATTAACGAGGTAAATTAAAACCCGCGCGTGAATTATAAGTCGATTGATATTTATTGCGTTCGGCTGCGGTGACGCAACAAAATTAACTCCGACCTATACCGGGAGCTCTACTCAGGTTGCTCAAGTTTCCGTCGAATAGGGTACCACCACCTGATTTATTTCGTAAGCGCGGCGTTTCAAGCTGCAACGCGCGTGTACGCGCGCTTGTTGCGTACGACGTGAACATTATTCCCGCGCTCCATAAACACGCTACTTGCCGTATTTGGGCGCAGTATATATAGCGCGCGCGCGCGCGCGAGAAAAGAGAGAAGGAGCGAGAAGAACGTCTCTTATACGCCGCGATTTTTTCTGCGAGAGAAGAGAAAAATATACGATAAATCACCGCTAAATTCGATCGCTGATTACGTTGAAATGTTCTCGAAACGCGGAATTCGGTTCGTAAAGGATAAACAAAAAGTTCTTTAAAGATCGGCGGGGAGCCGATGAGTTCGATGCCACCCGACGCGATCTTCGTTGCAGAACGCAATCCTGGACAAAACTCCAGTGCGCTGAACCAGATCCGGCGCAAATACACGCAGATATCTCGCGGCGTGTTGCTTGCGAAAGAGATCGCGCGGTAGTTTTAGCGCGGGAAAGAAAAACGGAACGCGTGCGCGCGCTTCTCAGCGACACAGGCGCTGTTTGCAGGACCGCGAGCGACCACGCCCTGTTTCTTCGCGCTGTTACACGCGCTCTCCGGTGAATCACACCTGGTTCTTACCACCTCGACGTTTGCTCCGCAACGTCTGGCCACCATAACTGGAGCACGGTTCCCGATAAACCGAGAATTCCCGCGAAGGGGAAATCGCGACGCGGCCAACGACTGTGTTGTCGAGTTGTGTTGCGGTGTCTTATCTCTACATGCGCGCGTTGTGAAAACATTAATATTAATTTCCGTACCGCACGGCTGGAAGAAAACAAAATAAGATGAAACCACATTTATTTAAATGTTTTTTTTTTTTTTTTTCTATTCTGCTGAAAGACAAACACATTCTTTGACTGAACAGTCAGACGACGTGTATTCGTTCGAGCCCACGCGCTTGTTTGAACGGAAAGATTTTTGTCGAATTCGTGTGGGATTTATACGATTCTTCTGAAGAGTCTTCTGCACGATCATGTCATGTGATATATTTACCGAAACGTTTATATCGCGCTGCAAAAAAAAAAAAAAAAAAACTGATTTGCGAAACGCGGCTCAATCGAAGGAGCAGGAGCTCTCTTTGCGTCGCAATTCGGACACGCGACGTTCGATCGCGAGTTTCTGGAAATTGAGGCGCGATCGCGAATTATAATCCCGTCGCGCGCTTTCTAATTCGTCGCGCGCGAAAAATCCGTCGCGAATTAGATTTCGCGATCAACGACGAGAACGCGCGTTTGATCTTTCAAACGCGAAGCGATCCGCGGGAATGAGAATCGCGCGCGTTTTAATCGTCGTCGTTTTCCGCGGAAAAGCGTCGTCCCGGCAGAAAATAATAAATCTCTGAAAAAGGCCGCGAATAACGACGACGCGAAGAGATGCCATTCTGATTGCGAGCGCGCGATTGCGAGTCGCATTATTCTTTACGGTCTTCCCACTAGTGGTAGTAGTACAACCTATTTATCATTGCGCCGCGGCGCAAGAGTGTGTACGGACGGAGGAGCGCGCGCGGAGCTTCTGCGCGATATTATTGTGTCGTAAAGCCCCGTCCGTTGCGGGCGAAGTGCCGCGACCACGTAATATTCCCTCGGCCACGTAATGGCCCCGGTTCGAGGGGGGAATTGCGTATCTCGAGGGCCGAGAGATTTATTTTTACATCTTTTGTCATTATTTATTAGTCGCGCGCGGCCCCAGGAGAGAAACTTTGAATATTCAGACGCGCGCCTACGTGAAAATGCGCGCCAAGGCTCTCGTTGAAGCGACGACGATGATATCGCAGCTAATGACTGAAGAAGGAGGAAAGAACTGCTCGTCGTCGCGGAGGGGAGCTAAATCGTGTGACATTGTTCTTTTTTTTTTCTTTTTTGTTTGTTCATCGTAAAATGTTAAATTTTTCTCGGCGACCTTTTTCAGAGGCGACACCCACCCACGTGCGCGCGGCCGGTCACCGTTTTATCATATCTTGCTCAATATCGAGAGAAACGCCCCCCCTCCCCCCCCCTCGTATACGAGACGCAAATCGCTGCTCACCGGATCGATCGGTGAAAGCGATTCTAGTTTCCGAATATCACCGGTCGCGCCGCGCGCGCGCGCGTGCGATACACAATCGTCGCGATCTTTCGATTATGTCAGCGATTATAATAACAGCCTTCGATTCGCCGGCGCGACCTTCATTATACGCCGGTTACGGGCGATTTATGGTAATTGGATTTGTCGGCGTGTCTTTGAATTCACGGCGATCGGTTGCAAATTGTAAGCGCGCGCGCGCGCGCGCGGTTTCACGTATAAGAAGCTACTCTCTTTCGTTACGTTTCCATAAGCTATCCCTGATAGATACTCATCGGCCTTTCGGATTCTCTTTCTCACGGCTAATTATTTTATGCCCCCGCTCGATCGATCGATCGATCGATCGAACGGATACGCGGCGCGACCGTTGAATTAGAAGAAAATATATGTATATGTATATCGCCGCCTGTGATATATAAATAAATCCTGTTTAGCCAGCCGGCCCGTACGGTCGGACAGATGGTATTTACATTATAAGCAGACAGACGCCGCTATTCAGCGCAGGTCGATCGTCGCAAAAAGACCGTCGAAATAACGACGCGTTGCTGCGCTTCGTCGAGTTGTGCGCGTCCGCGCGTCTCGCTGAGCTCGTCTTTATGTCGCGCGAGGAAGTTGTCGCCGAACCGAGATAAGGGGTTGAATTGCGATAACAACGGAAGAATACAGAGCGCGAACTCGGAAATCGCGACGTTCTCGCGCGCGATTTCCGCAATCTAAACGGCACGTACGCGCGTACACCAAAATTCCATCTCGCGAGCGACGATGCACACCCGGGGCTACTCCGGTAACGCGCGATACCGGAAATCGCTTCCTGTGACGTCGTTAATACGCCGCACACTCTTATCTGTGGGCGAGCACGCGGAAGACCGATTGTATCCCTTTGGTTATGACCGCGATAAAATCGGCGACGGACAGTTCGAGATGCGAACGCGCGCGTTCTCGCAGAACCGTCTCGCTGCTCTTCCATACGAGTGCAAGTCGTTCCGAGAGTCCAGTCGACCAGCGAAAGAACGTTGATTTTTTAAATTTTATTTCGTTCGCTTTTCTTTTTATAGATAAATTGGATGTGTCGCGAAGCGATTTCTGATAGTTTTGAAAATTACGCGAGAAATGTTGCTTTTTTTCTCTTACAGCCGCAGAATCTGGTGATGATGGGTTTGTTCCCCGAATGCGACGTCAAACTATGCGACTTCGAGATTTCGAGAGTGATTCTCGAGGGCACCGAGGTCCGGGAGATCCTTGGCACGCCGGATTACGTCGGTGAGTGTGGTGGCGTTCAATATTTCCAGATTGTTATCGAATTATTTTGTAATTTTACACACACACACACACACACACACACTTACACGTTGATACAAAAATTACAATCTCGAATTTGTCATACGAATAATTGAGATCCCGCGTCAGACACACGCAAAAATGAATTCTTTATTACACGATCGAAACAAATAGCTTGGCGTGATTTTTTTTTGTTTTAAAACATTATTAAGCATCGTTCGAGATTTCGTAAGTTTAATTTATTCATAAATCCCGTTCTGGCTCGCAACAATCGGGAGTTCGTGCTTGTCCGGTCCGAGTTGACGAGAGATCCGGGAGATCGACACCGATAGCGGCTCCTGACAAACTTCCTTAATCAGGAAACAAAAATATAAATTGCCGCGTTTACGGCTGTCGAGATAACGTGTACCGGGCATTACTCGCTGTCACTCGGTTGACGTCGGCGACGGGGGCGAGGGGGGCGAGGGAAAGCAGTCGTGTCCCAGGTGTGGTGTGTGTCCGCGCGCTTTGCTCTTTGCCGCGCGGCTTAATTGCCACCGATCATTATCTGGGTCCACTAATTGACGATCACTGCGGCGAGATCGCAAATATAATCGATATTAATTGACACGTTAGCCTCATTGCGCGGCTGCCGAGTCCGTGGACGTGCGCCCTTAATAAACTCCGCCGGTTGCTCACGGCGTGTGCTCATGTGTGCGCTGTACATACGCGAGCACACACGACGGCGGGGGGTGGGGGAGGAGGGAGGAGAAGGTGAGGGGGTTTCTCTTCTCTCCTCCCATCGCGGTAATTGACGTCGGTCGCTTCAAATCGTGCCGTTTCCAGGCAAGGTAATCGCCGCGTCGTGGCCTTTACGTCGCGGAACGAAGTAAATAACAAAGTCGGACAGCCGATGAATTAACGTTCCCCCTTTGTGGCGCGATTTTTCTCCCGGTTCTCTCTCTCTCTCTCTGTTTTTTTTTCTTCTTCTCCCTCTTTCCTCGCGAAGAAATTGAGACGCGAGAAACACAATGCTTTTTTCGTCGGCGCGAGTCCAAATATGATTTGCAATTTTAAAAAAACGCGCGAGACATACTTATATACTTTCCTTCTCTCTCGGGGACTCTCTCGCCGAAGAGATTATTTATTATCGTTATTAATCATCGCGGGGTCTCTTTGTCGCGCGACGCCCACCCCAATCCTCTCTATTCGCCGAACGAAATGTCACAGGCGAACCGCCGCGGAGGTGGTAATACCGTTACCGTCTGCGCGGTGAAAAGCTGCTCTAAATCTCCGTCCGCTTAACGGGTTGGGCTACCTGTCGCGCGATTTAATTGACGCGCGTCGCAACCGCGCGCCCATCGCGACTATGAAATAATAGGATCGGCATAGTGTGTGCGGCGGTGGGTAGTTAAGATCCTATCGTCTCTCGGAGAAACCGAGAGATAATCCGGTCTGACGTTTCCCGACGACAGACCGGCAACAGTTATTGCTATCGTATTTCTTCCCAGCTCGCGCTGACGAGATGAAACTTTTACGGAAATTTTATTAGACACACAGGGTAGAGTCAATCGCTGAGATTGTAACGACAAGTTCTCAACGACGTTGAAATCTCGTCGGAGGCTAGAGACGATAAAGCGAAGCGAATCGACTCCGCGCGTCTCTCCAACACCTACGTTCGATTTTTTTTTTAACGTAATATACATAAATAAAAATGACGCGGTCGAGTGACATCACGCGCGAGGTCACTGGACACGCGAGGTACCAACGGACGGGGAAGAGAGACCTCGCACGTGAGATCGCTCAATGCACATTGTGCGCGCATGTATCCTTAATTATGTTTACATTTCTCTTTCAGCGCCCGAAATACTGCATTACGAGCCGATCACGTTGGCAGCTGATATGTGGTAAGATACCAAATACGACGGGTTTCATTGCCTTTTATAATATTTTTATGCAAGAGCACGCGCGCGCGCGTGGGATTTATGTTAACTCGATGGATCTGTTTTTCGGCGGATCCAGGTCGCTCGGTGTCACGACCTACGTTCTGCTCACGGGCTTCTCGCCTTTCGGCGGCGAAACCGACCAGGAAACCTTTCAGAACATATCGCTGGGAGAGGTGGACTTTCCCGAAGAGCTCTTCGAAGACATCTCGGCGCAGGCAAAGGACTTTGTCGCGAAGCTTTTGGTGCTAGACCCGAGGTAGATAACGTCGCACATCAAACAGATTTCTTCGATGTAATAAATAAACACGACGAGAAATTCACTTTTGACTTTTTGCGTTTCCAGTGCACGAATGACCGCGAAGCAATGCCTGAATCACGATTGGTTGCGCGGCGCTCCAACGCAGGCGTCGCCGCATCTGCGAAGATACCTGTCGAAGTCGAGGGAGGTTCTTCTTGAGCGCGTCGTCAGCCGTGAGAACCTGAGAAGAGTGGCGCTGATGAGCCAGACGACCAGCCAAGCGAGTCTCTGCCAAGCGGATGTCCAGAGCGAGCAGAGCCATCATCATCAGCAACAGGATCAGGAGGGTCTGCGAGACTGTCTGCTGAGCCAGAGCGAGATGTGTCTGAATCACTGTCTCACGGGAAGTCGTTCGAGCCTGACGGGTAGCGAGGGATTTCCCAGCCCGGCGGACTCCCAGGCCAGTCTGAATTCCTCCAGAACGAGTTTGAGCTGCGCGAGTCAGAGCACCTGCTTGCTGAACCAGGAACAGACGCAGGGACTGCTGAGCAAGGCCCAGAGTCGCTCCCAGGCCAATCTGAATCAGGGCCTGAGCCGCGGCATACTCTCGAGAATACGCAGTCTGAACCGCGTTCAGTCCCAGGCGTGTCTGCTGAACGGATCCTCAACGATCAGCACCGAGCGAACCGGCGCTTCGATGAGCATTAGCAAGTCCCGCGAGAAACTGTACGGTCTGAAATCCCTGTCCAAGTCCCAAGGCGTTCTGGACATATACCGAAGTCTCGAATGCTTGAAACGGCGAAGAAAGAGCTACCAGGGTGCGAAAACCGAAGACATGCTGCCGATTTTCAAGCAGCTCGATGCCGAGATCGCATCGTCTAGGCTCGCGGTCTCGATGAGCAACGACGATCGCACGATCGATGATGCGAATTCGGTGGCCGGTTTAACGTCTGAAAAAACCGAGCAGAAGATCAATCAAAATACGTTAATGATTTTATCGACAGATGAGAAAATATCAAAAAATTTTGTCAATCAGAACAATCAAGATGACGCAAAGCGCAAAACGATTCCGAAGAAACTCACTTCGGAATCTGAAGAGAATTTGGACTCCCTCAAGTCCGTCGAGTCGGACACACTGACGGAGGATTCCGACGAGATGCCACTGGGTCGCAACGCGGAGTCCAGTGACTTGAACAATCGTCCCTGCAAACGTCAACCTTCCGATGTGTCCAGTCGTTCCAACAACTCGGCGGGATCTGACGATAAGGAAGATCGCTCGACGGAATCGGAGACCGAGGAACCCAAATACACCGTCGCGCAGCTGGTCTCGGCGTTCAACAAACACCAGGAAGTAGCTTCGAAAGCAAGTCTGAAGGCGATAATGACCGAGAAACGGATCAACGAGGTGACGTTTCCGACCGGCACGAAGGCTCTACGTCTCTTCATTCCGGACATCAACATCACCGAGACCAAAATCGTTCGACGGAAGACGAGCTACAAGCCGCGAAAGAATTGGGAAGAGCTCAGGAAACGCAACGAGAAAAACGAGGGCGTTTTGAAGAGTCTCAACAACGATTCCGGCAACGAGGACGAGGACGACGAGGATGAAGCGAACAAAACGAAGGAAGAACTATCGCCTAAAGCTGAAAGAGATTTCACAAAGAGTGACAACAACGTCGCGCAGAAGTTCGAAATCGATTCGAAAGAGGAAATTGCGAATTTGGATCGATGGTCGGTGTTGCGACCCGAAGAGAGCAACGGACAATCGATTTTTGTCGACAACGCCAACACTCAAAGCCTTGTCGACACCACAATAGACGAGAAGTATAAACAGTGTGTGAAGGGCGCCATGTCCGCTAAGATCGAAACGTTCGAAAATAAGAACAAAAAATCTCCGAAGCCAGAAACGCAATTGAGGATTGCGATTTATCAGAAGGAGAAAGAGAGATTACCCAATTACATATATTCGGATCTAACTCCGGTCGAAGACGACAGCCGCGAAGCGCCTAAAAAAACAAACGTGGCGAATGGAAAACCGGAACCTAGATCGTCGAAGATCGAACGAATCGGATCGAATGTCGGCGCCGATACCGCGAACGTGAATCTGAAAGACATCCTGCAACGGGTGGACAGTTTTCAGAACACGCCCAAGAAGAATTTGGAAAACCTGAGGAAGAGGACGTCGATCACGAAGATCATCTTGAACGACAACCTCGTTTACGACAGCCAGGACGGTGGTTTCGGTGGCTGCAGAACGAAAAGCGAATCGCCCACAATCGACCAGACAGAAGACGGGGTGAAGCTGATGGTACCGCCGCCGTCTTTCATTCGGTCCTCGTCTCTGTCCAGCGACAGCAGCTGCCCCACGCCGTCCAGCGTGCAGTCTGACATAAATGTGTCGTGGGAAGACGTTCAGACTGTCTCCAGCATGTCTCTGGAAAAGGAGGACATGGGCAAGAATGTCGTTCCGAAGAGGAGCGACATTCAGCGAACGTCCAGCGAGGGAAGAAAGTGCTCGGAGGAGCGTAAGATTTGGGGACGAATCTGCACCGGTTCTTACACCAGAGCCATGGAGAAGTTCAGCGGTAAAAATATAGACACCGCGAAGAAGTCGATTCTCACGCAGCAAGCGGAGAAGACCAGAAGAAAGAGCAGCCCCGCAATGCCGCAACAGTACACATAAATCCTTCAAAATTTTTAGATAAATCGCACGTTAAAAATAATAAACAAATACGTTAAACTCTATCTTATTAAATGAAAAACTTGACGATGTAGACTAAAAAGGTCTGTTTTGATGTTCCTGAAGGAATGTAGACTGAAATCGCAACGCGGCCCTCTTCGGATTACAGCGACGCGGAACCGGAAATGCGAAGAGGATACCGACATGGACATCTCTTTTTTTTTTTTTTTTCCAGCGTGTCTCGTGTCTACAGCGAGGTAAGAGATAAATGTTCCGTCCCCGCGACCTTGACAGGTTGACCGTGAACGAGGACCTTGGGCGATTCACGGGCATTAGAAACTCCGTTGTAGCACCGGAACGCACCGGGGCTTAATGACGCGAAGACGCGTGTCAGCGATTCCGCTGACGAGAGACCCGTCATTAACGTCCCACTCGGTCGTGTCGGCCGGGCATGATCGATGGCACCGAGCGTCATCCCTTTGGCTTAATCTCCATATTGAGTGAACACTTATCTTTTCCGCGCGTGTAGAGAAGAGCTCCCCTATCACTGCGCGATGAAAATGATGAACGTGTTTTTTAGAAAGGCAAGGGTACAATGTATGAAGTATATAGCAAATGTAGTTATTTCAAGGTCTTTGACATCTCTGTCTTGATTATTGTACGCGCCACGCTTTTGTTTTCAAATTTTACAAATTTTTATGCGCAGATTTCGTCAATGCGATGTTTGAAAGTTTCGATAATCTTTCAGATTTGTGTACACGGAGGTTGTGGATCACTTCCTCATTTTTATTTTTTTTGTTATATTAGATGCCACACATGTATTTCTCTATGTAACCTAGTAATAAATTGAGTTATAAAGAACTCAATAGCTTTTCTATTTTCTTTATCATTAATATTTAATGTGTTCTTAATATCTTTTTTAGTCAATTTTGACGAATACGTACGTACGTAAAATGTTGTTGAAGCAGACACTAGCTTTTTATATTTTACATTATTGGCTTGTTACGGTATTTTTTTTTTTTTTTTTTTTTTTTTTTTATCAAGTCTAACGTTTTTGTATTTGCCCTTCAAACGTCGTTTATTTAACTTTGAACGTACCGGCACAATTCCGAGATATTTATCTTTCATTTTCTTTTATTCGAAAAACAGACGTTTCTGTTTTTTTTTTCTTTTAGCGACGCAGTTGGAAAGATAGATCACGATCGCTTAGGAAATATGTAATTAGGGGGTACGATCGTGAAATTAAAAGAAGGATTGCTACAGGTACACGATCACGGTCGCACAGCTTCTTATGGGATAATTGGTGGTGTGATTCATTCTAAGCAAATTGCGTATTGACGCGCGTACGCGTATGCTTTTAAAAGTGATTAGACCTTACAGGAAACTGTGCGCAAGGTGATCTCCACGGAAACGTGGCGAATTAAAAACCACATTGCCGAGAGAGGACTTACCTATTCAAGTTTTATCGAACAAATCGATAAAAATCCATGAATTGGCAAAATTAAATTTTATTATAATATAAAACAATTCTTCAAGTATTATTATTATTTTCGATCGAATAATAGCCGCTATGTGTAAAAAAAATATACATAAAGGAAACATTAACCTGATCACTCCCATCGACTCTTTCGCACTCTTTTCCGTTCTGGTTCCGACGAATTGGGAGCCTGGTTGTCCTGCGCCGTGGATTTCGGTGACGGAACGGTCGACGGTGGCGGCATGATTACCGAAGGTGGGGTGATCGTTTGTTCCCAAGTGTGATCCGACGACGCTCGGAACTGCGATATATATATATATATATACAGAATTAGCGCGAAACAATGTATTTTTAAATTGTATTTCCGCGCATCGCGAAATAATCAATCTCACCTGTGAATTATATTGACTTCGAAAAGCGGCTTTCATAGCAGAGAGTCTATCACTGCCGGGCCCGTGTCTTTCCAGCTTCTTGACCACCTCGCTGATGTCTTTGGACGCTTGCGACGTCGAACCGGACTAAAGGATGCAATTGTTGTTGCAATTACTCTAATAATATTAATTATATAAATCATCTATTAAATATCTACAATTCACATACCGCATTTGACGAATCTGGTCGTCCTCTGAAACCAAGTCCGGCCCCGCCAACGTTGATGCTCTTCCCTTTCCCGCCTTTGAACCTCGACTTCCTGAACCACGCGCTTTGCATAGCCAGATCTATCAAGCTCTTTGGCACTTCCTGATTCGCTCCTTCCAAGTTTCTCACTAAATATCCGGCGAACTCCTTGTCCTTTTCCGTAACAAGAGTATACGCCGTGCCCTTCTCACCGGCTCGTCCCGTTCTTCCTATTCTGTGTGTATGCGTATCGATATCACGCGCAACATCGTAGTTCACGACAGTCTTGATATGTGGAATGTCCAAACCTCGTGCTGAAACACATTACATACACATTTCTTGGTTAGAGTTGCGCGCGGATATATTTTCACTAACAACTTAAAAAAAAAAAAAAAAACGATCTAATTACCGGCTACATCCGTCGCGACCAAGGTACTGACATCCTTTTTCTTAAATGCCGTAATCACTTTGTTTCTCTCGATTTGATCCATATCACCGTGAAGAAGCAACACGTCGAACTCTTTCAATTTGAGATTGTTGGCAAGCTCTTCTGCGTTCAGCTGATGTGGGGGAGGGAGGGAAAAATATTAGATTGCACGCATCACCTTTAGCATTAACAGTTGTTTAATGTTTCGCACCTTCTTAGTGACAAAGATCAAAAGGCTACCGGCACTTAAAAACTCAACCAAGTTCTGCAACAGCCAGTTCCATTTACCGCTAGGATTGTTATGGAACATGATAACGTGTTGCGTCACGTCGGTGTTAGCCTCACCGACATCACCTTGCACTATCCTGATAGGATCCGTTAAAACGTCTCTTGCGAGCTTCTCTATTCGCTTTTTAAACGTTGCGCTGAACAACAGCGTTTGTCTGTCGGGTCTCACGTGATTGCATATCGATCGTACTTGCGGTTCTAAAAGAAGAGAGGCAGAGTATTAAAATTTCAAAGATTAATTACTGAGAGTTTTCACACTCGATCTATATGTGCGTCAACTTACCAAAACCCATATCGAACATTCTGTCGGCTTCGTCCAGAACCAAAAACGTAACCCTCGTTAAATTTGTTGCCTTCATCTTAACTAGATCGATCATTCTGCCGGGAGTCGCGACTACGATCTCCGCGCCGTTTTCTAACGCTTTGCTCTGTTCCCACTTGCTGCCACCTCCGTAGCAGCAGCACACTTGAATATTGTACACCTTTCCAAATTTTCTCGCCTCTTGATAGATCTAGAAAGATTACAAAGGATTTTATCTAATTTTTTGCACATTTCTTCGCTATTGAAAAAAAATTGCGGTCGGGACAATTCTACCTGTTGAGACAATTCTCGGGTTGGCGCCAGAATAAGACCGATGGGACCATCTCCGGCGCTCAACTGACGCTGGTCCATGATATGCACCAACATCGGCCAGATAAAAGCCGCCGTTTTGCCGCTTCCAGTCTTCGCGATGCCTATTATATCTCGGCCGCTTAAAGCGGCAGGAACAGCCTGCGCTTGAATAGGCGTCGGTTGTGTGTACTCGTTCTTACGTATGGCCTTGATCAGTGCGTCGTCGAATCCAAAGTGGCCGAAACTCGTGACCGGATTCGGCGGAGACGGTCCCGACACCTTTATACCCAAAGTCTTCTTCAGATCGTCGATCTGTTGCTTGCTTAAACTTGCGATTTCCTCATGCACGTTGTAAAAATTCTTCTCGAACGGTTCGTATTCTATTTCGCTGTGATCAATCGGAGGCAACGGATCAATATCTTTCTTTTTTGGTGGCGCGATGGGATTACCGTCCTCATCATACTCGATCTCCTGATCGGATTCTTCTTGTTGCAAGCCAGCAGTTGGATTTTCTTCCATGTACCTTGGAAATAAAATATACAAATTACATCGCTTTTCTCTTGTTGTGATTTTTTTTACAATCATTCAATAAATTTTATGTACCTGTAGTAGCTCTCTTCATCATCCTCTCCATCAATATCTGCCCGAAATCCCTTAGATTTATCCTCTTTTCGATTATCTTCTTGTTGAGCAGCACAATTATTTCGTTTTACCTCCGCATCAATACCCGCCATAAAAACGTCCAAGGGATCCTCTTCGCTGTCGCTTTCATCTTTCGTTGTCGACTTTTTCATTAGGTCATTTGTGGGAGAGCCAGGAGCAGGTATGTATTCCAGTGACGAAGTTGGAGGCTCGTCGTCGTCCTCGAAATATCTTAAATAACAATATCGCGATGGACATATTTATCTTTACATGCGATGTTGTTTGTATCTAGAATTAATCCTCACTCTTCCTCAGTTTTACTGCGCTTTTTAGGCATTCCCCAGCATGCGGACAGAGCGTTCTCTGTAATAGCGTTCATTGTATGATAGCCCTGTTTGCTCAAGGCTGAGTTTGGTGGAGGTGGAGGTATGTTGGTGCCACTTCTCTTTGCTCCAGGCATTTGAAAACCAGGGAAGCCAAAGCCCTTTGGCTTGCTACCACCTCCTCTGTGATAGCTCATTGTGTCAATCTTAACATAAATAAAATAGCAAATTAAAATATCATAATTAGAGAGAGATAAGATATCAATTAGACCTAAACACTGCGAGACTTATCTATCTCCAATACATACAACAATCAATTAAAATTACTTGTTTTTTCCTCGTTCGACAACATTTACACAATTAACTATAAACAGTTAACCTATTTCGTGCACAAAACGCAATATTCGGATTTTGTCGCAACAATCGTTACATATCATAATTTTTCGCAAACAGTACGCTCGAAATACTTCAATTCTGTGATTCAACACAAATTCAATTCCCCTCATGAATAAATGCATCGCGATAGTTGGAAATTAAAATAAACTATTTTACTTTGAAATTAGTGTCACTGGTAAACACGGGGCAAAGTGATCTCTCGTCGAACTTTGTGCGCCACGTCTTTTCAATACCGCGATTCATATTTTTACATCGCAATTACCTCGTACGCTGTGTGTGTTCAAGTGTTCATGTGTCGCTAATGTAAATGTACGTTGTATAATAATATCGAACGGTAAAACCTTTTACGGCATCACCTCCTCGTAGAGTTATCAGACCACCACTTCTGTCAAACAACAATCACAAACTACTGTGTGACGACGACCGTAACTGCGAAGCGGCTCGGCTTCGATCAACCATAGTTTTTCGTATCGTTGCTGTAAGATGGCACTACGGTAAGTTGGATCTAGCTGTTATTCAAAGCTTACGCGATGTCCAATGGAAGAAGGCCTTTCCCTAGAATGTTTCTGGATACAACCTCGTCGTCCGATTGGACTCTTTAGAGAATACGTTCTTCGTCGCGAGAGCCGTATGAATCCTTCATTACGGTTGCCACCACCTACCTAACATGGTCGTCGCAATTAGCACGGACTTAGGTCAGCCCTGACACATAGAGCACATGTTTACTTAGGAGCTCATTTTTTTGATTGATATAGATATATTTAATTATATTTTGACGAACCACAGACAGTTCTGATTCGGTGACACCCGGTCACGTGTAGGCGAAAGAATAATCGACGCGACCAAGAGGCACAAAGGGCTGAAAACGGCAAAAGATTGAAAAGCCTGAGCGAAGGTCGCGAGGACTGAAGCACAGAAGTTCAGAAGAAGAGAGAGAGAGAGAGAGAGATAGAGAGAGAGAGAGATAGAGAGAGAGAGAGAGAGAGAGATAGGAGAGGGAGAGGAGGGCTTTGAGCAAGCCTGACATAGAACGTTGTGTCACTTGAAGGGTGCACTACGTTCGGTGCGGTACTCGCGCGCGGACGCTCCTGGCGAGGACGCGGAACGTTCGGTCCTTTTTTTTTTTGTGTAGGTGTGTGTCCCGTATGTGCGTATGTGTGCACGGTTCGCAGGTGACGATATACGATGGAATTCGTGCAGATAAAGGACATCAGGGCGGGCCAGAAGAACATCAACGTTATGTTTATCGTTTTGGAGGTTAGCCACCCTACCATTACCAAAGAGAACCGCGAAGTTCGAACGTTCAAAGTGGCCGACCCTACCGCCTGCATGAACGTCTCGATCTGGGACGAACCTGGACAGCTTCTGATGCCGGGCGACATCGTGAGACTGACCAAGGGTTACGCGTCCGTCTGGCGGCAGTGTCTGACCTTGTATTCGGGCAAGAACGGCGAGATACAGAAAGTAGGCGAGTTCTGCATGGCGATAAACGAGCAGGTGAACATGAGCGATCCGAATCCAATGCTCGCGCAGCAGATGGTCAATCAGAGCGGTTCGGGTCCACCTGGCAGTAACGTTAACAACACCATCACCAACAACGGCAATGCCAACAGTATCTCCGGCCAAGCGGGACGGCAGTCTAGTTTGGTACATAACGTAATAAATAAAAATTTGTTATCAAAAGACAAGCGCCTCGCTTCAAGTTCACGAAGTCGCGCTCGAACGGCGCGAGGCATTTATACCAAGAGAATACCATCAGATGATGCAGAAAGCTGCAACGCAAAAAGAAATCGTAACAAATTTTGAAATCTAACATTTTTTCTGACTTTGTTTTATTATCGTTTTTTGTAATATTGGTTTTTATATTTTTAATCAATAAAATATTACGATTTTAAACATTTTATACATTTAGTATTTGTCAAATTGCGCAACAATTTCGCATTTTACCATTAGGCAAATTTGTTTTTGACATATTTATGCATTTTTCAGAGTGATATGATCAAAATTGCAACAACACACTGCTGTTATTCTCTATCGACAATATTTTGTAGTAATAACAATTATGTATAAGATATACAGTGAGGGATATAAAAGCAGTGAATTTTTTTTTTTTTTTTTTTTTTTAAATTAAGAACAGCTTTTTGTGATTGACATTTCTGAGTTTTTATTTACAAATAAAAGTGCTCGGAAACTCTCTCTAGTTTGATGTCATAATAGGGAAACCACGAAATATAGGGAAAATTATTGACAAATAATTTCTTTAAGCGAGTTTGAGCGAGTGTGAAATTTTTCAAAGTCACACAGGAGCCTTAAAAAAAAAAAAAAAAAAAAGAAAAAAGAAAAACAAGCTTTTATACCGCTCACTTTGTGAAGTCCGGTCTACGTAATTCGCAAGTTCAATTCGACCAATCAATCAATTTCGCGTGGAACCTGTGACTCGCGTTTTCTTGCGACTTTACGTAAAAAAAAAAACCTACCTACCGAACTTAGAAAAAAAAAAAAAACAAAAAAGTCATTTGCAGCGAGAGATGACAACGAAAGATTGGACAGTCGCCAAGTTCTGTTTCGCGTGTTTGTTTGTTGATGTAGATTTATTTATTTATTTATATTTTATATCTATTAACAGGAGAGAAAGAATCCCGTAAAAAAACAAAGAAGAAGTAACAGCAGCGAGAACGGAATCAGATCAGTAATACACAAAACAAAAAAGAAACTAACTAAAGTATGTATAAATACAAAAATCTTAATAAATCGATCTATCGTATATACACGCATTGCCAGCAGATCCCGGTCAAAGAGAAAATATCTTTTAAATATTTTCCATATATATACAAATAAATTCCAACAAATTACATTTTCTCCGTCGCGTGGCGCAATTCTATGTTTATTAGCCGACGTGAACGTATAGCTTGTACATACACGTTGTTAGAGATTTAATTACAGCTCGCGTGTACGAATCAGCCGCGTTCAATGTGGCGTAATTATCGCGAAATCATTCTCATTTAGAATTTCCAGTAGTTCGAACGGTGTAAAGGGCGCGCGCGCGCGTTGCTCATGTTTATTCGCATTCAATTTACGTGTAGAACTAACTTAGCGTTTAATTAGAGCAATTCTTATGTGTATCACGTGCGTTGCAAACTATTCAAGTGTGACAGACACGCTAACACATTTTAGCGTTTATCAATTACGTGAAATAACCGTAGGCCCCGCATCCGTTTCTTTATTTTATTTTTTTTTTTCAAACGTAACTTCACTATTATTTACTCAGTTTTTTTCAATTGCAGCTGAGGCCGTGCCGAAATCGCGCCAAACCACCTTCAATCCCTTTAAATAAAAAACAAAAAATAAATAAAAAAAAAATACCAACAAGTAACACGCTGTTGCTTGTTATAGGCGGCTCAAAGTAACGCAACGACTCCTAGTGGCGGTGCTGGTTCGACAGGTTCGACGACCGCGAAGAGCGGAAACGGCGGCGGCGGCGGCAACGGCAGCAACGGCAACAGCGGCGGCGGAAGTGGCGGCAGCGGCTCCGGTCTGCCCGGTGGCGGCGGCGGCGGCGGCTCGGTGCGGTATTCGTCGTCGGACTCGACGACGAAGTCTGCGCCGACAGGCAAGAGCAATTCGCGCGGCCGCGGCGGTTACAGGAACGGCGGTCGCAACGACCGGAGATAACACACGAGAAGGAAACGCCTGATCATATACGTGTAAACGGATGAACGGAATGAACGAACGTGTACGCGCGACAGATCGCGGCTAACGTGTAACGTATAATTGGTTTTCTTTTCTCTTTTTTCACAAGTTTTCGGATGTTTTCTTTCTTGCGACGTGTTTGCAACGCGTTTCGAACGAAACAGCATCGGGATCTACAAATCGCGGAGCTCGATTACGGATGGATTATTACTGTGTAAAAAAAAAAAAAAAAACAAAAACAAAAAAAATCAATTCTCGAGAACGAATACGAAAATACGCAGGTACATATCGCTCGTCGATGATAGTGATGTTTTTTCGGCTCTTTCTTTCTTTTTCCCGACTCTCTTTTACAAAATTGTAAAATGTTTGAAGAGTTCTATTACGCATCGTTCGTTCTTTACAGAGAAATGTAAAACTCGTAACATTTTTGGAAGTTGTGGAAACCTCGAGTGTTTTGTATTTATAAAACAGAAGTTGAAAACATATATACACGCGCGTATATATATATATATATATATACTTATATTTATATTAGAATATACTAAGATATGAAATGTATTTATGAATACTTAAATTTATTTAAGAGATTTATATAAGTTATTAATTTAAAAAGAAAATTAAATTTATATATTTAAAATTTACGTATGTTTTTTTTTATATGTTACATGGTTTTCATCACTTCCAAAAATTATTTTACACCGCTTCCGGCTCCTGTCTCAAAACAACAAAGATTTTCGATTGCTTTCGTTCCTTGTGAGATGTCTCAAAACAATCGTAATCGCAAGCGTATTCAAAAGTGATAGGTTTCCTTCCTCGTTTCGAGAGTTTTGTTTCGAAAGTTTTAAATTCTCCAAAACTTTTACGAATGTTAAAACTGTTAAATTTGACAAATGTTTTACGAAAATTTCAAAATTATAATTGGTTTTTAAAGATGTTTGTTTTTCTTTCGAAATTTCGTTATATTTTAACCCTTCGTCGCGTCATAATGTGAGAATTTGAAGACCTATAAGTCGAGATTTTTGGTAAATTTTGTAGGATATCCGCTGATATCTATATTCCGTAGCTTCGTAACGCGTGCGTTGACAAAACGCAAGACAAATTAGCTGTGCGCAACAATAACGAAATATTCGTTAACAATTACATTCAGAACGAGAGGTCTGATTTTAATCCGCAAGTATAAAAATACAATCCGGACTTTTTTTTGAGAAAAAAACTCGTTATCGAAGCTTTCACAAGTACACTGGCAATTTTTTTTTTTTTTTTTTTTTATCCGAATTTTAGTCCAGAACGGTAAAAATCTGCAATCTGGTTCTCTTGAAGACTCAGAGATCAGCGGAAGGTGCCGCTAAATTAAACGTTGCCGAAGGGTTAATATCGCCTGAAAATGTTCGGGTAAAATCTCTTTTTGTTTCTGAGAAACTTCTTTCTTTCTGTCTCCTATCTCTGAATATATACACGACGAGCGAATTCTTCCTCGGTAATCGCATCAAATGCACAAAAAGAAAGTTGTAAATGCTTAATAATTGTATATATAATAAAGATAAAAAAAAATGAGATTTACACGTGCTCACGCTATTGTTCATCGCGCAGTGGCAATTGTAATTAAACTTACGAGACATCGCGTCAAAAAAAACAAAAAAAACAAAAAAAAAGAAAAAAACAAAAAATTTTTATAAAATTCGCAATAATTAGAAAAATGTGTGTGATTGTAAAAAGTATTTTGTTCAATTAACTTGGGAATTCGCAGAAGAATTCAAATGTATATATAGATTTTTTGTTGTCACTTTTAATCAATCAGATATAACGTTAGGTCTTCTCGTAAATGCTCCGAAAAAAAACAAAAATAAAAATCTAAACAAAAGCTCGCTGTCATACGTTGCAATCACTTTTAGAGAAAAATTAACCTAAAGGAGGGGTGTATCAGCTTGTATGTTGTACGTGGTTAAAGATTTATCATTCTCGCTCTGTGTATGTTTGTGTGTGTGTGTGTGTGTGAGCGTGTGCACATAGGTAGACTTTATTACGGTCTGTCGCGCAAATATTTGTATACCCCGAACGTTGGAGATTCACCCTCCTCAGTGGTTAATAATAATAATAATGTTTCCAGTCACAACGTCTAAATAAATGTTTACGTAAATACTACTATATTAGACAGACTGTAGTATTTACGCTGGAAATATAATCCAACTCGGACCGATAGGAATTACATTTATGTATTGTATTAATTGACAAAAGGAATTATTTATGATGCGAATAAAAAAAATCACACAAGGGCTGGATTTGACACAATTTCTTATTTCTGTTTAGCGATTTATTTCGCGCGAGTGAAAACAGATTGAAATAAAAATAAAAACAAATTTACTTGTTGACTCGTGTTTCTCTGTGTTTTTTTTTTTACTTTATCTCTAAACGTAGTGCTCGCGTTTAACGCGCGACGACGACGGTAAATAAAATAAAATTTAAAAAATTAAAAAAAAAAAAAAAAAAAAAACCGTCGTTCTCGATCGAAACAAAGAGACGAAAACTCGTGCCTTTCGAGCTTGTCGATTTTGTGATTCAAGTTATGCGGTTGTAAGAAGAACGATAAGTCGCGCACGGCTTATCGTTGCCATATGTGATAATGCTGATTACTTTCGTCCGTGAGAAGCCCACGAACTTTTCGCGAACTGTCGTTCAGTTGCGTTTTTGTTAAATCGCAGTGACTATTCGCGGCGTGTGTGTATTATAAGTAACACCGCAAAATATTGTGTGCTCGTCAAGGTGTATGTCAATTTTGGTCACGATTGCTCTCTCTCTCTCTGTCTCTCTGTTTCTTCTTCAAATAGACATTATTTTCGCAAATGCCATGTCGTAGTTTCTTCGAAACGTGTAAATCTCTGCGATTGAAATAACTTCCACGTTTGCCGATAAAAATGTAAAACATTCGTAAAAGAGCAAAAATTCGAAACCTAACCTGAGAGATATAGATCTGATTTTGTTTTATTAATAGTTAATAATAATAACAGTGCACACAGTCCCGCACACACAAAGGGGACACCGTCTACAATCTTATCGATTTTACGCCGTTCGCGCGGTGAGTTCCTTTTTTCTTTCTTTTTTTCTTTGCCGACACGGTGTGTTACCGACACACAGTTGGTTATATGCGCAAAAGGTGTCTGTGATCGGATAGCGCGATCGCACACAGGTCGACACACAGGTGATCGAAGAAAAAATAAAAAAACAAGCATGCTTGCGTTATCATTGCCAACCTGATAAACGAATTCTCCATCTTCGCCGGTACGAGGAGCTTTTTCGGGTAAAACGCTTGTGCTGATAAAAAGAGAGATTAATTCCGCATGAACGGGGACTCGCAACAATGACAGTTTACACGTCGCTTGTCGCGTGTACCTTCTATTAGGTTATGTTCGTGCGCGGACGCGGCGGCACGTTTCTCTCGCAACGACACTTCACGCTGACTTCGGACAGTAAGCTGATGATCGCGTGTATTCGCCGATCGTTATCCTTGTTTAATCGTCGATCCCGATTGACTTTTCGATCAACGTCAATAATTTCGCTCTCCGCTTTGTTCTTCCAGGAAAAAAAGTGGTGCCGCGAACGGCGTATGGATCCTATACGATCTGTGGCGATCCAACAACTGACATACGTAACGATTTTTGGAACGTAATGATTTACTAACGACTTTCTCGAGGCTCCAGGGATCCATAAGACGAGGTACGTATGTTTTTCGGAAAAAAAATTTTTATTTACGATCTCTCACGTCGCACTATGCAGAAAAAAATCACTGCTTCGAATCCTCCATTTTGTACTAAAAAAAAATCAATTAAAAAATTATATTAAAACGCAGAAAAAATAAATCACTTTTTGAAATAAAATCTATGTGATTTACTTTCAAGCTGTTGTAATTTTGTCGTATTTGTATAATTGTCTATGAATTGTGACATATGTTCAAGTAAAAATAATAAAATTAGTAGAAACACAAGGTTGTTTTCTTAATTTTTAACAATATAAAATAAAAAATAAACAAATTTTAATTAATTTTCTTATTATTCCTTTTATTTTTTTGCTTTTTGTTATGTTGATTTTGCAAGGTTTATGCTAGCAATCATGGTTTGTCACGTATATATACACGTACATATATCATATGGAATCATATGAATAAATTATATATTTTTCAGACCGGTTTTAGCAAAAATATGACACGTTCTCATATAAAATATCAAATTGCCAGAGACGATGTAGACACAACGGAGTATTTGCCACAAAGCGTTACAGATTTTCAAAATGCAACGAAACCAGAGCCAACATTTTGGAGAAAGGCATTTCAAGCATTTGTACTGATCTCGATTTACTTTATTTTATCAATAGGCCTCACATTTTATAATCCATGGCTTTACAATACATACGTAAGTAATTTATCAACACTCCATTGTTCATCTGCAGCTCTTACATCGTGGTTATTATATTTTATATAAATTTTTGTGATGTTCAAATATATATTTAAAAAATAAAATTATTAAAAGAGGATCGTTATTTAATTTTTCAGGGATTTGATTTTCCTCTTGGAGTGGTGGTTTGCCACTTGGTGATAAAGTTTATATTATCGGCGTTAATAAGATGCATCAGAAGATGTTGCAATGTCAAACGGATAAATCTTCCGTGGCAAAGTATAATTTATTCCTTAATGGTGCCCGGTATAGCCAGTGGCGTCGATATTGGTCTATCAAACTGGGCGCTTTCATTGATTTCAATATCTCTGTAGGTATAAATATAAGTCTTAAAAACAACAATAATAAAGCAACATGTATTACATTATTATAATTAATGTTAATAAAACATTTCGTTTTTAGAGTGACTATGACTAAATCTACTGTTATAATATTTATTCTTGGATTTTCTCTTCTTTTTAAACTAGAAAAAAAGGTAATGACAATTTTCAAAAATTATTTGTATTTAACAGACTAAGATTTCCGGTTTGTCGTAGTCGTGGTCTCTGGTTGGGATAGTGGTAATGATAGCAGGTGGATTGGTGATGTTCACATATAAGTCCACGCAGTTTGGTGTTCTTGGGTTTATATTGTGTCTGTTAGCGTCGTTTGCGAGTGGCATACGATGGACTATGACACAACTCATTATGCAAAGATCCAAACTCGGTCTTCATGATCCAATTGATATGATGTATTACATGCAACCTTGGATGTTACTGCCAGCAGTATCTGTAGCTTTGTGGTTTGAAGGTAATTTTCTATTTCAGACAACAAGCTTCAATAATATTACACGATTAGATATCATGAGAAAAATTTTATCTTTTGTCTTTTTGTTTTGTTATTTCTTCTTTTACGTAGTTTACAGTTAAACAATAACATCTGCGTGTTTTATTATGATTCAATTAAATTTTACAGGCGGTAAAATGTACAACGGTATTAACGCTACCGATTGGAGCGACATTGGCAGTATTTTATCAACTACAAGTACTGTAATAGCAGGTGCCATTTTAGCATTTAGTATGGAAATTATGGAATTTTTAGTTGTTACTCACACCTCTAGTCTGACATTGTCAATCTCGGGAGTATTTAAGGTAAATGTGATTCAATTTTATATTTTGCATTATTTTTACTATTTTTGCTTTGTACACTTCTCAATGCTTTTGATTTTTTTGTTTTTTTATAGGAAATATGTACATTAACACTGGCCTTTGCGTTGAAAGGTGATCAAATGACTGGCCTCAACTTTGTAGGGTTGTTAATGTGCCTTGGTGGTATAATAATTCACGTTGTTCAGAAAGTATTAGTCAACAGAAAAAAGACAATTGAGAATTTAGAACTGCAATCGAAAGTAACGAGTAACAGTGCGAAACAGGAAGAGGGTACTGACTCGAATATGCCGTTATTGATGGAAAAATCGACATCTCTGGTGAATCTTCTCAATGCCGAGTTTAGCTCGGATGAGGATGGTAATTTGAAGGAAGATGAAAACGCGGCCCAAATATTGTCGGACATTTTGCAACGCAGAGAACACACGCAGTGACACATTGTGAACTATTAGACCTGACACACGAACTGCTGTAAGCTGTAAAGAATATATATTTTATATTCAGGGAAACAAACATTCCACATATTTTTACGTTACGGTATTTTATATTTTTGCAAAGTCACTTTACAACCATTAACGAAATTCTGACATCACGTATTCGTCTCTTATAAATGCTACGAGATTTAATATATCAGTGATCAGACAATGCAACGTAGATTTCCTAATTATAAACAATTGAAAACTGAAATGGTATTTTTCAAAGTTTTTAAATGTTCTCTTTAAGATTATCTTTTTCTCGCACTTCTGGTAATATTTCTATATAAAACTTTTCACAATAAGATTTAAGCGATATATGTTTGTTGTGAAATGTTAAACAAAATGATTTTTACATAGATTATTATCGTGTAAAGATAAAACGTGTGTATAAATAACTTAGAAAAACTTATGGAGTACAAACATAGAAACTATAAAATGAACTTCATCAAGTACGTATGTATATCGATATAAGAGAGATAGGGGGGGGGGGGAATTTATAGTATTACACTGTTTTTCCAGATATTGTGTATCACCAATATAATTGTTTTGCTTCATCTAAATTATGACGTGTGTGTGTGTAAGCTTGTCGCTTAAAAATTTTATCTTCAAAGTAAGTAATGACGATTTAAAATCATATGTATATATATTTAATGTTCTCTAAAAATAAATTTTTTATATATATATATATATATATAAAATTATAACATAAAAAAGGAACGCACAATATATATCCAATTTAAATGGAACGCACGACTTGAAAGATGTTAATATAAACTGTATATGTGATAATTTGTGTTTTAAAAGATAATTTATAAATAAAATTATATATATATATAGATATATAAAGATATATATATTTGTAAATAATCATGTGTGAAGTATACATGCATATATAGAAAGATAGAGAGCTCACATGGGCTATATTCAATAATGCGTTAACAATAATGCGTTTATCTTACCAAAAATTTAACAGTTTTTTTATTTCCATATCCCCTCATATTGAGGATGGATTTTGTAATTTGATTAAAGCTTAATAAATATTTTACATATATATAGATATATTATTTAGATATTATTTCTCAGCAAAAATCTAAAGAGTTTTATTCTATGTTCTCTTTGTACAAATAAATAGCAAGGAATAAATATAAATATACGAGATGATTCGAAAATCTTATCGGAAACTGCGAATTCTACACCTCTGTGAACAAAGCACACACTCTCTTGAAAACCTACGAATTGTTGACTTCAAATGGATACTAAATAAATTCGTCATTGACCTAATAAAACAATTTTTTGGGGAAAGGAAAGAAATATCTTATTTAAATACGCATATATATCGGCATGTGACTCTAGTTCGTCTTTACACCATTATGAATCATTCAACTTTATTTAAATTCTAAAATATAACATAGTTGTAAATTTCCTGATGAAACTTTCGAATCATCTTGTACGAAGTGTGTCTCTACAGATACAAACTGCAATATAAGTTTTCCTCTCCCCTTCTTCTTTCTTTTTTTTTCTTTTAATTTTACACAACCGTTAACACTCGTCAAATTTTGAGAAAACTTAGTTTTTAGAAGCTATAAATTAAATATAAAGCAATCAGCAAATATAATTAATATAGTTTATATATAATATGCATCATCTATATCTTGTTAACAACATATATATATATATATAATGTCATGTATATCTTGTTAACAATATTTGTATATAATATTAATGATCAAATCAGACACGTGAATATAGATAATTAATAGATAATTTATTATCATATATATTTTAAGATATTCAATTTTTCTATTGTCAAAATTGTCTTCGAATATATATACACACACATATATGTATGTACACATATGCATCCATACAAGTATATGTGTGCACATATACTTGTATATTTGGCATAAATAATATGTACGACTATATAAAGAATCTCTTTCACACACACACACACACACACACACACACACACACACACAATATGTCTCTTTTTAAGCAAGATTATTATCCTACACTATTTTCAAAATAAAAGACAAGAGAGGCAGTGCCTCGCGTCAAGTTCACGCGCAACGAAGTCGCGCCTTTCACACATGTATCGTGACAAACTTTAAAAACTAAATTAATAATATGTATAACATGACGTTTTGCTTCTTTGGAAATGTTTTGTGTTCTAATATTTAATAAATGTATGTATAGCGTCACGCGTAATTTTTTTAAATTAAAGTTCTTCGAAAATTGCTTTCAAACGTGTATATGCTGCACCACGCATAACGCAATAATGTGTAAATGTGTTTTATACGTGAGTACATTTACTATTTCAAGAAAAGTTGAGTCGCAACTTATATACGAAAAAAATAAATAAAAATAAATAATAAATAAAATTAATTTAAAACGAAATAATTTTATTAATAGTAAAATTGTTCGAGAGATTTCTCTTTAACGTATAAAAAAGATTTATATAATTTATGTATAACTTTATTTTTGCGATAACCTTCCGTACACGCAGGCAAACTTCGTCACTCTCATTGTGAAATACGTGAGATGAAAATGCAACCATGTTTCCTAATGATTCTTTAATGATGATAAATAAAGATATCACTTTTACGCTTTATAAATATAATAACAGACTTATTTTTATTACTTAGCTTGTTTTATTTGATTAGTTTTCTTAGATTTGGCTTCGATCCTGTTTTCCAGTTTGTGAATCAATTCATCTAATTCGTCCTGCGAACAGAAGCAGAAGTGAAATATATATAAATTAACTTGTGTTATTCTTGTGTGTTTGTTAACTGGTTTTTGATACACAATGTGTTACACTTACCTCGTCGTACGTGTACATGAGAGTGCAATGTTTCAAAACTTGCTTTTTACGATTGATTAACTGCAACCCATGCGGTAGACAATAAACGCTGTCGTCTTGCGAATTGTTCACCAACGAAACAAACAAGTTAGCTCTACACGATTCGCATTCAAAATCACCGTCGTCTTCCTTCACCTTTTTCCCTCTCTTTCCCTTCCCGCTATTTGGCAGTGGTAATCTTTCTCTCTTGGCAAGACCTACGTTTGTCAGTTGTTTACGATAATCCAACTCCTTCAGACGAATCTTTATCACACTTGGTAGTATCTTAAAATATTAAAACACATTAAGTATCCTCGGAAAAACACTTCACATGTTGTTATTGCTTCAAATTGTTGAACACATTCATCTAACTTGATAGAAAAATTGTTAATCTTACCTGTTTCAATATGTCTACGTGAGACCTTGTATCGTTGATAATATTAAACAGTAATCTCTCGAACGAGAAGATAGAAGGTTCGCAACTGTCTTGTATGTCCTGGAAGCATATCGGTGTTTCAATATTAAATAAACGCGTGAAAAATAATAAATTTAAAACCTTTCAACAAAATTAAATTTTCTACTCGCGCACGTACTTTAAATACTTGCTCGGCAGTTTCTAGCCAAGATGGTTGCGCGAAGTACACACTCTCGGACACGACGTAACCGGTGCATATGCTCGACGTGAACGCTTTCGGAAACACGATTATGAACTGTCCCGGTTCTTGCACGGTGCGGCACAACGGCACACCGTTGCTCACTAATAATTCCGGGGGAACCATGGCAGTGTCGGACGATAACCATATGGTCTTATTTTTGCAGTACTGCGGCACCATTTTTGTGAGCGCTTCTCGGAAACTGTTGTTATGCTTGTCCGGTATACCGTACCAGATCTTTTTCGCGCCCGTATGAAGATACTCTATCCACGGTAGACCGTGAGGATCGCGGTACCAGCAGCAAGCGCTGAACAACATGCCCACGTGGAGCGTTGGTATGGTCACACCTGAAAGTGAGAGGAATTTTTTATTATGTACGTTTATTTTTTTAATAAAAATATATTATTACGAACATATATTATTGTATATGTACCCATTAAAGGACCCAAGGCTCTCAGTACTGATCCAGCGTTGTTGGTGAGCACTTTGAGATTCCACGAATGCCTGGCGAACGGACTGTTTTTGGCAACGGAAAAGCCGAATCCACGGCCGCTCGAATCGATGCTCGCCGCGTGAACGCAAACGTGACGTTTCCTTTCGGCGACGTGTTTCCAAAATGCACTCTCCACTTCGTCCGCGGAAGCACCTTCGGCCTCGTTTCCCCGTTGATTTTCGCCGAACCACATACGTTGCGTGTTACGAGCGATTCGGTAAAAAGCGTTCAGAGGCATGTTCCTTCCCTTTTTTGCCCGTTATTAAAATAACATAAAAAAAATGTACACACACAAGAATGAATTTTAAAAATTGGTATTTATCATACCTTTACGATACATTCCTCGATTTCGTCGGAACTGTCATCTTCGTCGTCTTCGTCATTGTCGTTGGTTGGTGTCTGTTGCCTCTGCAAAGCTTTATTTTTCTTCTTCAACCATTCGGTTTCGACTTCGTCGAACAATTTTCCGCGTTCCTCTAAACAAACGATTTATCGTACAAATAGCAAATTTCACATTTTATCACGTATATATAAATTACTTTTCCAATTTGATTATTTACTCTATAATTACCTGGAGATAGTGTATCGTACGGCAGCAAATATTTACAATAAATATCGTCTAGTTTAGTAACGCGATCCTGCGCAGATTTTGGTATCTTCATACCATCTGCCACTTTCTGCCATTTCTTTTTTTCTATAACTTCTTTCAATCCGCCTAAGCTTTGAACTGTTTGGTACAAGTGAGGTAAATCAACTTCCATCCCGCCAATCTGTAAAAAAAAAAAAACTTGTTAACACGAGGCGATCTTTTAATTCGTAAATTAGAAAATAAAAGAAGATGAATTTTTTTACCCATGGCGGTTGAGTCAAAGTGATACTTTGAGTAGCTAAATATTTTTTGATAGCCATCATTTCCTTCACGTTAGGACCCCATCTGTGAAGCATGCGGTGCACGTATTGATTGTAAGCAGTGAATCTCATATCATCAGACACCTTGCATTCTGGCTAAAAGATTAAAGGTCGACATAACAATGTGTACTTAGACACATGTAACTTTACACAGTTTAGCGTCTATGTTAGTTATGTTATGTATTGCGTTAATTAATCTAACGTGACAGAATAGTTACTTTGAAATTCGACGGAGGCACGACTTTGCAAATGCCGAATTTTTCAGCGACCGACTTTATCTTGTCTATGTATTCCAAAGGATCCTGAAAATCTTTTTCAGTCGGATGAAACGTCGGCGCTTCGACCACGCGAGCTTCGTCGTCTAAGGTTTTCATACTTGGGAATGTAGTGTTGCTGGAGGAGTGTAACCCTTTCTGTTTGCTTTGCTTCACTTGCGTTCTAGAAGAAGTTTTTTTTTATAGAATTATGTTAACACATAGGTTTACAAGTTATTGTTCTTTGTGTTTCAAAATGTACAAGATATACCTCTTTCCACTTTTTGCCGAATCTATGGAGGTTTTTCTTTCTCTGGCTGACTTTGGAGATTTCGTGAGTTTTTCCAGAACATTGCTCGTGCTCGTACTAACGTTCGGACGATTCAGGGCAACGTCATTCTTCACCGGTGATATTGGTTGTGGCGTTGTTTCCGCGCTCGGCATATTCGCTACCGAGGTGGATACGGTCGTGGTCGTCGAGGTCGACGGCACTTGTTGTTCCATCGTGATCGCGATAGGATTGGGCGGAGGTCGCGTTGTCGGTTGCACGGTTCCTATCGGAGGACAACGCGCCACGGACAAGGGTGGCTTAGTGACCAATTTAGCGTGAAGAAGCACCCTCTGATTAGGTCCGGTCGGTCCTTCCGTAAGTTTAACGGCCACGCCTTGAATCAGCTGTTGCCCCTGAACCAAATTCGGTCCGCTCCGAATAGGCTGTAACGGAATGTAAAACAATTGCCCGTCGTTGTCGTCATCGTTCTCGTTATTCGTTTCGGTTTGAGTCGATATTTCGGTGCTCTTCTGTGGATTCGCCGCGTCGTTGATCTCCGGTTCCTGCGTCGTCTCGTCGAGATTCACCTGCACCGCTATGGAAGCGCTGCAGTTTACGTTGCTCCAACTGGTCGTGAGCTTATCGAGCGGTAACACCTGTACGGTAGTTAAATTCGCGAAATGTTTCGGCAACTCGAACTTGTTCGAAGTCGGAGTTGCTTTTGTTTCGAGCTCCAACTGAGTCGGTGCCGCCGTATTCACTAGCGCTTGCGTCTCTTGTTGTCTCTTCTCGCACGTCGGTGCGCGCATAACAACATCACCGGAAAGTTTGTCCTTGCTGTCCATTGTCTCGGAATTGTCCTTAATATCCGTCTTGTTGGTATCAGCAATTAGTTTAGCCTCGGATGCTGTGGAAGTCGCAGTAAAAGTAGTTATTGCGGTAGGAGTGCTGGTCGATCTAGCGATATCCTTGGCAGTATCTTTACTCTTTCTCCTAAACGGTGTACTAATAGGCACTTCGGTATCGCTCTCAAACGCGTAAACGCTGCTCTCGTTCTCCGGAGAAAACGCATTCACGTTCGGAGTCACAATCTTACGTTCCTTAACCTTAGACAGAAACGGCTTTCGCGGTTGAAATATCTTTTTCTCCGGCGACTTCTTCTCCACGGATCCGTCCATCGAGTTCTGATCCGACTTCGACATGGTGTCGTTGGTGTCCTCGGTGATAGAAACATCTTTATTTATCTTCTCGTACTTGTTCTTGATTATTTCTTTCGGTTCGGTAACGATCTTGGTTTTATCCAAAGTAATCGTGTTTTCGAGTTTCACGTCGATATTATGCGCGTCGGATGGCGCGGTTATCAAATTTCTGTTGTGCATTGTTCCCAAACGGTCCCTCACGCTTTTATCTGAGGGTAATTTTAAGAGCGTTACGTTTACGGGACGCACCAAATGCTGGATCTTCGTCGAGATGGACAAGTGCGAGACGTCCTTCAATCTTTCCGTGGGATCGTATCTGAACGTGGAAACGTTCTCCATCTCCAACTTACTCTCCTCTTTGGCGAGGGAACTCTCGTTCAGCCATTTTTCGATCTGTTCGGTCGACATGTTTACTCGTTCCTTTCTCGTACGCAGCGTCGACAGCGGCATGTTTATAAGATTTGAAGAAATTTCGTCCTCGTGCTTGCACACGTTCTTGCTCGTTTGTTCCGTGGGCGGAAGCGATGAGTGTTTCGTGTCAATGGACATGTCCGGTATCGATTTCTCATCCAGTATAGACATGTTGTATTCGGTGTTCAAATTAACGATCGGAGAGGACTCGGTTTCCTTGACCGGTGACGCTTCCTCTTTTATCTCTTGCGAATTCGTCGTTTCCGTCGTTTCCGGCACGTCCGGCAACGTCTTGAGACTCTTGTCGTCGGTTTCCGGAGTTAACAGGTTGACGTTAGCGTGCGTCTGACACGAGTTCAAACCCTTCGATATCGCCTTCTTTGTGAATCCGCGAAAAGATTCTTCCTCGTCGTCCGATTCCTTCGCCAAGTCCGACTCTTTCGTGATTTGCGCTTCTTTGTGCGCCGTCTCGCTATCTTTCGCCTTGTCAACATTGTCAGAAACATGTTCTCCTTCGTCTTCGTCATCTTCTTTCTTTTTTTTGATTTTCTTTAGCAACATTCCTAGCGTTTCCTCCTCGGATTCCGTGTGATCGTTTCGATTGCCTTTGACAATTTTCTGTTTCGATTCGACGACGGTCTTATCTGACGACGCTTTTGATACATTTTGATTGTATTTGCGTTTCAACATAAATTTTTCCCGAGCGGTTTTCACGCAAGTCTGAACCTGAGTCTTCGGTTTGTTGTTAGTTTGCACTTCCATCAGTACCGGTGTGTTCTTAGTGGACGATCTGAGACTCCTGCTGATCGGTTTATCGAGTTTGCCGAGACTCTGTCTGGTGATGGGTCTCGTCTGATTCGTTTCTACCGAGGTCTCGGATTCCTCGTCGCTTTCGTCTTCGCGATATCTCCGCATTCTTATCAGACGTTTGCTTCTCAAAATCAATGTGTTCTTGCTTTTATCCAATCGCTTGTTACCGGCAAAGGAGCTGATCTTGGAATCCTTACTTTTGCTAACAGTCGCTCGTGTGCTAACAGTCGGCATTTGTTTCACCTTGGCTTTGAGCTCGTTCTCCGTTTGCGTTATTCTACGGGCACTCGGCAATTCGGGAAAACTCTCGACCGAATCGTTGTCGTCGTTTTCTAAATCCGGACTAACCAGTTTTCGTCCGAGGAGCTCCATGTACACAGCGGCCGCTTCTTTCGTCTTTCTGGTGGGTCTTCTGGAGAGATTCTGCGTGGAGACGCCGCGCGGAGTGCTGCTGCACGATCTCGTGACTCTACGCATCTCCGACTTGCTTCTGGTACAGATTTTCTTTCGAGTAGTTCTCTGTACGTTGCGCTTTATCTGGGACGTCGACTTCTCCGTAGGTAACTCCTCTTCCTCGTTGTCCTCCTTCCCGTTCTCTTCCTCTTCCGACGACATATCCGTGTTCGATGTATCGCTACCTTTCGGCCTTAACGTGACTTTCTTCTTTGGTTTGGGTGGCGGCGCAACTTTTGTCTTCGGCAATGATTTGTTAGTCTTGCCAGGCAGCACGCCGCTTCTCAGCCCGTGCCGTTTGGTCTTAATTCTAGGCAGGAATTTTCTCGGCGCCAATTGAATACTGGCCTTCAACATACTCCTCTCTGAAGATCTGGTTCTCATAACGCAAGTAGTTATGAATTTATTTTTTATTCTCTGCTTGGCCAAACGTTGCTCCTGATATTTCTTTTTGAGCGCCTGAACTGTTGACGTTGCTGTCTTGAGTTTGGTAATGGTTTTGTGTATTGTATCGGGTATCTTCTTCTTGTCTGACACAACAGGCTTTACTTTTGTCACGCTCTTTTGACTCGTGTCTTGTTTTTGTTGTTGTTGTGGCTCTGCCGAAACACTAGTGGAAGATGACACCTTGTCCGCAGGAGTGGGCAATGGTTTAGGTTCTGATTTCTCTTTTTCTTTTTTGACGCTGAGATTAAAGAAATTTAGGCTAGGTGGTAAAATGGGTGTTCCTAAAGTGAAAAAGGTAAAAATTACAAACTAGGACATCATGACTAAGAAGAGTTGTCACTATATACATAATCATTTACATAAATTCATAGTCATTAAAAAAAAAAAAAAAATCCAGTACTGTATGTCATTAAATTCTTACAACATACAGATTTTGTATGTTTATTAAAACTTGTAGAGAAGAACTAAAATTGTTTTATACATCTTGTCAATATGCTTTCTTTAAAAACTAGTGTATCCTTTGATTGACACTCGTTATTTGTTTTTCTTTTTATCAGAGATGTATATATCTCAATCGTCCTTTGAAATATCTACATAAAAGCATTTACCTCTAAAGCATAAAAATGTTAGAAAATCTTCCGTATTTGGACGTTTATGGGTTATTAATTCGGTAATCTTGGCAGGTTTGGCTTTTTCTTTGTCCTTGACCGGTGTAGGTGATGTATTGAACACTGTAGTTGCACCTTGTGCAAACTTTCTTTGTGCGTGAACTTTGGTCCTGGAGTAAACAATCATAAACTCAATGCTAAAGCAAATTCTTCAAATTTTCTTAGGTTTCAACGCTTTTACGAACACGTGTCGTTATGCGCTTTTTATAAGCGCGTGTAATTTCCAACGAAGAAAAAAAAAAGATAGCTATCGCTCTCTCCAACACAGAGATCCGTCAGGACCGTGATTGCAGGACAAGGATTTACCTTTTCGGAGATTCTGCAAGCGGGTCCATAAGGTCGACCAGATCTCCTTCTCTCTTCTTCCTCTTGTCGTTGCGACTTAAGACCATTTTGAGGCAGTGCTCAATTTAATAATCATACAGACAAGACCACGTTGCTGTGTGCGCGAGTCGACAAGGAATTTTAAACTTCCTTCGCAGAAGCGTTTTAACTCAAATTGCGCCACATTAAACCAGAGTTCGTCGCGCGGAAGAAAACCGATCCCCGTCGATTTGCGACAAATTCGTTAATCAATCGAATCGCTGTCCCGAACAATCGCTGAGATTCACCGAAGGGACGCGGGCATACGTGCAACATCGCCGATGTACTAATGGCCAGCTTTGCCGTGAAAAAAACCTCAAGTCGGGCTATTTAATTCACACTAGCTCGTGTGCGCAGTACACGTTCGCACAATCCGTCGAACACTCGCGTTTCGACGTCACGGATTATTTCGCAAAATTATCGCATCGTCCCGACTTACGTCAAAAAAAAATCGCACGTTATCCACCCTGGTTCTCGCGTTTCGAACAACAGTTGTTTATTGCCACACGTTGGATTAAATTAAATACCGCACGAGATTCCGATCTGTGATGTATGAATATACATAGATACGGTAAAGCGGAGGGAGTATCGATTTGTCAGGGCGCGTTTCGAACTGGCGCTCAGAAAATCGGGGGGGGGGGTACGTTCCAAAATCTCACCTTGGTAATCAAAAACTATAATACACGTGACGTCAAAATGTAGCATTTTGGTAATCCAAGATAGGATTTTGGAACGCGCATCCCTGAAGGTAGCCGATAAAGGAACAGTACGGTTCGGTGATTGGTCGAATTTAATCGACCAATCGCATCCTTCCGATCGAAATCGTTTTGACATTGTCGCGGGACAATAGTAATTTTTCAAATTTTCTCGAGAGAAAACCCTTACCCTTTTTGAGAAAAAAAAAAAAAAGTCAAAGCGCGTGTGAAACAATGCGAATAAGTGTAACGTGTGGGTCGTTGCAAAAAAGATGTAAGTGTGTAATAAATGTGTGTAATAAATAATTAATAAAAACGCGCGTGCGATGTAGTTTAGGATCAGATTAAAGTTAATCGAAGAAGGTGAGAGAGAAATCGATCCTTATGCTCAATTTCTTCACCTCTAGATAAGTTTTCGAATAATTTTATCTTAAAAGATAAAGTATATCTTTTTGTGTGTCTTTATCCAGAAGACGATTATTGGGAAGTATTGGAAAAAATCGGCAGTTAATCAACGCGAAATTGTTTGTTCGTCGGACTTCGGTGAAAGTTCCATTTGAAAATTGTGCTACGTACGTGCATACATACACACGTGTCATGAGAACGAGCCGTGCGAGTTTTCCCCCCAGCGAAAACGATACATACGCAGTACATACATATATACGCATATATATATATATATATAGATAAATTACTAACACCACGTCAATCTTGTGGAAACTTCGTGGAAACGAAATAGGATCTATCTTGCGCGTCACTCGCGCTCACACGCTTCTCAGTGTCTCCGATTGTTTACGCGTACGCGGTTCTACCGGACGGAGTTCTTGTGGAGTGTTTATACGTTAAATAGAAGAGAACAGAGTTGTCAAATAGTGGTCGAGCGTAACCGCGAGAAACGATTCGCCGTTGTTAAACGAAGGTAACGAACGATCGCGGCACGCAATTACACACATGACGCATCGCATAAAACTTCATGTTTGTAGAAAAGTAGGGCGGACAAAGATGTCATTTGAGATGCGCGACGTACGAGCCGATTTCGCAATCGGCTCGCACATATTCGGACAACAGCCTTCGACACGGAATGTGCCGTTTATTTCGTTCGCTCGTGCATTTATCCGACTGCTCGAGACGTAATAATTTTCGCAACACCTTGTTTGTTGTCCGCATAATGTTGCGCAAACTGAAATTACATTCGGACGTAACGATTCATTTCGTCATGCTTCTTATCGCATAATTTATGTTTCTGCTGAACCGTTCCATATTTAGGATTGACGTATTATAAAATATGAAGTGACAAGGTCAGATAAGATCTAATTTGTTTTTATCTACTGCTTACACAATAATTGTTTTCTTATGTATGTTTAATGTGAAATACATTTATAAATTTATGTTTTCCGGAGAGATTTAGATAATTGTTATCATATTTATCTTGCTTCAGAGAAGAATGTTCAAATAATCTTGGAACCAAGATATTTAAATTATGTTAATTTTGATATTCAAGGTGAAACATGAGCAACATAAATAAAAATGGACCACCACCTCCTTATGAGCCACCTCCGTATGCACCGCCTTCGTATTCTCAGGTTACAGGAGGCGTTCCTCCTGTTAGTCCATTTACACCTGCACAAACATGTGAGTTAACAAAACAATGTGTATATTTTACGAAAGTATATTTTACAAAAATATATTTTGCTTTTTACTTGAAATATAAAGTGGTATTAAGATACTATTTTGTATTTACATTTTTTTTTGGTTAGAGTATATTGATTTTTTTTGTTTATTTTAGATGCAAATGGACCCACAATAGTCACAACTGTTGTTCCACTTGGACCTCAATCAACCCATACAATTTGCCCACATTGTCACGTTGAAATAGATACATCAACCAAATCAGAACCTGGAATGATTGCATATATTTCAGGAGTGGTTATAGCATTGTTGGGGTAATTACAAACAAGATTTCAAATTAAACAGACAAATTGTGTAAAAGTATAAATTTGTATTTTTAAAATAAAACTTTGTTTTCCTTTCTTCTAGATGTTGGTGGGGTTGCTGTTTGATTCCTTGTTGCATTGATGAATGTATGGACGTCCATCACACTTGTCCGAATTGTAAAGCTTATTTGGGTCGTCACAGAAGATAAGCAAATGGATTCAATTTAGCTTCCACAAGTTGCATTTGAACATTGAAGTACCTTTATGACACTATTAATATTATTCCAACAGATATTTTGTATAGCTTCCTCTAAATTTATATAATTCGAGAAACAGCTTCCTTATAAAAAAGAAAAGCATCGTACAAGATGCATCTTTCTATGTCAGTCTATTTAGATTTGTACGCCGACAAGTTTTCGAAATAATTTTTCAGTTAAAATCTACAGTATAATCTTATTGCACACAATTTGATATAAATCTCTTGCACATCTTTGTATGAACATATTTATTGTGCTTTTGCGCACAAAGTTAGTGGAATTATTATAGAATCTTTAATGGTAGCTTGATATAAGAAGTATACATGATTTCGTTATGAGAAGATGATGTGAAAGATACTCGTGCTTCTATATTTTATAATTATTCTTGTGATTCCTCTGTCAGCAATACAAAAATGTGTACTACAGAATATTTACAGAAGATTTATAGTTTATATATTTTTATGTTTATCATAATTTAATGTTGATTTGCAGTCGCGCGAGGCAGCAAACTGGACAGCTACTTTTACGAAAGAAGTCATCCAAAATCTAAAATATCTACTTAAGAATGCAATATTTATAACTTCTTTATTATCTAAGTAATAATAGTAATAGCAATATGTATATGACTAATGTTTTATTATTATATTATGTATTTTTATATATTTTATATAATCAAAATTATATTTGAAGCATATGTTTCTGATGTAGATATCTTGATATATTTTTGTACTGTTGATAGAGTTATATTGCAGCTAATGCATCGTGTATTCACAGAGCTCAAAGTGTGGAAAACCTTAACTGCTTTAAAGAAAACAAAACGAAACACCATAATATTTTTTACAATTTTCGAACGCATTAATGTGCGCTGTGCGTGATCGGAATTGCAACAGTTAAACACTTCAGAAAAAAAGCCATAAGTGCTCTTACTTGGATCATTCTATTTTGTTAAATATGTGAAAGATACATGTATTGTGATCAGTAAACGCTAAAAACAACAAGAAACATACATTTTTAGAAATATTTATTTATAAAAAAAATTCACCAATGAGAAAAAACAAGAGCTTTATTATTGTGCAATTTAAAAGTTAAGTATAGTACATGAGCGCCCAATAAAAAAGACTTTATGAAATGTGTTTTTTTACTTTTCCTTGGAATATAAGAAGTAAACAAAAACGGCCACAGAGTAAATTTAAAAGATCATTTTTTTTTAGAGAGAGAGAGAGAGGCAACAGGCTGCTATCAGCAAGCTTCTTGGTATTGATTTTTTTGGTAATTTTCGGACTCTATCGTCGTCCGTCTATACATCAGCTTGCGCTATTTAAAAAGCTATTTTTTTTTTTTAACAAATTTAATCAATCAGAAACAAAGTGAGCCAATCTCAAATTTAATTAAAAAATGTAGATTTATCCAATCAGCTCGAAGTTTACTAAACTTGAGATTGGCTCGCTTTGCACTGATTGGTTGAATTCAAATGCAATTTTAATTGTAGAGGGCGATCTGAGCGCAAAAGTTTTAACAGTCAATCGATCGAGATATCTCTTCGATCTACGCGCATTTCCATGCGATCACGTGGAATGATAAAAGGCGGGAAGAAACGTCAGTGAACGTCACATAGAGTTACATGTATATTGAGATGTATAGAAATGCGAATTTTTTTGTTTAATCAATTTGTATATACTGTAGATTTTTGTTGAATTAGCACGATGGCTGATGAGTTTCCGGATCCGGATGAGGAATTTGATATTATTTATCAAGCGGATTATGAAGCTTTGAGGGAACTAGAAGGTAAATATGCAATGTATATATGCAAATAATTTCGTATATTTTTATGATATTCTGCATTACAAAGCACAACAAATTAACATCTCAGATATTTTGCTTAAAAATGCAAGATTTTAGTACTCTATCATTCCAAAATTTATGTTAGTTATTTTTATACACGTATTTTATTGGACAAATTATAATTTTTTGTTCATTTATTTCTGTGAAGCTGAATCTAGCGAGATAAGACCATTGTCACAACCTGGTACTACATATCAGGCAGCAAACAAAAATAAGTGTCAAACAGAAACCTCCTCTGCTATTACTTGTAACAAAGTTACCAACAACAGTGTACTTAATACAAAACATACCAATGAAGAAGTACATGATAATATAGTCAACAATAGTAGTAAAAAATGGAATCATAAAGCAGTATTCAGTGACAGTACACCTAGCTGCAGTAAAACACAAAGTTCTGAAAGATTGTATGTTGACAGTATACCCAGTACTAGCAAAGGACAGACTCATGAAGCTTTATTTGGTGACAGTACACCTAGCTGCAGTAAAACACAAAGTTCTGAAAGATCGTATGTTGACAGTATACCCAGTACTAGCAAAGGACAGACTTATGAAGCTTTATTTGGTGACAGTACACCTAGCTACAGTAAAACATCAAGTTCTCAAAACTTATCTGGTGACAGTACGTCGGATACTAAGAAAAAGCGAAGTTATCAAGAATTGCTTGCTGACATCTCTGCCATTTTAGATAAAAATATCTCAGGTATGATGATGAAGTGATAATTGCAAGTTTAATACACACATATATATATATAATATGCATATATATATTTTATTAAAAAATTAAATTTTCTTAGACAATGTTGATATTGTGGAAGAACCAAAAGAAAAGAAACTTCGATGGAGTCAACCAAAAGACATAATTGAAACGATAGTGAATGCAAGACAGTTACAATTACAATTAAGTGAACATAATGGTCCTGGTACACTAAAAACAAATTATAACCAAAAGTGAGTAAATTAATAAAGATAATACAGTCTGCACACACATTACAATCTGTGCAAATTATAGATTTATATCTTTTATTGTTTAATGAGTGCAGCAAGAAAAATTCCATCTCTCTGCGAGTTCCACCGTGGAATTTTGTAGCAGTTACGAGATCGTATGATTCTCAACGTTTATACATCAGAGTCAGAAATCTAAAAAACAATGTGAAAGAGTCTACTAAAAAGCCAATTGCCAATCTACTTTCTGTGCCTTATAGACAGCTAAAAGCTCAAGCTGAGGAAATTGTACGTTTCTCTCGTTATCATTAAAGTGTTTATTATGCTTTTGTATTGCAGTGTATTAAACGTAACTGCATTACAGATGACAAGAAAAAACACGTTGTTGGAACAGCCAGCGTCAAATGTAAGTGATAAAGTTAATGATGAGTTGTGGGTTGATAAATATCGACCTCAGTCGTACTTGGAACTGCTCTCGGACGAAACGGTTAACAGACAACTCCTGCATTGGCTCAAGCTTTGGGATAAAATAGTATTTAATCGAACTGTCGTACAACCAAAGAGAAAACAGCAATCTGTATTCGGCAAAAAGAAAAATATCGATGACGAAACGGACATCGAAGAAGTGGACGGTAAAGGATATCCGATAAAAAGGATAGTGTTGCTTAGTGGACCTCCTGGATTGGGGAAAACCACTCTGGCACATATAGCAGCCAAACATGCCGGCTACAATGTTGTAGAGATCAACGCGAGTGACGAAAGAACTCCAGATGCGTTTAGGTAAGATACATATAAAACTTACACAATCTTTATCTTCTAATATACTCGACAATTTCGTATTTTTATTTCAGAAACATTCTGCTTGCATCCACAGAAATGAAATCTGTAATGGGCGCTGATCCCCGACCGAATTGTTTGATCTTTGACGAGATTGATGGCGCGCCGGCCGCATCCATCGAGCTTCTGTTGAAATTCGTACACGGCAAACTGATGCCGAAGAATAAAAAGGGAAAAAAACAAACGGAAAAAACATCGGACGGTTGCGCGCGTCCTATTGTATGCATTTGTAACGAACCGTATGCTCCAACGTTAAGGTATTTTTTTTTTTTTTTTTTTTTTACTGAAATTAGTTGAAAAGTATAACAGTAATTCTGGAATTAAAAATAAACGTTTTAACTTTGTAGAACGTTACGAGCAACCGCTGTAATAATTCCAGTACCGGAAGTGAGTCCTCTAAGATTAGCCGAACGTTTGATGGATATAGCGAGAAAAGAGAAGTTGAACGTGGATTTCAACGATCTTGTAAAAATTGCGGAGAGATCCGGCTGCGATGTACGGGCGTGCGTGGGCGCGTTACAGTACATGGGCAGCACCAATTTAAAGGACAATGTGTCTCTAGGTCTGAAGGACACTCGCAAGAATTTGTTTGACCTGTGGAAAAATATCTTGACAGTTCCTGTGAACGCGGCAGGAGTCGTTGCTGTTCCCGAAAGAATTCAAAATATTCTGAAAACAGTTCAAAATGGTAATTTCGCGAAATTAACTTTCTTTCTACGTATATTCTAATCAATATATATTGCTTTTTTTTTTTTTTTAAGGTGAAACGGAGAAATTGGTGCAAGGAATATTTCATAATTATCCGGAAATTTGCGACCGAAAGATCGACAGTGTATCTACATCTCTGGATTGGTTTCAATTTTACGATTTAATAATGTCGCTTGTCATGCGCAAGCAAGTCTGGTTGCTCATGCCTTACACGAATTATGGATTTGTCGCGTGGCATCTGCACCTTGCACGAACGCAAAAAGTGAAATTGTCCTATCCTAGTGTTATCAACGAAGTAAGTATTATGAGACATTTTTTTAAAAATTAACAAGCTTTTCGAAGGTTATTACAACGTTATCTTTCTTACAGGTAACGCAGAAAGCAGCAAAAAACGAAGGTATTATAACAGCAGTGCGAAAAGTGTGCGGACGTGATGCCTTTACCTTAACGACGGATATCATTTGTTTTCTACCGGATCTCCTGTCGCCCAAATTGCGTACAGTTCCATCTCATTTGTATTTACCGAAAGAGAAGGCTGATCTCGCCAGAATAGTGAATGTGATGGTCGAGTTTGGACTGTCGTTCGTACAAGAGAAGAATTCTCAAGGAGGATACGTCTATAATTTAGATCCGTATGTTGTATACAACAACGAAAATTCAGAAATTACTCACGTGCTGCTTAGAATATATATATATTATGTCTGTTCTCAGTAATATTGTTGAAGTTGGTGTTCTTCCCGACTGCAACGCGCATCGAAATCTCCCGTACGCGGTACAGCAAATAATCGCGCAGGAGTTAGAGGTCGAACGTTTAAAGCGTGCGAGCATGTTAACGGGACTCGGTATTTCTTTAAACACTAATTCAGAGAAGTCATCCAAAGCCGCGGAAAACAATAAAAGTAATAAATCTCCCAACGCAAATAACGAAACGTCTGAGAAACAGCAAACGTCTGACAAACAATCTGGCAAAAGCAAATCGGGAAAAAATTCTTCGTTGAAAGAAGCAGTAAGTCTTACATAGTGGTTTTTGTTTGTGTTTATATATATTTACTGTATCACATCAATCTCTTTATATTTAACACTGATTATTTTCAGATATACAAGGACTTCTTCGGAAATGTAATTACAAAACAAAGGGAAAATGTTCAAAATCGTATTTCTCCAAAATCACAAAGAAATTCGATAATTCAGAATATTTTGACAAAACACGGAGTATGGTACAAATATAAAGAAGGTTGCAACAATGCTGTTCGCCGAAAAGTGTTTATGGAAAAGCTCATGTAAAGCGATTTATTTTTATTATAATTCATCTGTATTGATATTAAGTGATACTACACTAGAAATTGTATATTAGTGTTATAAATATATGTTTTTATATCTTTAATATATATATATATATATATATATATATCGTAATCACGTGACCGAAGTCTGTAACACCGCCGCGGTCGCGCGGCCGAGGTCAGTGACCCCACCGCAGTCGCGCGACCGAGGTCAATGACCCCTCCCCCTCTCCCAAGGTCGCGCAGCCGAGGTCAGTGACCCCCCCCCCCCACAGAGGTCGCGCGGCCGAGGTCCGACCGAGATCTAACCGGTCAAAATGTAAACTCAATCTGTCAGGATGTGAACAGAACCGTACGTTATGGATAATCATATCCACGTTTACATATAGTGCATGCACCAACAAGTCGCTCGTGGACGTGGCTGTAGTTGCTCATGTGCACCCATGGACATAGTGTTTAACTTACAGGTCGGAAAAGCTATTACAGTTTTTTCTGGCTTTTGCTCCTCTTGTGAAGGGGCGTGCGCCATATAAGCAAAGAAGAAGGAGAATATTACAGTTTGTTATATGGCCCTGGTCGCTTTCAGTCTTCTCTCTGATAAAACTACGCTACATGCTTATTGGTTCAAATGGTCTTATATTTGCCTTTTAAACGCTGCCATAAAACGGAGCCATTGCTCCGATACCAATTCACCTCCGGATCCCCACGCCTGTAGGGATGTTAATTCTACATACATCAACACTACTACCAACACTCGAAATTACTCCAGAAAGCTAAAACACCCAAGGAAAATACATAGAATGGCGTATGGACTAGCTGTAACCGGTCCGCTGAGCCAGTATTGCACCAAATGATCTTATATTGTATATGTAGCTAAATGCGATTTTGTGTGCGATGGTCTTTACTGGCAGTAAGCGATGTCATTGAGAGTTTGAGAGATTAGATTAAAGTTGCGTTTCGGGTACGCGTTATCAGCGTTATTTTATCATATATTACTAAGTTTATCGGTCATTGGATATAAAATAAAAAACACTGCATGAACAGTGCGAGAAGTTCAGCTAAAGAGAACAGGTCTTACGTATGTAATCAGTAAATCAGTAGCTCACAGTTATGTTTGAGTTTGATACAAAGTTTTCAAGATTGTGCTTATCACAACAAATATAAAAATAAAAAACGCCTACTGTTAGTTATTAACGATAAAGTGACTTTACACAGTTTTCTATCAACTTATTTGATTAATAGCAAAGCGACTATGGTATGTATACTATTTATAATTTAAAAAGCTACTTCATTTTCCTGCTTAGTTTTTTTTTATATAAATATATATTATATAGTTTTTTTTTATATAAACTTTTTAAATTTTTACTTAAAGGAAAAGAAAAGAGAAGTACCATCTTTTATGAGGAAATGTTTAGCAGTCGATGCTTATTTAACCGATGTTATTGCCAAATGGGCAGAACAGTCTTCATATTTGAAGCAATTGAAAATATATCACAAAGTCTTGTGGGTAAGAATAATTACCTATTTATTTCTCTTACTGAGTAAATAAAGTATGAATGACATGCCATTGAAATCTCAACAGATTTATGTACAACATTTATATATCATATGCAGGGTGTCTGGAAAATCTGCCAATACTTCGGGAAGTGATTGGGGATCCAAAAAGAAGGAAAAAAGGTATATAAACATAAGTCCGGAAATAAGTCGTTTCCGAGTTATAGCCACTTTTATGTTTAAAGATCGTAATTTTTTTTCATAATCATAATTTAGTTTATTATGTTTTAACATAAATAACTGTTGTGTTTTGACGTAAATAACTTCATTTTGGACTATTCTGATAGAAGAAGAACCTGCATTCGTGCTGAAAGTGATCATGTTAAACATCATATCCGATTCAAATACCTGTTTATGTTCAAAATGACTATTTATGTTAAAACACAATAAAATAAATTATGATTATGAGAAAAATTACAATTTTTAAACATAAAGGTGGCTATAACTCGGAAACGATTTATTTTCGAATCTATGTTTATAGAACTTTTTTTTCTTCTTTTTGGATCCTTAATCTAACTTCTCGAAGTATTAGCAGCATTTTTCCGGACACCCTGTATAACAGTGTGATATTTCAAATGTATTACTCATGTTTATTTTTACTTATACATGTAATTATTATTTCGCAGATATCATCTCATGCCATAGTATGGTTAATGACTAACCTTGCTTTGATTTGGATCATTGCCAATCCAAATTTATATCAGATGCAAGTTAATCTTATGTTAGGTAAATTTTGGATGAAACTGACATTGTCACACATTTGACTTTTATGTTAAAAAAAATTATTATTTTAGGACTGATACTTGACATTATTGTAATTGCTGTATTGAAAGCATTAACAAGAAGAAGGCGACCTTCAACTAACAACAGTCTCTCCTCTAAGAAAGATTCTTTCCCATCAGGACATTCGGCACGTGCAGCTTTTGTAGTATATTTCTTCATCAATCTTTGGCCAGTGCACATGATATGTGTACCTTCCTTGTTAGCATGGTCCTTTTCAGTATGCTTTTCTGCTCTTATAAGCAGAAGCCATCACATATTTGATGTTGCAGCAGGAGTGGTTGTTGGTATTTTTGAAGGTTTGCTCATGGGTTATTTATATTTAGATCAAGAAACTTGTACAAAATTTATTTGGTGGATTACTGATGAGAAACTATCCGGACCCGATTATGATGTTTGAACATTGATTTGAATTTTTTGTGTTAAAACTTTTAATAGAAATTAAGAGGTGTATATTGATAAAGGAAGAGGCGCAAAAATAACGTGTAATATAGATAAAACTTATTATAAATTACGAAATGTAAAATATTTTAATATATTTAAGTATTTTTATGAAACATGTATATTTTCTTTTGCACCTTCGTTTATGCGCACATAAAACTATGGCAGTTTCGATGACAGTGTGTTTTGGAAGTAACAACTAATTTTGTGTTTATTTTTGGTGTCTTTTGTTTTTAATTATAAGCATGTTGTACATAACTTTTTAAATGGTATATAAAACTCTTGTGTGTGAAATAGTGGGGGAATGTCCAATTTTTTTGATTTCAAACTTGTATAACTTTGCATAATTAATTACATATTCTTGTTAATAACAATGTGTGTAAATCACACATCGTGAATTGTCGATAGTAATCCACTTCTCTTACCAATTTTCTTCAACTATACGTAGTCCTTGTAATCTTTGCAGAATGTCCCTTTATTTGGATTATACATTCTGAAATATCGATGAGTATCTTGATGTTTACACCGATGCATGATAGATATATATGTATATATATATATATATAGATGTGCGCTTGATACGTTTTCTTGTGTGAACAGTTGTCGATAAATGTAACTATTTGCTAACGTATTAGAGCCTTATGTCTATTCTACCTACACTGTGCAGTACGTATCTCTTTTTCTAATTATCATGCATTTCTAGGATGGTTTTTTGCGCGCAAGCCGTGTTGATTTTTTTGTTCGCATTACGCGTGCATGTAATACATTCTAATAAATATGAATTAGTCGTTACTTTCAAGGCAAAATACTGCGGGAAATACTGCAGGTTTTTCACATTTCTTTCCTATCATTAAAACATAAATAAATAAATAACATATTATTAATTTAAGTTTGAAGAAATATACAAGTGTGCTCTAAGAATTAACAAAAAATTGTATATGCATAAAATAAAGCGTATTTTATTACGCGCGCGCGTGTGCTCTGTTCTCCATTTATAAACAAAAAGCCTATAGTGTTTAATTAAAATTATTTTGATAATACAAATATATATATATATCCGATGGAAAAATGCAAAAGAAGATCTCTTGGATAAATTTATACACTTTGTTTATACATTTTTTTTTAAATGTATTTTTTTGCCTAACTCTACGTTTTTCTACAAGTCTACACTTGATAAACAAATCCACGGTAACTATTGTCTCAATCTCGCCACAAAAATTATAAAACTTTGGTTTGTCACATGTGGAGGTCCCTTCATAACAGGATTTACCTAAACCTATTTACTGCGAATATACGCAGTATCGTTATACATGTATACGTAGCAGTGATAATATTTCATATATAGTCATTACAGTTTATTCGACTTGTCTTCTATTATTTTGATACGTACTTATTAATTTACTCCTCTTGTGAAAACGAATTTGACATGATACAACAAGACTTCGAAAGAGCAAGAGCTATTGATAATCTTGGACACAGATTAATAAATCATAAAAACTATGATTCGAACTAGAAGACGTTTCGATCTTTAATTTTTTATCATCTTCGACCGCTTATATAAATTATTATATACGATTCTGGGAATCACAAGTTGTTATGCTCTATTGATTATCATTTAGGACTGTCAGCTATGCTCTTTCGAGAAATTATAATTGTTGATTCTGAATCTGAACGCTTTTATACGTAATTGTGTGAATTTTCTTTTATCGTCGAAATTAAAAAGTGTTAAACATTTTCTGAATTTCCTTTTCATAGAAAAGCTTTTTTTCGAATTTGTTTATATTCTTTTCTATATTTGTTTATATTCTCTTTTTATATCCATTTTTTTAACACTCTCTCTCCTATTTCTCTTATATATTTGTTTCTTACTCTTTCGTGATATACATACATCATTAAACGACATACATCATTCTTTGAAAATAAGTAAAAGAATGATGTTAATAACATCAGCAAGCTAAAATTAATATAGAAAACATTCTGTTTTTCTAATTTTTTTTTTTTTGTTAAGTAAACTTTTGCGCGTTTCTATTGATATATATTTTGTCGTAATTTATGAAATAAAAAAAAATGCATAACATTCTCGTTTATAAGTCAACTTATCTATATCGTAGATATATAATTTGCGCGTTGGTTGAAGATCGTTCGCGGATCGCACAATGTTTTATTAATCTCTCTTTCGAGTTGCAATTATATTTCTCTTTCTCCTTAGATCTATTTTAAATAAAAAAAAAAAAAAAACTCGAGTTATTCACACGAGAGAATGAGCGTTGACTCAGGTTGGTCCGATCTTTTTTAAAACGTGGTAATTACGAAGAGGAAAGAAGACAATTATGTGTTAGCTGGATCGCTTCACCACAAAGGCGAGTGATAAAATTTGAGATCCAGGTGTCCGTGTTGATTGGTGCCGGTGGTCACTTCCTGACCGCACGACGGCGACGGCTTCACGTTCTTCTCCGCTTTTTCCGCTTCCAGCAGGATAGGTACGAACGACTTTGTCTGATTGTCCGGTACGACCGGCGTCGGGACGGTATTCATCTCGACGCTGCGCTGCTTCTGTTCCTCCTCGGAGTAGAGGCTCAAGGAACGCGGTCGTTCCAGCTTCAGCGGCGGCGACGCGTCGCTGCTACTGTCGACGCTGCTGAAAAATCAACTTGCCCAGTCAGTTGACGCGACAGCTGACGTGCAAGCAAGCTGACAGCAACATGCAATTACATGTCCATCTCAATTGTGAGTTCACACGAATCCGTTGCAACCGAACTCTTCAGAGAAGATGACGAGAGTTCTCGCAATACTTACGCAAAAACAAAACAACATTTCAAGAAAAATAATAGAAAAATCCTGCAAATGACGCAATTTGGAAACAAAATTCGTACATAGAAATAAATAATAATGTATATGAAAGTTTATTTTGTGGAAAAGATATGCATGCTAACACACACACACACACTAAAACGTTAGGAAATCGCACGCAGCTTCTTATGAAAACACACACTGTTACGAGAAAAATAGCAACTAAATATAAAACGCTGTAAAAAAAGACGCTTGAGCACAAATTAAAAAATCAGCACAAATAAAATTTTTGTTACTTTTGTTCGAATATATCAAGTAGTTAAAAATTCGATTTTCGACATTAACCCGAACAAAAGTGTATCATACATCTTAATTCTCAATCTCTAATCAAGATCTCTCTTCAATTTCGCAGGTCTTCGCGCTCAAAAAAAACAAAAGTAAACATAATTACGTTGCATCACACAAATCAGCAAAAGGCAAATCTTTATTAACTCAGGTGTAAGTGCAACTTATTACAAAGAAACTTATAAACTGATAATTTACACGTTAAATAAATATAATGTACACATTTATGCTCGCGTAAATTGTATATAAATACTTACAAAATTATAAAAATACGTATAAATACATTCTATGTTCTCTCTACTCCGACGTTAAAAAAAAAAAAAAACATTCGGTATTTTGCGATGTTACACTATCCTCTTATTTATGTTGATCAAATTCATATTTACAGATTACGAATGTAACAAATATCTGTGATAAAAGAGATGCGTCCCCCCTTCTCTCTTATTACACACATATATATATATATTTACTAAATCTAAAATAATATTAACAATATTTTCTAAGTTTGATTGCTATTTACACTTTTCATTTACAATAGAAATTGTCGCAACGACGCGCTGACACTCCTAGTTTAAATTTGCGCGGAAAATAGGATTTGGATGACCGAGACGATCCGGGAATATTTAACGCTCGCCTAGATATGCCTTGGCAAGAGATAGTGCGCTTATTCAGTGTAAAAATAGTGTTTCGGCAAGCTGTCCCGGCAACATGAGCATCACGCGAAATCTCACGTTTAATCAATCATCTGATTTAATAAATTTTGTTTTAAACATTGCGATTGTAAAAACCAAAAAATTAAATATTAGTCAACAATCACACACGCGATGCATTATCACAACAAATTGTGCGAAGCATTTCGGATTATTCGCTTTTGGAATATGTTGAACGCTCTTTTTTTTTAGCGGGATTAATCGAAGCATCAGCGGTGATCGTTAAAACGATATTTGCTTACGGTGCGAGAAACGCAAAAATAAATTATACATTATGCTGAAAGTTCTATCAATGTTTTCTCATTTACAAATTTCATTATTTAAAACAAAAACAATTCGCTATATCTACAACAGATAATTCTTTACGACTAAAACTCTTCACAGTCTCAAAAATTGAAGATTTCATTGCACAAATTTGCGAGAGAGTTCAGCCTTTCAAGATCACCAGTCAGGTACAGTAGTCTCTCTCTTTATGATTTAATCTACGGAGTAAAAATATGTGTGAGGGAGAAATAACTTATTCGGAACCGATTTATAAGAGAGAGAGAGAGAGAGAGACTACTGTACGTGGTACTACACGTAACAACATTCTTTGAGCGCTACACCGTCGTCGCATACAAAAATTTTCAACTAAGCATTTAACAAAAAAAAAAAGAAATTAGGAAACAGACGGTTTGATGGAACTCAACGACCAGTGCGTAAATTTTACTCACCCGGTACGCTCGGCAGATTGACCAAGCATCGCTGTATTATGGATTATCTAGAAGAAAGCGTCAATATTGATGATTAGTCACGCTTTGTGTTACGTTGAAAGAAAAATATTAAAAGCCTGAGAGAGAGATAGAAAGAAACAATTGAAATCGCGCGATTAGTCGCCAAGTCTGCGCTAACATTAGACAAAGAAGCAAAGAAGAGAAAACTTTGTGCGTAATTATTAACATAATTTACCGATTACTTTTTATAGTCTATCATTAAAACCTTTAAACTTTTTATCTTATATATTTAAAACAACGTTTAGTAACATTATTTTGTAGATGCAACAGTTTTATGTGCTTCTCTTCCATGATACATTTTTTAAGATATATAACATAAATTTTTATACACAGAGACATAACGACTACAAGATGCTCGCGTTAGAATAAACAATGAAACATCGAATGGAAGATTTTCTCTCTAGCGGCACTACGTTGTCGTACTCACGTTTGCCATGGAACAGGGCGGTCGTGCCGCGGCGTATCTACCGAACGAGCTACGCGAGACGGACGTTACGTAGGGAACTCCATTGAGACTGAAAAGCGAAATTTTATATTTTTTTTTTATTTGTAACGAACTTACGCATCTGTCATCGTCTCGCAATCGCGCAGTCGGCCAACAACGCACACCTACCTAGCGCCATTTCTCCCGTTATTGTTACCCGAAGTTCCGTCTTCTAGACCCATTCTGGGAGGTAGACTATATCTGTTGCTTCTCACACTTCGAGTTTCTGCGAAAAACAGTGCAACAGATGAGAATCTAATTACGCAAATTGTCGCGAAAGTCTTGAAGCGCGAGTCAGGTGAGAAAAATCATCACATAATATTTAACAATAATAATGATCGTTAAACATCCGTCGCTTAAACATCCCATTGCCACTTGTTTTCTTCCAAAATTGCATTATATCTGTTTTATATTTAACGATCCATTTTCTGGTCGACAAAACGTTCAGGGACATGAATTTCTCGAGAGATACACGCGCGTCCCTCAAATTGGAGCAGGCCGTGTATAATCAGCATAAATGCGATTCAAGCAGGCTACTCGACATCTAGGGACAAGCTTGATCGATCGACATGACCGAAGCGCATAAATCGTCCTCAGCGCGCGACATTGGCCGCGATTTTGAGCTTACCCGCGTGAGTACCACCGATTTAGGACGCGAAACTCAACGCGAGTGACTCGTTCCGTAGGGCGGTTCGACCTTCGGAACAAGATCGACACACAATGTCTGGCCTTGTGTATAATAAGGCACTGAAGACCGGCAAAATGAGCTCGTGATGCCGCATCGCACGAGAGCGACAGTATACGCGTATAAAAGAAGTAAAACTACGTACCGTCGTCAAAGAATCCCTCGAACACAACGAATTTGTTATTCTGCGGAATGATTTTTGAGAGTCCGTAATGTTTGCGTAAAAAAGCTAAGAACTTTTCCGACGGCCGATCGATCGCCAATTTCACCGGCTTGATGTTCTCCTCCTGCAAATTAAAACCACCATTTTATTAGCAATAAAATAAAATACTCAAGTATATAAACATATGATAGAAAAACTTGTCGAGCAATTGATCGCGTTTAGACGTACGATCGAGTTTCCGATGTTATACTTGTTTCGCGCATAAAAACAAGATTAGGAGAAAACGCGGCGATCGGTGTGTGTGTGTGTGCGTGTGTGTGTGTATGCGGCAAAATCGGCGAACCGCAAATGCCGAAACAAAGTGAACGAGTTCAGTCACCTTGCGAGTTACCTGCGAGCGTAATACGCTCGCTCGCCTCTATGTAAATGACCTTTTGTCACGCGTCTATTTAAGATCGGTCACGTTTTACGCGCGATATCTCGAACTCGAGTCGCGAGAAAGTTACGGCGGCCGCGAAACAGTTCGTTGTACACAGACGTAAAATTACGTCTGTGATCCGAGATAAAAGACCGCGGCGGCGTCTCTTACAACGTGTTTTTTTTTTTTCTGACGTAAAACTCGGCGTTATTATTTCGAAACAATGTGAGACGGCGCGTCACAATCGAAAGAACAGTTTTCGTTACACACCTTGACGAACTTGAGAATTAGAAAGTATTGTACGTACATATTATTTTCCGCGATGTGTTTTCTAATAACATAAAAGAGAGATAACAATTTTATGAAAATTTTATCTACGGCGCTCTTCTAAAGACAAAATTTTATACGATTTCTCTTTACTACAAGAGAAAAGTTTCACGTGAAACTAGTGAAGATATTTTCGTCGAGTTTAAAATATACGAAATACTTTCTATATTGCGCGAATAAATTTTATATTCTAGATGCACGACTTTTTATGCGCAAAAGAATTAAAAAAAAAAAAAAAATATCATGTCTCTCTTCGTTACACTCCTGTGCACCTGTTCTCACGTGACATTGATTCCAGGGTTTTGAGTTCTCGAGCGTAACGAAAAGCGGCTTACTGCGAATTCTCAGTTTTCCTTTTCGCTTATGCATTTCACGTTTTGCTCCGAGAAACATGTACGAGTTGTTTCTCGCAAACATCTGTGTCTTTTATTAAAATTATTCTGTTTTACAAAAATTCTAATTTTACAACAATTATTTCTCTTCACACACACACTGTAATAAAACAAATTGTGTGACACACTCGCGACGATTAGGACCAGATCACATTGAAGAACAGTTCGTACGACGCATATTGTACGTGTATAAATGTACTTTGCATGTTGTGTGCGCGCAGAGAATTATTAATGTTCTGTTTACTTTAAGTAGTCGTGCGATAAGAGTGATAACATTGAAGTATCGTGATATAACTCCACCAATATGCTTATATTGCATTCCCACGGAATATTCCACGCAATTTTTGAGCAGAATTTTGAGCGAAATGTTCAAGATGCTTTTCGTTTTTCGCTACGTAACAAGATTGCGCGGTACACAACCGTATCTTTCGTTTTGCACTGAGGAGCACTCATACCTATAACTATACATCGTGACCGAGCACGATGCCTTCTGCTCCCGTGCAGGAAGTAATTATTTCTTGTACTGGCGCATCAAGATTTGTCTTCGTGCGAGGGAGTCCGTATATTGTAGTGGAAACTTACATGCACGCACACACACACACGCACACATACACACTTTCTCTCTCTCTCTCTCTCTCTTCATGTGAGAACAACACGTTTCACGCGGACTTATTAACATATAATTATCGAGAAAACTATTCTATTAATTGAGTCAGCTTCTTTCAGCAAATATAAACAACCTTGAAACAATGTAAAAAACATATAAATTATATAAAAAAGTATAATCGAGGTAAACTACATTTTTTACACTTGACTGCTGAATCTCATTTTTATTGTCCCCTGACAGTATTTAAAGTTGATCTAGATCAAGATAAACAGATACATATGTGTTGACATGTTACTTATTAATTAACTTACAGATAACATGTGTTGATAAAGGATGTTGCCTAGGCCCATACGTTGCCGCGTCTCGTGTATGTAGAAGTCCAGAATACATCTCGCCTGCAGCTGATAATGATCTCCCGTCTCGTCGAAAAGAAATAAGTTTTTCGAACCCGTCTTTAATAAACCCACCACGCTGCCCAGACCGCTGCGAAATCAAACAACACACGACAGCGTCATTTTACACAGATGATTCATCGATCTCTCGATCTTTACGAGACATGATCGAAGGACGTATAAAGTTGTACGTCGTTTAATGATTCGTCATGCTAACGCGTAATATCTACGCGTAAGATTTGACGCGTAACTCGTGCCGTTTTTGTCAAGTTCCCAAAGCGATTGTAAAAGTTTCAATAATTCATCTTTTCAAAGCGACGTAAAAGGAATCGCAAAACTCGTGTTATATAATCACATCGCGTTTCGATATTTTCAGTCCGAACAACAATTCTAATTCAATCGGTGCAGAAAAACTCGACGTAAAAGTAGAACAGTTTTAATCCTATTAAACATAAGTCATTGTTTACATTGTTAACGGATATATATTGTATCTCAGAGTCACTTGTGCGTGTGACGCTTACTTGTTCGCTTCGTTATCTACGAGCAAGTAAACCATGTGATCCGTATCTCGAAGCTTAAGGGCGCTGGTGATGGGCTTGTTGAGTCCTTGGGCTTTCGCCGACGCCTCGCCCATGTCGTCCAATATTCTGCTCAATTGTCTCTGATATTCGCTGCAAAACAAAAGAAGCAAAATCAAAAAAATATTAGTGATAAATATTAAATTAAATAACGATATTGAGAATTTTTATTTCTCTAATTGTCTCGCAAGACAATTCTCGGCCGCCGATTTTTCAGATGACATCACACGTATTATCTTGAAATAAACGCGAACGAAAAAATAATAAGTATCTCGATCGAGCATCTAGATTGCTGTTTCTCTGTGTCTACGTAGATAGGTAGGTAGGTAAGTTTGCGGTTTATCGTTGAAACGGCGCGAAACAGGCTGCACGTTCCACTTTTCTCGCTTCGTTTTCACATTTTGTGCTACGCGCGCATCATTCTCTCATAAATCTATGCTAATTAATTTCGAACGGTACATTAACTCGATGATTCTATAGCGAATATTCAGGACGAAACGCACGGTTATTTGTAAGAACCAAGTATCTATTCGAACAGCACAACGTGACGAACAACAGAACGAGAAATGTAAATTTACCAAATAAAAAGTTCGAAACAAACGCCCACAATAAACTCAGACAATATCGCGATGTACTGATCTCTTGGTTCTTTCTTTATGCGCGCAATAAAAAATCTAACCAGTTTTTTTAATTTTGAATACTAATTTTCCACACACAGCGTATCTAATTATTACAATAAATCGGAATGTGAAAGTGATTTGTATAATGGCATTATTGTTTATAATCAGTTCATAAGAGTACAGCTTTATAGTCAAGCTAGTAAAACGAAATAGTTTAGTTTTTCTCATTTTTATACTCTCATGACCTGTATAATAAAACAAAGCAACGAGCGATATTACTATCCAATCAATCTTCGATGTTCCATAGTGATAGGTTGCACATTTTGCGAAATCACATGGTATAGTGGAAAATTATACTATCGCGGATGCAATTACTCGCACCGCTCTAATAAGAATGTACAAAATAATGGCGCGGGGAGAAAAAGGTGATCTCATGCGAACACATTATTCAGTTACAAGCGGTGACCTAATTTGGCGAGGTTTGGGCACGAGCCAATCGCCTACTTCGTTGATATGGATCGAGTTTAATTTATTCCATCGATAGCGCGTCTTTTCTTACGCTGTCATTACGCTGCAGGCGCAAAGTATGATTGATTGCTTTACGATGACGAGCGAGAGTAATTCGCCGCGTTTGTGGGGAAAGCTGCATTGTGGGAAGCTAATCTCCCGGCACAACGTGAAGTCTCGCGGGAGTGTATCTTGCGCAAGATAATTCACTTAAAATTCCGACGATCGGATTTTTAATAAAAAATTTTTTTTTATTAATTACGACGAATTTTTTTTCCCTCTCGAGTAAAATTGATCTTTGTCGTCTTTTTCTGTTTCTCATATTTTGCTACGCACTTTTGTTTTAACACGTCGTACTTATATGCTTCGGCTTAACGTGCTGAAACCAATTAACAAGTTCGTGCGAGAATCTAAGATCGACGGATTATTTCCGTTATAAAGCACTAATTAAAAAGGCATTACGAGCTGCTCGAGATTGCGGCAAGTCGCTCGCGCGCCTACTGCTGGCGTAACGAGCGATTTGCCGGCGCACACGCGCAATCATTGCGTCAACTCAGTTCCCGCCAAGGAGGACAGGCGAAGACCGGAGACAGGGTTTTCCGCATAATAACGGGGGTAACGAGGGACAAACAACCTCTCTCGCTCGCGCGCGGCGATGAAAAAGAACCACTTCTCTGCCATTTCGTCATAGACTTCCGCGAGAGCGTCGCGAGTCACTGCCTAGGAATTCGATGGCGAGTTCTTGCGAGTATAAACCGAGTTCACGGAACCGAGTTACAATCTCGCGGCAACAGAAACTCCCGTCCGACTTACGGCTGAAAAATCACGATCATCCATTTCGCGTTTTATCGAGTTTCTTTCGTGACAAGTTGTCTTTCTCGTCGGAGTATTTTGTTTTATTTAAATCCCCGAACTCTCTCCGCATCTTTCACCTGAAAGGATTATCGCGTTAATACTATGAAATCAAATAAAACGGCGAATCAGTTAAAAACAAACGTCACTAAGTCTTGTCTTGAAAAAATCGTTTACGTCGCGTGATGTTTAATCGCTTATTAAACGAATGACATAATTCCTTAATCGCGACTTAAATGAACGGGATGGGCATGAAATTGCAACATTCCTTGCGGTTTCTTAACTGACGACTTTCAATCAGCTGAATAGACGGCCGTTCCGCATTCCGCGGTAGTTAGCAACGGTGGCAGATCTGACAATATCCAATGTCTTCTAGTTCGAAGATCAATTGGATGAAAATAGAATAATGTTACACTTTGGTGATGATCTATTTTTAATGTCTCGTTTGTAAGATATCGCATAGACAATTGATGAGCGTCTACATTGACACATTAATTATCAGACATTTTACGATTCACTAGTACTGACGTATAAGGCGAGACTTCGGCGTTGTTTGACATGTAGCGCGTCTGTAAATCGGTGGCTGACGCATCGCATACAAAATATTACACGAGGCGTAAAGAAACGCGCGTGTCTCGAATTGCGCAAACGTACGTGAAAATTTGATATATACAATATGTGCTCGAAAATTCGGACGATTGTTGTTTGTCACCAATAAAATCTAAACAAACAAATGTGTTACACAGGTAAAACTTTGCCCATAATTTTACACAACACGCCAACTATTTCACATCGATAGCAAATGTTGTCACAAAGAATTTTAAACTAGTAATAATTGATGATGTTTATCGCAATTATTAATATTACATTACTCGCGAATCAATCACGTCGTCGTGTAACGGAGTAATGTTGTAATAACAGGTCGGTTGATGATGATATCAAAATTGTTATCAACGACGATATCCCTATCTCCTATCGGGACATTACGCGAAATCTGAAATTAAAACCTGAATGACTAATTTGCAAAGTCATTAATGTACAGTGAAAGTTTCCTGTCTCTGTGTGTACATGTTCATTATTACAAGCACCGACGTAACCTTGGCGATTAATGGCCGATACTACACAATACTTTCTCTCCCTCTCCTTCACCGTCTCTCCTTGTTTTTTTGACACACACATCGTCGCACTCATTTTTTTTGTGTTCTTTTCTTAGAAATAAAAATTCGCGATTTGCTTGCAGAAAAATTCTAAAACATTATTATAATTTCTGAGAGAGTGAGAAAGAGAAAGAGAACAAAATATATAATACAAAGATGTAACATATTTTTTACTCCTTATTTTTATGTAAAATTTTACGTGACACGATACATGTGTAAAGATCGTTTTCAAGACTGATGACTTTTGAAGGAAACATTTCCTGAAACAATCGGCTACGTACACATACGACAAGTCGTGCGTAACATGTGCGTCTCTGAAAGAAAACAAATTCCAAAACATGCAAAATTATGCTGCGTAATAAACGTTACGTAATGACGATGTGACCAAGTATTATTTCACAAAAGTTGTATCTGTGCGCGTATTAATTTAATAATATACACGTGCGTGTATATTAAAAATCACATGGATATTTGTGTGTGTTCATAAATTTTTACACGCACAAACATCCTAGAGACATGTGCGCGAGATCAAAACGTGATGAACACATCAGGAAGAGAGACGATGAGGTTACTTGACACCTTCGAGAACGCGCACGCGACTACGCGATGAATTTTGATCTAAAAATGGATATTGCGCAGCCCGATTAAATCATTCCGGAGAGAGAATCGTACGAAAGTGGTACGTGCTTACTTTAACTCGCGTCGATCACCCTTGAAGTCTTCCGGCACCAGGTTGTGCGTGACCTTGTTGATCTTCCTGGGCAAGAGTTTATTTACGTTGAACTTGAACTCCATCTCGAGCTCTCGATGATCGTTTTACTGTGTTCGGAACGTATGCGTTTTCCTTGTCACCGTCGTCGTCGTCGTCGTCGTCGTCGTCGTTGTCGTTGTCGTCGTCGTTACGTTTCGCGCGCGTCGACTCGTCTCGGTGGATGGCCGAGAGACTGTTTTTTCGACCCTGCGCGTCTACCCGATGGATGGGGCAACGACGGCTCGCCTTGAATATGGCCGTTGTCCGCGCACCCTTTCGCGGCAACTTCACTCGGCGTTCTTGGCTGTCACGTGAACATCGATCGTTTTGCGCTGTCTTTCTCTTTCCGTCCTTGTTTCTCTCTGTCTCTCTCTCTCTCTCTCTCTTCTTTCGACTCCTGTCGAGCGAGCTCCTGTCACTGACGCAGAATCTTACTCGGATACTATATCGAATTGACACCTTCGCGCGACACCTCTGCCTGTGTGTCACGTGGGTGCCAAGCACACCGACACTGCTATTATTTATCTTGTTTTCTCTCTGTCGTCCTTTTACTCTCTCTCTCTCTCTCTCTATTGCTCCGAACTTTTGTCGGCACCACTACTCGTCATTACTTTACTAACCCCCTTTCCTTCGTGCGAGACGATCACTCTTCTCTCTCTCGTTTTAACTTTTCCCTCGCCGAAAGAGACATTCGCACACCCGACCGAACGCGAGAGAGAACACGACAGAGAAGGCTCGCCGAGAGCGCTCCGCGAAAGAATCGATCGCTCCCTGCAAATTGCGTTCGCTTCACGGCTCACGGCCGTCGACTGATAGCCATCGCCGCCGCCGCTCGCGAGCCGGAACACGAGGATGCCTCCTCCGCGTCCCTCCTTCGCGGGAGAGCAGACGAGAGGTGACGCGAACGCGCTTTCGAAACGCCGCTCGCGACTACGCTCCGCGTGATGAAGCTCGTGAACAACGCGGACCATTTGACAGACGTTTGACAACGGACTTGCAGGATGAACCGTATGATGATGACAAGCGCGTCGGAAGAAGAAGAGTCAAAAAAGATTTCCCGATGAGATCATATTGACATTTCGGAGCCGACGCCGCAATTTTTAACGTCGTTTGAGCATCTCACCTGGTGTGATAAAAATGTCAGCCACCACGCGTCAGTCTCCGCAATGCCGAAGCGGTGCATACAGAACGCGCGTTCAATTTTTCCTGCAAAAGCCGCGTCGAAGCGCGCGCGCGCGCGCGCACATCGCCGCAGGATCCGTATTTGGATATTGTACAAGTGACGTCAGAAGGTCCGGAGCGCAATTGCCAATGGGGGGAACCAACCTAACCCATATCGAGTGAAGTGCGTCGCATATTTTCCTCTTCCACAAATCCAGAAAAAAATATAAATATTTATAAATGAATCTTACGCACAGAATTATTGCGCGTATATAAAAAAGTTTTGTATGTGTGTTAAAAATTTTTATAATAGAAATGTATCGCAGAATAGAGCACTACCTGTACAATAGGTGCGTGTTTTAACCGAATTCTAGAAACAATTGGATTCTTTCCGATTTGTTTCTCGTGAATCTCCAATCACGTACCGCTAAGTTTAATTAATTTTACAACTCCTTGAAAATTTCAAAGCCGTTGTGCCATCCTCGTAATCAGCTACTGTTGACGAATTTGAATCCCGCACTGACTCCAAACTGTCAATTGCAAGCCGTGTGAATGTTCGCTATCGATACAACAGAGGGCGCCTACGATCCATTTTCGCGCAACTTTTCCAAACTGTATGAACGACAGTTGTCACAGATACTATCGTTATTATCGACATTTTGTTTTTTTCCAAGGGTGTATTATATCGAGGGTGTACCGACGCGACGAGCCGAAAGCCGTGTTAGCGGGATATACCCCGAGTCGGTACAACACGTCAGTGTAATACCATTATGCACGTACATACAGCAAGGAGTGGAACAAATCGTAGGCGCGCGCTCACATAACGCACGCATTACAAACCGTTCGTGGACATGGCTACGAGAGTAAAAGTAAAATACAAATACGGACACATTCGCGCAAGTAATAATTTTAAAAAGAATCAAAACTGCTCTGTACAAAATACGATTTAGTTTTAAATTTAAAACATTGCAATTGTATCATAGAACTAGCGAAAGAAACAGCCAATTTGTTGTAAACGCATCCAACACATTACGTACACATAAATTTTCTGTTCAACATTAAACTTTATGTTCGTCCTTTAATTTGTAGCTAGCATGCGTCTACATTAACTTGCGAAATGAGAGAAAGTTGGCAATACCAGGAAACATATCGTGCGCTCAATCAAGAAAAGTATTTCTTTTGATGCTTCCGATAACGTAATAACACAATCGTCGATATCATCGCGTCGGTATGGATCTCATAGCGGAGTCTGAAACAACAGCGCAGCAGCTGGTGAAAAAAGAACTACTTCCCCTGATATACTGCTCTGTATTTCATCGTATTTGACAATTATTGTCATTTTTTGACCATTTTCAGTCATATTCAAATTTTTCTGTTGAACCAACCGATTGTGAGAATTCGCACAATACGTCGCAAGCATTTAACTGGAAGCACATAACTGGAAAGTAAGTAAATGAAACTCGCGGAGATGTTAGTGCGTGCACACTGCACACGCGCTGACGATCAAGAAGTATATACACGTTAATTTTATGCAACAAACGAAAACACGGCGCCAAATATGATAAGTAACAGCAATCGGATTGAATTATGCATACACGCACGCGCGATGTGTGTGTGATTATTAAAATATTTGAGCGATCGCGTTTTATAGCTTTATCTGAGAATGAAAATTCTTCAGAAAATAAGGAAGCAGGCAATATTTGGAATATTCACGANGAAGTAGCAGCAAAACATTCATTAGATTCAAGAAATGAAAATATTCAAGATGTGGATTTTACTTAACAGAAAAGTCAGAGATTTACAATCACACTTGTAGCTCAAACAGTTATATTTTATTAAGACTGATTAATACATGACCAACGAGTTCAAAGAATCAGAAACGGTCAACGAAGTACGAAACAAAAACAAAGATCGCACGCTGCGAACAAAAGACAAAGCACATGAAAAGAACCATCAAACATCATGAGCAGTGCTTCTCAAACGCATCATTCACAGCACATATAGGTTTACACACTTTTAGCATCTTTTGCACTCCGAACAATCAATACAATTAAACTTAAACAAAACTCATTTTAACAATTATTTCCAACACAAGGTCTACCTACAAAGTTGAAGCTTTATATAAATCAGCCTATTTTATCACGAAATTGTGATCCAATACAATATTGGTTTAGAAAGAGAAAAAATGTTTTTCCAGCAATATTTCCAGTTGCGTTAAAATTTTTGACGATTCTAGGAGCATCTGTTCCTACGGAAAGGGTTGTTTCAACATTAAACAATGTTTGCTCTGATTACAGAAGTCGGTTGACTTATTATCTAATTAAACAAAATGTTATTATTTTTGTATAATAAATGTTTTATTACTTATTAGGTTATTAACCGGTTATTTGAATAACCGATTATTTTTGTAAGATTAATTTTATAGAGTAAAAGTTATTAAAAAATTAACCGCTTAACAAAAACCTAGTTTATTTAATAATCGCCCATCCCTATCACTTTTCATCCTTGAGGCCGAGTTCCTTAAGCGCCTTATAACGACCGTGAACGAAACAATGCATGTAAAAGCATCGTTCTCATTGCTCATTACTTTTGTGATCGGCTTTGCCTCCCAGAAGTTCGGACATCGGTCATTTGAGAAGCACGCGCATCAGTAGTTACGTGATTGGGGTGTAAATTGCCGTTTTTAACAGGTGCCATAAGACACAATCTCTGTATATATAAACTAGCGGCGTGCAGACGACAAGGTTTAGTCAGTCGATCATTTTAACCGCGAATGTGGACCTCCCTTTCTTTCTTTTTTTCTCTATCTGTTTCTGGAACGAACAAGCAGCATCCGCGAAACTATGACATTTTTATAACGTCGAAGAGGTAAGACACGATCTTCTGTCTATTTTTTAAGACGACCAGATTGTCAATTTGATGTCATTTTGTCATGTTTTTTTTTTTTTTGCGCAAAAACGAAGCACGCGAAATAACGATTCTATGCACGATTTTGTTTTGCATGCGTAGAAGTGAATCTTTCTTCGAAAATAATCAAGGACAATTTTGTGCGTATGCGCGCGGATGTCGCGATAATTTGTAACAATGTGAAAATTTTGTGAAATTTTTAAAAATTAATTTTTAATAATTGTTTTTTTTTTTTCATGTGTAGAAAAACAGAAAGACGATTGATGTAATATTTGAATGAAACACGTGCGACGAATGTGAGACACACAAAGTAAAAATGAAAATGTCGTCGTAGCGATATTATTTGTCGCATTAACAGCCAAGGAAACGGGAAATGAACTATGATCTAGTGGCTCTAAACAGAGGATCTTATCAATCTTATATGTGTGTATTATAATAGTTTGCAAATATTGTGATTGTGTGTGTGTGTATGATACAGGAAAAAGTCACTCCACTAGAAAAGAATGTCAAGAATGAAAAGAAACGACAAAGATGAAGAGGAACGTGGTACACGTCTGTGATGCAAAACAGTTGCAAATTATTTTTTGCATTTCTTTTTTTCAAACAGGAATGGTGTCATCCTTGCGATCGTATAAATGCGCGGACGTTAAAAAGGAGCGCGCGAGTTAGTTACTCGATGTCGTATCGATTGTCATAAAGATACTTGCGTGCGTGTGTGTACTCGCGTTTGTACGTTTGTATGGTGTGTAGTCAATTTCGATACGTTCTTTCAATTTGTTGCGTCGTTCTTTCACTTTGACAAGTTCTTTTTGAAAATTATAATTGGCGAAAGTTACGTTTTTTGTTCGCGAGCGAAATAAGTGTTCGACAAAGAAGTATTACGTTTGCGTGAAATAAGTGAGAAGGTAAAAAAACGACTTGCCGTCGTTTTGTTCGAGAAACTAGTGAAGAAAAAAAATCTTTTCCTTTTTACTTTGGATTCGATTTTCAGATCTTATTGCAGAAGTAACGTTAAATTGAGTATACACAATCGTTTCTAAAGTGTTAATATTATTATTCTACGTGTGCAAAGACGAAAAATTATTCTATTCATTATATTCATATCTCTCTCTCGCCAATGACGATGAGTGGCAATACCGAATATAAAGATACTATTTTTAGCTTTCACTTTTTTTATCACTGTCAAAGTGTTACCGAAAGTAAAACCGTAATCATCAATACAAACAGAAATTTGACGTATTACCTTGACAATTATGCATATATGTTGTACAATTTCAGTTCTGTTCTCTCACTTCTTGTGAAACTTATTATTGCGCAAAATATATGATTGTCCGGCGCGATGCACTCCACTGGTACGCTTTGATACGCCCAGATTAATAGACGTTTTTTCCATTCTGAGTTGTTAATGTAAAGTAGAAGTGAATACCCTTCGTGGAATTTGGCGGGTGTGTCAATGTTGTTTATAATATAATGTAACGTTTTAAAATTAGATACATTGTCATCGAATAAATGCTCCTCAGCATAAAGCTACAATGATGTCCGGATACGAGTAAATCGATCCAGTAACATTTCAGTAGTCCCTGAAAACAAGTTTAACCAAAATAACTTATCTATAATAATGGAAAACTTCCATCGTGTATCGAAAGATTGAGAAAAAAACTTAAAAAAAACTTATAAAAGAAATAAAATATTTTTTGTAACATATACAACATAATAATAAAATAAAATAACAATAATAAACATAATAATAAACATAATAATAAAATATTTTTTGTAACATATCATGTAACATCTATATAAATTTCTTCGCTTTTTTAATTTTATTCTTTTAATCGATAATCGAAATTTATTGCCTGTTTAAAATTTATTACCTTTTTTGCCTGTTTACGGTCGATTTTATCATCTGTTTGCATAGAAAGAATGTTACATAATTAAAGAAAAAAACTTCAGCATATATTTTGATGCTATGATATCATCGATAGCTAATTAGTTTACACAAAACTTTGCGTTTTGCTTTGGCTGTCATTGCCGTCAAAAAACAACAGTGATAGACGAGCGTCGCGCTAAACAGATTAAAACAGTCACATGTGACTAATATGCTAATACTATATAGTATTTATATATAATTTATGTGGCTCTTTTAATCACTTATAATTCAAAACTTCAAGAAATTTATATAATAGATGACCTCTCATCATTGTTGTATTAAGTCGTATTTCACCTTAGAAAATATCCTGAAAATTCTATTACTTTAATAAAAAAATCAGTATAATAAGTTTGAATGTGTATGATGCAATGAGCTATATAGCCGGAATAAAATTGTTCAATAACGAAAAAACTATATAATTGTGTGATAATAAGACAAAGTTTAAAAATAGTTAAGGAAATATGTATAATTAAGTGCAAAAAACTTGCTTTGAAAATGTAACTTCAAAACAAAATTAGACATTGTAACATATACCTGTTACTTATCGACATGTTAGAGATATTGTATCATCAGTACTGATACAAATTCTCAAAAAGCAAGAAATATTAAGTAAATATGTAAAAGTAAATATGCAATTATAAATATATAATTTAAATTAAAAGTTACATTATTGCTGTTTGTCAGTCTGAAATTGTTCTTGACCGTGTTAACGTTTTTCATGTTCAGTTTTATAGAGTTTTTATCACTTATTAGAGCTTTTCTCTTACGTTGTGTTGATAAAGTTTGTTTATGTTGTTGTCTTTTGATTTTCATAGATTGACTTTGAACAATATTTTTATTTTTAACTTTGACACAATTTTGGGACTATCTAACGTTAATTTATTTTTCTATTCAGTTGGATTATACACGCCAGAAGAAAGATGTGGATCTACCTTGCCGTTTTATCTGTAATTTTCGCTGTATATGCGTTGAAAAAGTACATTAGAATCCTAAGCTTTATTTTCTCTCTCGACGGACCGAAAACAGTGCCCATTCTCGGGAATGTAAATATCATGCTTAAAGAAAACTGTGAGTGAAACGATATTACTAAAATTGTTGTGGCTTACATTATTTTCCAATCATGTGAAATTGTAAATGTTACTCGTACACCTTGTGTGCAAAAATAAAATTTCAGCGGAATGATTAAAAAAAAAACCAATATAGTCGGAGATGATTTCGCAAATATTTGTAATAAATTGAAATTTTAGTGTTGACGGAAATGGCATATGCACCGCAGAATTATGGCCGCATTATCCGGATATGGTTGACAGTTGTGCCGTACGTCGTGCTCACAGAACCGGAGGATATCCAGGCGGTGTTAAGCAACGTGAAGCACACGCAGAAGATATTCTTCTACAAGTTGCTCGACAATTTTCTGGGCAAGGGGCTGCTTACGCGAGAAGGTCACAAGTGGAAGATACACCGGAAAATGTTGCAGCCGGTCTTTCATCTGCATATGCTGGAAAAATTCATCAAAATGTTCAACGAGCACGCTGATGTTTTGGTCAACAAGTTACTCGACAAGAACGGCGAGAATGTAAACGTCACCACGCTCGTTAACAATTCGGTCTATGATATATTGAGAGGTGAGTATAATAAGTTATCGTATCTCCTTGATCGAGCGACGTTTGGTTCTCGTAGACAGAATCGTAGAATTGTTTCATGATTTTTTTCAGAATGAACACAATGCGACATAAAATTCACTAATTAATGTTTCAAGAAATACCTGGATATATTAATTTTTGTCAGTTTTTTTTACACTTTTAAAAAAGAACGTATTTGACTTGCAAAAGTGAGTTAAAAATAAAAAATCACATTCTGCTTATATAAATATAATTTTAAATACGATTCATAATGACTTGCTTATATTCAATTAAGTAAAGTATTCTTCTACTATGTAATTGTGGTACACGTGTAAAAACACGTGTAAAATATAAATTTATTAGAACGCGGAAAGTGAAATTATTAAAATATCTAAAGAAATTGTTATTTATTCTAAATTTTATTGGGGCTGTCTTGCAACGTGTAAAAAAAAACCTGTTCACGAAAGTTTTAATGGAAAATTTTTGCTCAAAACTGCAAGTAATATTTGTGTGACGTATAAAGTGAACGCTCGGACGCATATTAACATGAAATGCGGACAAACGCACGAAAACACAATAAAAAGATTGTTGTTCATTAAGCTGTCGTCCGTAGAAATTGACACTAATAGCAAATGACTTGCAAATTATATGGCAAGTGGCTACTAATGTTTACCTGTTTTATGCCAAGATGCTTTTTCAGCGGCGAGCGCGTAATTAATGAATTAACATAAGAAATGACTAGTGATGCAGTGCAAGCATCATCTTTGTAGATTTTTAATATTTGTATATTGTTGATGATGTGTCTGTGAAGAGACCGTACGCACTTGAGACACCATTTTTATATTATCACGCGCGTCGGCATTCGAGAGATGTGATAACTTACCTCTATGCCAAATATTAACCGTCTGATGCAACAATTGCGACTGTTTTTAGAAACGGTTTTGGGCATGACAAGTCAAAGAAGCAACGACGACGAGGATGACACACCATTCAGAAAGTGAGTAATGTATAACATGTATAAGTTTAATTCTACCAAATTAATTAATTTAAATTAATTTAATATTGTTATAATTAAAAGTGCGATTATTGTGCATATTTTGCGAAAATAGAGGTCAGGTAATGATGCTGTATCGATTCGCGCGACCGTGGTTGTTAATCGATTGGATCTACCGACTGACGGAAGCCGGAAGATCGGAGAAACGACAGCAGAAAGCTCTCTATGAATTTTGCTTGAAGAAGATGAAAGAGAAGCGTGAGTTTCTGCGCAAAAATGCTGTCTCCGACAATGAAACGAGAAAAGATACATGTGCGACTAGAAAGATGTGTTTGCTCGAGTACTTGGTCGAAATCAGCGAGAGGAATCCCTTCTTCAGTGAACAGGACATTATCGAGGAATGTTGCACCTTCATGCTGGCCGGCCAGGAATCGGTCGCCACCGCTGTCGCAATAACGCTTTTTTTTCTGGCAAACAATCCCAAATGTCAGAAAAAATGCATCGACGAGTTGGATCAGATCTTCGGCAACGACAACAGACTGCCCACTATGGCAGATCTCAAAGAGATGAATTATCTGGACATGTGTATCAAGGAATCTTTGAGGTTGTATCCCAGCGTGCCGATTTTTGCGCGGACGGTCAGTCAAGACGTGAAAATAGGTAAATTTTTGCGGGAAACTGTCAACTGTGCGTCGAGAGAAAGAATAAATGTTTGCCAGGAATAGTTTACAAAACTAACTATGTAAATAATCATTGTAACGTCACTTTTTACTTACGTGTTGCGCAGGGAAATATGTGATACCGGCCGGTTGCGGCGTGTTTATATCACCATATATGACACATCGTCTGTCTCATCACTTTCCCGATCCTTACAGCTTCAAGCCGGAACGTTTCAGTCCCGAAAACTCTAAAACAAGGCATCCCTATGCCTTCATTCCGTTTAGCGCTGGTCCTCGCAACTGTATCGGTAAGAAAAGAAGAACTGTTACTCATAATAATAAAAACTGCGCGAATAAGGCATTTTGTAAAATCGGAAGTCTTTTTTTTTTAAATAGGAAAAAAAGAGACACATATTATTATATAATATATATACGTATTTATTATTCTTTCGTATTCTTTTTTTTAGGATATAAATTCGCCATGCTCGAAATGAAGTCGGTCATTAGTGCCGTTCTGAGGAAATGCCGGCTAGAGTCGGTAACTGGCAAAGAAGAAATAATAGCCAAGTTTCGAATGACGATCAGAGCTCAAGGTGGTCTTTGGGTGAAAGTGAGAGCGCGCGATTGACCAGAAATATAATCGGCGAGATATGTTTGATTGATGGTCGTCTACGAGATCTTGCTATTTACAGGACAGGATTATGTAATATATTTTAGAAAAGCGACACTATAAGAGAAGAATTCTTCAGACAGACATTATGTCATAAGAATCGGAATAATTCTTTTCCATATATATATATATGGTAAAGAGACATTGGCGCACAAAATACACAACGATAAAATTATACATTTTTAAAATTGTTTTTTGCTTAAAAGTCAATATCGCAATTTCTTTTTTTTTTTTGTAAAAGAGGTGTAGGCAATACATTTAGTGTAAATATGTAAAATAACAGTGCAACGAATACACACACACACATGGAAAATTGTATTAATATATACGTGAAAACTTCTTGTTGAACTTTTGCGAAATACGCTACAACTTGACTCTGTGCACAAATCTCTTTTCTCATATTAACCTTATGTGTCACTATATAGTGACTTCCTAAGCTAAGCGACGTTTTAGAACAAATATAATATATATAAAAAAGTAATATATATAAAAAAGTTTTGAATAAAGTTTTTCTTTTTTTATACATCATATTTATACATATATCTGTCTTTTTTTGTGATCCGAACGATCTGATAGTTGAAGACTTTAGTTAATTTGGTTCACTGAACTACAACTGTGTCAAATCAATCAGTAATTGAAGACTTATGACTTACAAGATGGTATTGGAAGTTCAAGAGATTTATTGACAATCATCACTCTTGAAGTATTTCAAATTGCCTACTTTTTTTCTTTTATTAGAATCCCTCGATCAAACACACACACACACACACACACACTCGCACTCAACATTTACTAGAGGAGTGCTGCGTGATTTTTTTCATCGGTATTACAGACGCAGAACAATAAAGTTTTGCATATCCACTCCCTGATGACCGTCATAGATGGCATTGATGCTGACTTTCTGCACCAATCTACAATATCCACACAGCGTTTTGTCTGACTCTGACGTGTACTTAGAAGAGAATTGCGTATGCATAATGTGACATATGAGTTTTGATGGTTTGCTAGCGATTAGAATCAGTTACAACATCTAGACATTTAGAAAAGTGTCAGACATTACGAACTTTACAGAATAAAAACAAACAACTTTTTTAATTTTATCGAGAATTGTGTTCAGTGCTGTTGTCAAACATGGCTTATGTGACTGGCGGTATAATATTTTTATCTTTTATATTTAACAATGTTACACGCGTAACCTCTAATAATTTAGAGTTTATAAAAATAAAAAATTGTGTTCTCAAAAACTGCGTTGACAGTTACTGGGAACGTTAATGTGTTATAAATAAAAAAAAGAGTTTGTAAAACTGTGCTTATTTAAATTCAAAGCTACATTAAAATGTGTTTGTAGACGGTGATTTGGTGCAGTCTGCTCCATGGGGATTGAAAAGAATTTTTGGATTCTTTACAGGAGTGTTATACATGATTATTATGTTGTAAGTATTGTTGATATGTGGTACTAGTACATTTGTAATCCACTGTACAAACTTTATCTTTTACTTGATTGTATTTTTTCTTCTTTCTAGCTTTCAAACGTTGATTAGTCCCGACATGAACAGAGCAGGAAGTGGAAGTGGATATACAAGAGATTATCGACCGGGATCTGGGTACAGTATCTATATTGGAATCTTAGCATCTTCAATTGTATGAGATATTATGACATTTGCAATTTATTGTATATTGTTTATTCACACAGGCCTCCACGTCCTCCACGTAGACTTGGTAGACCAAATACAGGGAACAATGTTAACGTACCATTTTTTGGTTGCAGAAGCTGTCAAGGATAAAAAATTCAAAAACTTATTTATGATAATAATTATTAGTATAAACAAAATGTTAAATAAGCAATAATTTGGGTTAAAACAAGTTTATTTTTCTCAAGTTTACTTTGTTAAAAGCATTTTGCTCTTTTGTAAATTTTATAAAAGCATTTTTATACAAGTTTTCTAACTCATGCAGAAAAGAGATGTATATGTTTGTAAAAACTTTCGTTTTAATGCTACTCTAAATGCTTGTCTTAAAAAAAAATCTTTGGATTATCAACATTTAAATGATACAAAAAAATCAAGAATTAATATAATTATTTATTGATGACCATAGTATAATCTTTTTATTGTGGACATATATATATCAAATTCATTACACTCTTAAAATATTACAAATAATTAGAAATATATTACAGCAAATGAGTAAAGTCTTCTGCATTAATCTCTAAATAAAATGAAACAACAACCTATAGAGTTTTTTTTTCCTGTGATGTACATACATGTGACGGCAGCATATATATGTATATGTATGTAGGTATTTTAAATCCTATTTATTTCTCACGGTTCCTCATCCTTCTAACGTGGAAAAAACTTACATTGCAAATTCGAGACTCTGTATATTTCTTTGTATGTGTAGGATCAAATTCACAAAATCTTTGTGATCAAACCTGCTGCAATAGTAGTACCTTCTAATCGTAACATAACTCTACCTAATTGCTTAATATCCTTATATAACTCCATACAGACTGGATTTTGCGTCGTGACTTCGATGATCGCGCTTGAGTTCTTCAGCAAACAGCGCGGTTTCTTCTTGATCACGTCGCCGGTGCTCCGGTGAAGCTGCGCTATTAATTTTGTGATCACCGCTGGTTGTACCAAGGATTGCTGATGCATCACTACTGGTAGCCCTTTTATGATCGGTTTTGCAATCGCGAATATCACCACGTGCGCTTGGAAGCACGTTGTCACGGGTACCGGATTCTGCGGATTGCAGATAATATTACCGATGCCCACTTTCTGCTGTTCGATTCCGGCTAGTGTCAATGCGACGTGATCGCCGGCAAATGCGTTTGTCGTCGAAACATCGTCCGACTGAATACCTGAGATACGCGATTTAAAACAAGCGTTAAATATGAAATCTTCTCAACTATTGGAAGAACAATTTTCACACCAAATCAACGAACCTTTAACAACTGCGATCTCGTTTGGGGGTAGAATTAAAACCTTGTCACCTAAAGACACCATGCCGGTTTCAATGTGACCGGACACGCAAAATCCAGATCCTGTTCCCTTAAATATATCGTTTATTGAGAAACGGAACGACTTATTTACAGGTCGTTCCGGGCATTTGAAATTGTCGATTACATTGACTAGAGTAGGTCCGGTATACCTATGAAATCACTTCATGAGAGAAAGAAATAAAACTTGCGCGAAAATTTAACATCGAAATGTCACGTTACCAGTTAGAGAGCTGCTCTTTCGGTTTCGTCACAATATTTTCTCCGGACAGACCGCTACAAGGTACAAAAGTAACTGTATCTTTAAAACCAGCTTGCTTCAAGAACACGCTCATTTTATCGACTATCTCGTTGAATCTGTCTTTAGACCAATTTACAGTATCCAACTTATTCACGACTACCGCCAGTTGCGATACTCCTGTTGGATATACCAAAAAAGTTCAGGATATAAATCAGGTTTATAAACAGTTTATAAACAGTCTTGTATAATTAGAACAGGAAAAAGCAATCTTGTATAATTAGAAAATTAGATTAAAGATGATCAGTCATGAGATAGATTACCTAAAGAACGTAGCAACAGTGCGTGTTCGCGCGTCTGCCCTCCACTATCGAATCCAGTTTCGAATTCGCCTCTGGTCGCGTCAACCACTAATAAAGCAACATCCGCTTGCGTAGCGCCAGTTATCATGTTCGGGATGAAATCCTTGTGGCCAGGTGCGTCCAGTAAAGTAATGGATTTCGTGTCTGTTTCGAACTTCGAGTGACCTATATCCATGGTTATTCCTCGCTCTCTATTAAAAATTATATCATAATGATGTAATTCTTCCGCAATGTTTTTTTTTTGTAAGAAAATGTATCATTAGTCACCTCTCCTCGCCAGTCTCATCGAGCACCCAAGCGTAAGCAAACGACTGCTTTCCTATTTTCTTGCTCTCCTGTTGATACTTGTGAATGAGTCTTTGCGGCACTTGGCCCAAGTCGCAGAGCAATCGTCCGAGCAACGTGCTCTTTCCGGCGTCAACGTGTCCAACGACCACCAGGTGAATCTGTTCCTTGCTTTCGCCTCTTTTGTTTTTGTATATTGCTTGCACGTCCACCTTCTCCTCACTTGATACGTTTGATTTCACTTTAGAGTCCAACTCTGGTGTTACGTGTCCCGATACCGGAGACTGACATCTCGGACTGTTCGTTTTCGACGAAAGTGTCTTCTTTTCCTTTTGTATGATATCTTCTCGGCGTTTAGTTTCAGGGCTGTTTCGATTGGACGACGGACTCTGGCAACGTGGACTCAGTAAATCCGCGTTCTCTACGCCACTTAAATCGAAGCCTTTTATAACGGGTTTCGTCCCGGCAGGTACTACTTTTACGGTAGAAGGTGTTGTAACTTGCAGCACAGGCTTGCTTGACGATAATTTGTTACCTAGTACGAAATTTATTTTCAGCCGTGTTACAATTATTCGCGCGTAAAAAAATACAATCAATACTGTCTATAATATGCGTTTACTATAAAATCCGACAATTATTTATATACATAAAAATGTAAAGCTTTTTGTACTTTGTCGATTTAATATATTCTTGCATGTAATTATTTATGCACAACACGTACAAATACGTTTCTCTGTTTGAACAAGTAAGTATTATCTCTCTGTTTGAACAAGTGAGTATTACTCTCAATGATTGGGACATAAAAAATAATACAAATAATATAATAAAAAAATAAAAGACAATTTAGTCGAATAAAGTGCTAGAATAATTTTCTTCTACAAAGATGTGATTGATCTTTCGAAAAAAGTTCTCAATTCTTCTAAGTAAAACTGTTACGTGATAATATTTTTTTTTGTTTTTTTTTTGTTTTTTTTTGTTTAGATAATAGACATTTCAATAAAATATTAAAATTGTGTTTAATTTAAACTACAGATTTTTTTTTATTTACACGCACGTACGTATGTTTATTTGTTAGATTTATTTTGTGCTTTGATAAGGAATAGAAAAGTCAAAAGGTTTGATTCGATGGTAACAGTGGTCAACAACCTTAAGAACTGGTTTTCTTGTCTTCCACTGTTTACACAAAGTTCTTCCGAATACGGAACCTGTCGTTTTTGTGTATGGAAGACGAGCGTGTTTCAAAGCAGATAAATTTAGAGTAACAGGTAACACATTTAGCATTGCGCCGCTGCTATCCTCAATATACTCCAAATTAGGCATGTCGTAAAACTTTTTCGAAATCGTCAAGTTCGAATTCTTGTTATTAGACTCGTTGTCAGCCAACAGTTTTACTTCCTTTAAAGCGGTACTCAAATCAACCGCGCAATTATCAGGTGATGCTACGTGAATGTTATTTACGTTCAGTGAATTTTCAAGTTGTCTGTCTGATTTTACATCTGCCAAGATATTGTTTCTAAGCAAGATGTGCATATTCGAAAAATCCTTGCGGAGTGAGTCCAATGATTTTTTGTCTGGAGCATTTGCCGTCACTTGAGTTTTTGTCTGAGGTGTTAACAGCCTCTTACTAGTCTCGTTATCGCGAGATTTTAGAAATTGTACACTTTCTGTTTTGTCGCTGTTATCTTTCTTGATTGAAAATTTTGGAATAACAAACTGCGAGCTCGACGACTGCTGTTTATCGAAAAGGTCGGTACTACGAGCCGAGAGATTAGATTTTTGTAAATAATGCGCCGTTAAGGCGTCTAAAGAATTGAAAGCTGGTGCATTGGTGGTAGTTGACGAAGTTAACTTTTTCGCATCTGGGCTTACAGACTTTGCATGAGAGGAAACAAGTTCAGCTAACGAAGAAACAGTATTAGATTGTTGTACGTCTTTAAAATTTTTGATATTACTCGTATGAGATATAGACGAGGAATCTTTAGACGACATGTGAGTTTTGTTAAAAGAAAATCTGGGTATTGTAAACATAGACTTATTAGGCTTATCAAGTGAAACACCTTACCTTACCGACGAAGTCCAATGTAGCAAAGAGAACATGAAAAAGAAACAAAAGCACGAAATCATTAAAATATCTCAGATTTTTCACAACATTGAGTTGCAAAATAACGTTAAAATCATAATAAATGATAATTTTATCTAATACATACCTGGGTGCCGTTCCAAACGTTCTTTACTTATTGATGCATCTGTAAATATATGTAGTTAAGATAATTTTATCTAAAGATGGTTTTCAGATTTGAACCACATTAGTGTTATGTTTACTTTATCAAGATTCAAGAGCAGCCTGATCAAGTAAACTGAAATGTCCACAAAACTTCAGCATAAAAATGACACTAATGCGGTTTAAAACCAAAAACCATTTTCAAGAATTTTTATGACATACTGCAAAAGCATCAAATATCAAAATTTTATCTCTACCAGAATTTACATAAGTTACTCTAACAGATTAAACATACCAGTGGTATTTTTTGGCGAGGATTCCTTCAGAATAGTATCAAGTGCCACTTCAGCATTAAAATTTGATCTGATAATTGTTTCTCTCAGCTTTGATTCAGACACAGTATCACCTATCACATTTCTGATAGTTTCCATACAGGATATTAGTTTTGCTCTTTCCAACTCAGAAAGATCAAACTTCTCATTGGACGATGGCGAAGGCTCATCAACATCTTCATTATCTTCCACTATGTCTGGTTCTGTGATAAATGATGCAATATTCTGTTGTTTGCTCCGATCAAACAAGAACTGCTCCGCTACATACACATACAAATTCACATTAATTATTATACAAATATATTTTATTAATAACATAAAAGAGATTTCCATACACAATTTGTAACAAGAACATACCACTAGGCGACACGCAATAATCATCTTCCACTGAATGTCCATAAACGTCATCGTAGCCGTCATACTCTGCACAAAAGTTTTTACAATACAACATATATAATATAAACACAAGTTTTATTTTGCAGAAACATACATACTCAGGTATTGACACATTTTAATGTCTTAATAAAATATATAAAAGAATGCACAACTTTTATATCGTGAATAATTAAATAGAAACAAAACAGAATAGATTTTATGTGATATTTAATACGCTTCAAATTGTAAATCGGACTATGACAGGGTAAAAAATATTGATTAAAACTAAATTGAAGGTTAAAAACAAATATTGTCATATTTTATACACACATATCAGTACAACCACGACTACAAAAAGAGTAAAAGAGAATAATGATCAAGAGTTTACTCTGTAAAAAATCAACGATTTAAAAAAACGAAGCCTATAAATATATATAAAAAAAACGCGTGCCAAACTTATAATCGCATTCCTTACCATCTGAGTAATTCATACAGCGAACGTCTCGATGTCGCGACATGTTGAATATGTGTGACGTGAAAATTTTACGAAAAAAATTTATTTATTAACTTCCATCTAGATCCGAGTACAAACTATCAAATTATAAATTATAAACAGCTGCGACGATCGTTTACACCATGATGTTGCACATGATTACACTTAGTTACAATATGACCGCCGTTGATGATGCACGTTGGCGTTGCGTTGACATTATTTGCGCACAGTAGAGGTCTCTGTTCAAACAATACTAATGTTTTAAATATGCGCGCGCTCATTGTATAAATAACTGCAATACAGACATTAAAACTATATATATATGTATATTAACTTAGTTAATGTAGAAATATATAAATATATTTAAAATGCGTACAGATATTTACTCATAAATATATTTTTTATAACTGTATGTAAATTTGTACGTAACATAAATGTATTTTCCAACTATATTTATTTATTTTAAACTAATTCATGAAAAGGACAAATGTTGTAAGGTAAGTGACTAATATTCTTCTGTAAAATTTATACTATATACAGAATCCATAAATAAGTAGCGTGAACGCACACGCATAGATCAGCGAGGAATAAAACTGTAATAAAATTTACAGAGGCGATGAAAAAACATTTTGTATTTATATATAAATGTCTCCCCTGAATTGAAGATCACGGATCTGAAATCCAGAAAAACACATCTTACGTTAATTTTATATATATATAAGTTCTTTTTAAAAATATAATACATTTCAATGTATAGCAGTAAGCGCAGAAGAAAGAAGGGAATAAATCACATCGGTAATGCTGCTGAAAAGTAATTTTTTATTGTTTGCGATAAGAGAGAAGCATGATTATATCAAGCTGAAAACACACGTATTAACATGTCACTGCCAGAGCGGAAGAATGCAATAAGCATGAGCTATATGTGCAAAGCTTGTAAGCATAAGCGCAAAGCGTTTAAACACATGACACATTCACTTAAATTTACCCAGATAATAACTCTTCAAATACTGCTCCGCATGAAGTATTTCCTCACACGGATGTTCGTCCACTTCTTTGTACAATATATCGAGAACAGCTTTTACCGCCTCGATGTCGTACATGTTCTCGAGCAATCTCTTTCTGAAGGGCTTCAACTTCTCGACAAGCTGCTTGTTTTTGGAGATAGAACCGACGTGATCTCGCAGAACCTCGTTGTACGTTGGCCAGTTGTTCTCGCAAGCCGGACAGTCGCAATCGAAGAAGTAATCCTGCAATATCTTTTGCTTCCGTTCGTCACGAGGCATGTGCGCGTACACGCCCCCGTAACTCGTGAATACCTGATCGCCGGGTCGTATGGGCGTTAGTGCGCGCGTGATCATCGTGAGCCCTTCGAAGTGTCGAAACGTATTCGGCGCGCAAGAATGATTGTACAAACTGTGAGCCACGTACAAGCCCGAGCCCGATATAATCCCAGGTTCTTGTTGTATCTGCGAAGTAATTTGTAATTTTTTATTCAATTAAGTTTTCTTTTAGCGCACATAAAAACAAACAAGACCGCACAACTACCGAAAAACAATTAGAAGACATTATCACGCAGGCACGGAACATTATGCTGGCGCAAAACTTGAGCTCGGAAAATTTGCTGATATCCTTCAGATCGTCCATTTCGTACTTTATGGAAAAGAATCTCGTTTGCGTGGCCAAAAGTATCACCGCGAGAGCCGAGATGCAAGCAAACGCGCTGATTCCAATTAGCGGTCTCGTGGTCATGTTGGTCGCCAGACTCAGCGCGGATCGCGCGCTAAAACTATCTAATATCCCGGTGTCCGTAAATCCCGCTGTTCTACTGTCTGTAATAAAACAAGAATTGTCGTTAAACATTTTACGACAGAGATGTTTCTGAGTTTTTGTTTTTAGCATTGCAGATTATAAATTATATGGATACCTGGATTAGATTCCGCGATTTTCATATCTTCCTGCAACTCTTTCAGTTTTGTCCCATTTTCAGTCACCACTATCAACAGTCGTATAATCTTCGAGATCATTCGTATTTTATCTTTGTCGACATTAAGCAAGTTGGTCAACAGCTTCAGAATCGGACATTCTGTTTCATGACACACTTTCCACGCCAATTGTCTGCATTTTTCCGAACAGTACTGAGCTATCGGACACTTCGGACAGGGAATTAAATTGTAGCTTCTGGATAGACAGTAGTGACAGTGTGTGTAATACCTGTGCGTGGAAAAAAAAAAAAATATTATAAATTACTTTTACTAATTGCTTTTCTCATTTGTGAATATTAATATACATATGTAACATTTTAATTTTTTGTGAATAAGTAATTAATCTCTCACCGTTCTTCGTAAATAACATGCGCGTACGGATCCTCGATACTGACTATATCGCCAGGTTTAAACTCTCGCGTCGCCACGTAGTGTCTTCCGTATCTTTCGGAAAAAGATATCGCGATACCGTCGCTGACGGCGGGTGCTTCCTCACTCGCGCCGTATGTTACCTTAGAAAAATCGTCGTTCTGCAAGTATCTCGGCTTTTGCGGCGGAACTTTTGTCGTGTAATAAAGATAATCTTCGTGCGCTGTCCCGTCTTGCTTCTTCAAAACATTTGTTTCCTGATCTTTTTCCGTTGTTCGTCCATTTTGTTCCTTCGCGTTTTGCAACTTCGCGGTAAACTTTTCTTCGCAAAGACGCAGCTCGTCCGCGAGTTTTCGATCGTCGATATTCTCCGAATCATCATCCATTTGCAACAGTTTCTTTATTTCCATTATCGCTTTGTCTCCCCGTTCTTTCAAATTCTTTTGTTTCTCTTTCGGATATCCGTGAGACACGGCCGCGTCAATGTCTATCAAACATTCCTTGTACAATTGTTTTCTGTACAAAGCGGCGGATCGGTTTGCATGCGCGTACGCCATGAGCTCATCGCTGTCGGCATACGCCAAGCTTAGAGTATAGCACTCGATAGCTTCCAGATCATCGCCCATCACGAAATGCTGATTGCCTGAATTTTTTTTTGCGATTAAAAATCATTTAAACATTGTCACACAAAACAATATACGTCGTAAAAAATTACGAGCACATATGTTTATATAAATTTTCACGCGCGTGCACCTTCTTCTTTGTATCTGATGGAATCTTCTTCATTTTTCGTTACAGCATGAAGAGGAGGCATTTGAGATCTGACCATGTTTTGCAGAATATGGCCCACGAGAGCTTCGCATTCTTTTTGCAATCCGTATCCGACATGCGATTTGTTGTTCTCCTTGAGGGTCAAGACAAGCTCCTTTGCTATTTCCATTTTGTGCGTAAATTCTTAGTATATACTGCACATCAAATTGATTTTTTAGTTTTTTTTTTTTATATACTTAAAGTTTTAAACCTGTGTCATGTGCAATATGTATGATACACGCATAAAAGCTTGCATTTTAATAAAAAAAAAAAAAGATATACAGTTTAAAAAAAATAAAGTTTAGGTATATACAAAAACTAAGACTAAAATCTTGAAAAACTTTCTGTAAAACGTTACGTTTTATACTTACCCTTGTGATATTGCGTTTTTTCTTTTTTATATCATTAAAAGTGTTTTTTACTCACTAACTGCTTGAAATTTTTTTATTCCCAAATGCTGTAATAATTATTGCTATTAACTTGCAACACGATGCGAACTTCTTTAGACAGCAACCAAATAAGCTATGATAGAACATGTAGTGAGAACATTGAAGCTGGTAGGTGAAACTAAATTTACCTCAAGAGCCAGATGACAAAAAAAGACTACTCTATGTCAGAATTACTCAAGCATTCAATGCATGTGAAACAACTAATTATATACGTAAGAAATTAACGTACAATTCTTAAACGTGCAAAATATTGCAGATGTAATTAAAATACATAAAGCTGCTATTATGCACTTAAAAAATATAAGTTTTTAGTAGATACAATTATAAAACACCATGTATCTCCTCTCTGAATAGCTGAATTGAATTAAATTAAAATAAATAATTTAATAACGTTGTTTCTCTGTGAAGATATATATGTATATAAAATATTTTATGTTTACTTATATATTTATTTATGTATAATCACAGCAGTATGTATTACGAAATTAAATTCACGTTGCAATTATTATATTATTACTAAGTTTTACTTAATTATTATAAAACAAGTTTTTTTCAAAAATGTTTACGTTAATAAATTTCCAGAGTTCTATTAGCAAAACATACAATAAAATAAAAATTTTTTGAACAACATTGTGCTTCCAATCATTGGTGTACCACTAATGAGAGCAAATTGGCAAATATCCAAATTTTAGTTCCATCCTATGCAATATTTAGCCTGTGTTACTCTATCTTTAGGCTCAGTTTCACTGGATAATTTTAGTCAATTAGCATTACAATTTCGCAGTTCTATCACAAATTATTTATACAAAATTTATCAAATTTGAAGATTATTAATAAAATATCAACAAATTAATTAACATAACTATGTGTAACATAAGTGTTAATTGTTTGTTAACTTTTACTTACGTTTTATTACAAACATACTTCCATCTTATTTACAAGTACAGTTATGTAAAACAGTATGTGTGATATATTTATTTTATTAAGTTTTATCACTACACTGAACAATATCTTTGTGTAAGTAAAAAGAACAATATTTTTAAATATATAAATTGCAGAAAATCTGCTTTAATGTTATTATACACAAATAGGTCTGTTATGCCTCTGTAGAAAAAATATTTTTCAACCTTCTTGAAATACAATTAAAAATACTTAAATATAAAAAATGAAAACTTTCATTGATTTATTTTCTCATATATAAAATTAAACTAATGAACTTGTGCATTATTAAAGTAATGTGTTAACAGATATTTTATAATAATACATTTTTAAAGTTATTTAAATGATAAAACAGTATTATTCGTGAAAAAAATAACTCAATCATCTTCTGATTCTAAATTTATACGATTACCGAATTTTGCATATAATTGCGTTTTTAATTCACTCATAATAGTCCTCAAATCTGCACATTTTGTTTCCAAACTGACAATCTCTGCTTTTTTCTTAGTCTTAGCTTCCTCCAAACAATTCTAAGAGAACAATCATCAGTTTGATTTATATAATAACTGATAAAATGTAAAAAGACAGTAATTTTTTCTTAAACTGAGCAATATAACATTCTTGACAGTGAGACACATTTGATTTACCTGTGTTTTTTCAAGGGATTGATAAACAAATACTTCTCCTACGTAATAAGGTATTTTTTCGTCATCATCCATTAGCTCTAATTCATCTGAAGCATCTTCCAAGTTCTTTAATTCATTCTGTACATTGTAAATATGAGTACTTATACATATGTAAGTATATAATGTAAATATTTTACGCAAACTAAAATGTGTGTGTGTGTGTATAATGCAATGAGAAACAAATATTTCACAAGTGGTCCTTTTGTTCAAAAATTACCTGCTTAAGTTTAAGCTCTTCTTTATAATCTTCTAGCTTAGCATTTTGTCTTGCAAATTTATTAATCGTTTGTTGCTCTTCGTAAGTAATATCAACGTCAGAATCCTTCAATGAAAAGGAGACATTGTAAATACATATAAAATATCTGAGTTTTAAATATTTTACATTGATAATAATTACCGGTTGAAATCCAGTTTGACTGTTTTTTCCTCCAGCCATTATATATTTATGTTTAATTACGCTTGTACGGTAATTAAAGTTTTACTTGTAAATTCTGCGATTCAAAACGCGTGAAATGAGGAGGTTAATTTAAGGTGATCACACACAGAACTCTTTCTAACGCCGATTTATTATCGCCGAATAAAAGATGATAAAACGTAAACCGTGATTGGTCAACTCGACTACTATCGATTTTGTATTGGTCAATTCCAATGAACTACATTTAAATGTGCAGTGCTTTCATAAACCAGCTGCCAGTATTGAAGACCATCTATAGCACATGTGACGTGAAGTATAGATTTCTAGTACTGGCAGTGAATATCGGAACGCGGCCGTTGTGAACAAGTTATTTGACGCGTAGAATATATATACATGTTTTGCATGTAGCTTATTTACTTTAAGTAATAAAAGTTGTTGATAGAACGAAAAAAAGTATAGAGATTAATCAATCGCAAATAAACAAATGATTCCGTTTCAATTTTTGATCTCTTTTGGTTCACATGATATTTTTTTAAATAGATTAATTACTATAACTGGTTGATTTCTCACTATTATTCTTTTTCGTTCATAAATATAGAGACGAAAAAAACATCTTATAGAAATGTAAAATTATTGAACTCTTTTTTTTTGTAATATACAATCTGATACATATACAATAATTAGGTGATGATTGTTACACATCGCAATTATTTAAGTTTTCTATTAAGAAATCTATATTCTTCTGGATTGAAAGGTTTCGCAGGTCCAAGTTCAAGAGCCTTTTGTAGCTTTTTCTGTAACATATAGTCTCTGGTTGCTTTTAATTTCCTACTTGGTACATGAGAACTCAACGCTTTCTTCCAATCTTTTGTATGTCTCACGTCCAATAATATTGACATCATCTGATTAAGAGTGAAACTTTTTGTTGAACCGGTACCCCACTCAAGATATTTTTCTAATGGTAATTTGGCCATGCGAATACCTTCCTTTTTAGCTTTTGCCAGAGAGTGAGGTTTTGGACTAGTCTATAAACAGGCAGAAGAGACAAAATAAAGATACGCAGATGTATATTATATGCAAAAGATAAAATTTTTCAACTTACCTTGTCAACCATCGCACCGATGATATATATTGCTTCGGGATCAAATTCTTCTAAATCATTCCTACAGTGTGGAGTAAGATACACCAACTTCTCTTTTGGAAACAGATCTAAGTAAGATTGTGTCGTTATAACAGCTGGAAAATCAACATCGTCCGCAATAGGCAATTGTCTGTAGAAATTCTGTCCGAGAAATCCATCTTTGTTGAAATTACAGAAGTAAAGAAACATGGGATTTTCATGAGTACGATTGTTGGAAAATGCCATAATCAATTGTCGCACGCAATACTGAATCTCAAATATTGTCATATGTTCCTCATAGCTACAATCAAACACAATTTTTGGTTCATACATCATAGCATGTAGAATGACTCTACCGTTATAAAAGTTATTCATCGTTGATTCATATATGCGCATAAATATTGTGTTATGCCCGAGTCCGTATTTCATTTCATTGGTATCTTCTTCGGCCTCTTTTTTTTCTAGCTCTGCTTTTTTGACAAGCCACTCAGCCTTTTTTGCCTCTTTCTTTGCTGCTTTATTTTCCCTTGTTTTCTCATTATGCCACAAGAAGTGCAAGTACTTTCTGCACAATAAAGAGATACATTTCAATCGAAAGATTAACAGACGCTTAAAATTAAGAAACTAATTTTTAATAATTTAAAAAAGAAGGAAAATGAAACACTTACTTTCTTTGCGACCTGGTTTCTAACTTAAATAGTACCAACCACTCTCTTGGAGCGATGGTACCATTAGGAACCTTTTCGGCATTGTGTCGCAACACGTCTATTTCTAATTCTATTATTTGAGCTAACTTTTTGTTCTCGGGATCGGACAGAAATTCGTCCAGTTTGCGCTGTGCGTCTTCTTTTGAATACGCTTGAACAAGTTCCTTCTTGACAACATTTTGTACGCCACCACACATGCATCGTCTGCACGCAGCACCGGTCCACGAAGTGTTTACACGAAAGTTCTTTGCACGTTCCAACAAAATTTTTTCATAGTTCGATTGTGTCGCAAATCTTCTGTGAATTTGTACCGATACAATCAGACATTGTCTTATGCGATTATACATTTTACAATTGTTTTTTCGAACAGTTTCAAAACTAGCAAAACCAACACACGTGCATGTTTCCACAAGTTCTTACACGTATACTAGGTCTGTTCTTTTTTTCTGCACCAGACAGCACTGCTGGCAGTGCTGGCACTGAAGATGCGATCTCTAATATTTCGCGTAATATATATAGTATAATATAGTAAATATAGTACATATATAGTATAACCAATCACATCTTTCCATTCTCACAGATATTTCAACAAAAATATTAAACGTCGCAATTTATTGGTTACGCAAGAAATAGAAGCCATGAGATCGCACCCTAAGAACAAATTTAGGAATTGATACGAGCTGCGTTCGAGCTGTTCTATCAGCGCTATTGCATCGTTCTCTCTTTGTTGCAGCCGTGATTTAGTGTGTTATGTAATAAATGTCTCTTTACTAGTTATAAGTTTCTCACTTGCCGTTCGCAACGCTCGTGAAATCATTTCGTTCTTGTTTTTTTTTTTTTTTATAGAAAGTTAAACAAAGATAGAGCAACGTTCACGAGCGTTGCAAACGGCAACTGGAACTTATCCTTTACCAACTCTCTCTCGATCACTACTTTACTCATGGAGGAAGTTGCGTTATCTTTTTCCTAAGAGAAGTTCGATTGGCTGTTGCGAGAATCACGTAGTACTCTTGATTGACGCCATGGCGTGCCGCTCGTTGAGCAAGAAGCAGTAGACTCGAGCAAGTCCCATTATTCAGAAACTTCGAAAGGAGGAACCGCCATTTCTACGCGCCATCTGGCACGAGCAACGATAAAGCATCGAATGTTAGGTCGCAAATCCAGAGTTTCCTATCGTCAAAAAACGTTTATTATCGGTCTCATCCGTTTACGACGAGTCGTCTGGTGTGAACGCACATTCCCATCTTCAATGCTCTAGGTTAGTATGCATTCTCCGTTGCTTTACATTTTACGGACGAATCTGACGAATTTAACCTTTATGGCGTATGGCCTATTGATGGGCTCACACTAGCCATTTACAATACTAGACCAAATTGAATTTAACTCTCGATTCTGACTTCTCAGTTCCACCATTTCATGGAACATTTGTGATGTCGCTTGTAGTCTCCCTTCTTTCAGTTTTTTGACTGATGGAATTGATCTGATGTTCAAATTCAATTTCGAAAGAACTGTCTTACCATTTTGCTATCTGTATTAAAAATATAGATACATAAGTGTATATACGTATACACGTACATGTTATATACGTACATATACACATATATATGTCATAAAAATTTCTTTTTCACATGCACACACTCACATACACCCGTATTATATATACATATATACACATATAGAGAATGTTGAATTAAAAAAATATTAACTACTTTGAAATTTCTGATAAATTTTAAGAAAATATTAAAACCAATGCTCTTACTGAGATTTTTCATTTGTATGAAATATGAAAGATGTTTTATAAAAAATTAATGATTTTTATGAATTTTTAACAGGTGCCTTAGATTTCAAAATAAGGAGATGTCTTTCTCTGATATTCCTGCAAAAAACTAGAATGTAAAACAGATTGAAGTTGCAACCAATATCGAATAGAGAAAGAAAATGTTTTCTTCTACAAGCAGTAGATGCGATCACAATTACAGTGGGGTGGAGCCTTCTCTACTCGCAAGCAATAGCGATGATGCTTCTAGTAATATCCACAGAAAGAATATTTTTAAAGTCAAAGATGTTCTAGAAGTTGTTAAGAAAGAGAAACTATACATTGTGTTCTTTTACAGAGACAAGTACAGAATCCCAAAAGTCATCAGTCTCATTTATAAGGGATGACAATGACATTTGCCAACAGAACATGTTGCCTATTTCAGAAAAGACACGTCAAGCACTAACAAAATATTGTCGTACGTGTGCTGGTATAAAAATGCCCTTGGTATGAAATTTTTTGTTTTTAATTTTAGTCTATTTTATTTATCAAATAGGATCATAATTTATATGCAATTTAAAATTAACAAAAAACAACATAGATTGTTACATAATTTTGATAACTTGGTAAATCTGATAATCTGAAAATGTTTTGTATTTTAGATTGATATTTTTAGCAAGAAGGGTATGGAAATGCGACTAAGTCAACAAATTAAACATCTATATGAGATCAATCGTAATAGTCTCTCAACACAAATGTGTATAGATTGCATCTACGATCTTAAAATGAGTTACAAATTTTTCACGCAAATCAAAAAAGCTGAGAGAAAACTCGCGTTTATCCATAATAATTTGAGCAAGGAATTTTTGGATAAAGAATCTTATTCAAAACATCAGGAAAAACAATCATGTTATATAGGTAACATTTATGATTATACTCACATGTTTTGTATCTTCTTTTTTAAAGATGCTATTGAAATGTGATGTTCTGCACATAAATAAAAATACAATTTTTAGAATTTCTTTAAAACATATATTAGTTTTCGTTAATCTTTGTTTTGTAACTTACAGATTGATTTCGAAAATATAATAATATGTATAAACTTTAATTTTTTTAACAGAAAAAGAGGTACCATCTTATAAGTATCAGAAAGATTCTTTCGTCCCGGAAACACAGAGTCGCCAATCGTTTACAATACAACAAAACTTCCAAACCTCAACAACTTCTAAAAATGAAGAAGAAAGCGAGTCTGTTTCCAAAACTATCGTTAAGATAGTTCCACTGCAAAATGAGCCGGAAAATGATTCTAGAGTGAAAGAAGACAATCAGGTGAATAAGGATATCGAAGTGACTAAGGAGGACGATGAGGATTCTATCGTGGAATTTGATCCCGAAGATCAGTCTACACAGGAAAATGAAGAAGTGCAAATATCTTCAAATTCCTCTGTCACAATTTACACATACGACACAGCAGCTGAATCCTATGTGATGGTGGAAAATGATAAGGAAACGAAAACTTCCTTAACACCCGAGGTCTCTCAGATCGTAACGAATGAGGAAGAAAAGCAAAAAGAGGAAACAAGACAGCCGAATATTCTGAAAAGAAGATTACTAATGCCTTCTACGAAGAAAGAAGAGGCGGAAGACGCAGCACAGAATGGAGCAGAAGATTCTTCACAGGATGCTCCACAGGAATGTAAAATACAAAAATTAGACTTAAGTAATCCGTTGAATGTGAATGTTGTTCCGAATGAGGACGGGATTATGTACATGACTATGAAAGGATCAGCAAACAGCACTCTATTGATGAAGGTAAGTGAAAAAAATAAAAATGTAAAATGCCTTACAATTTAAACATTTTTTCTGTCTTTTATTTACATAATTTAGTGCATTGTATCGTAGAAAAAATCACAATTTTATATTTTTGCTATCTTTAGGTTAAAAAAGTGGATAAACCTAAAGCGGAACCAAAACGTTTCCTTATACGCTATGGTCAAGCAGGAACATCTCAACGCACTGATTCTCGCGAACAAAAAATTGAGGAACAAATTGAAGAGTATAAAAAGAAACGAGAAAAAGTTCTCGGTAATCAGTCAACAGCCACTTTAATAGCAAACGCAAAAGAAGTTCAACCACAAAAGGAAGTTTTGACTCAAAAGGAAGTTCCAACGCAAAAGGAAGTTTCGACGCAAAAAGAAGTTTCGACGCAAAAAGAAGTTCCGACGCAAAAAGAAATTCCAACGCAAAAAGAAGTTCCAATGCAAAAAAAAGTTCCAACGCAGGAAGAAGTTCCTGTCCAAGTCAAGCTTGAAAGCATAGAAATATCGGATGACGATAAAGCAGAAGAGACTGAGAAAACGGACGAAGATCAGGAGAGAGTAGATGGCAACACCGATGAATATGCTTCGAGATTATCGAAATTGAAACAGAAGTGGGAAGAGGCAAGACGAAAGAAAATAAGTTTGCAAAAGAAAGACTTGAATGAGTCGTATAGCGAAGAAAATTTAGAGAGATTGGCCAAGGTTTTAGGAAGTAACAATACGAACTTGAAGGTAATTGAAATTTTGTTATATATTTTCTGAAGAATTTCTCTTTTTCTTTCTCATTCGGAAGCTTGACCTTTTGTCTTCTATCATATATTTATAATATTCTTAATTCTTTTTTTTAATTAAATATTTTTTATGTTTATTTGCTTCTTTAATGTTTTATATTTCAGGAGTTTCTGGATTATCTAAAGCAACGAAAGATTGTACTTACACGTCTCAAGGATGAAGATATAATTTCTCTCTACGAAGATCGTTTTTCTATAAAATCAATTGTTAAACCCCTTCCGGACCTTATTGATACTCAGCCACCGAGTGATGCTCTTCCCGAAGAAAATTATTTTGATTGCGATTATTGTCCGAAAACTTTTCCTACGTGTGAAAAACTTGAGGAACATCTCAAGTCGCACGATTATCACATTCTTCATTATTGTGAGGACTGCGGGGAAGAGTTTTCGACGCAGAAAGCAAAGAGATGTCATAGTGTCATATGTGTGAAAAAGTTGATTTGCCAATATTGCGACATTATTTTTGAAGGCAAAGGGAAAAAGCGTCAACATGAGCAAAAACATATTGATGATCTTTACGGTCAACTGTGCGAGTTCTGTGGAGAAAAATTCAAACACCAGGGCACATTGGATCAGCACGTTAAAACTCGTCACACGATCTTAGAGAAAACCATACAATGTCCGAAATGCCCGAAAAAATTTACGATGAAGCAAAAATTGAGCTTTCACATAAAATCTGTTCACACAACTTCGAGAGCGTATCTTTGTGAAGACTGCGGAGCAGATTTTAAGAATCCTGCCAGTTTGAGACATCATAGAATCAGAAAACATCAATTGGTTGGAAACAAGAGAGAATGTCCAGTTTGTAGAAAAGTAGTGCCTTTTTATGGTTTGTCTAAACACATGCATACACACAAGGCTTACAGTATTCAATGTCCGCACTGCGACAAAATGTTCAAAAACACCTCGACTTTGAAGCAACACGTGAGAATTCACGAAGATCAAAGGCAATATCGTTGCGATACCTGCGGAGTTGGTTTTAATCGAAGAGACGGTTTAAGACTGCACATGAAAGTGCATGAAAAATCGGGCAGCAGAGGTTTGAAAGAGTGTTCCTGCCAAATTTGTGGAGAGAAGTTCCCAAATCACTCGACTTTGGTGATTCACAGAAACCGAGTACACAAGGATGGGAGACAGTATACCTGTCACATTTGCAACAGATCAATGATCTCGTCGAGATCGCTTGAATGGCACATGGCACATATTCATCATCAGTCAATGCCGGGTAATATGTGTTTGATGTTATTAAATAATAACGTATAAAGTTACATCTCTTTTATCTACATAACAATAATAATTTTCTCTCAAGTATTGTGTCATGTTAACAGTAACTTGGAAACTTCTTTTACAAAAACATTTTTGTTACAGGCTCCACTAACGAATCCGAACAACGAGTATCTTGCTATCAATGCAATAAAACATTCAAAACGGAAATGATCTTACGAACGCACATCAAGAACACACACATAATCAAAGACCCAGTAAAATGTCCCGATTGCGATCTCATGTTCAAGTCTGAAGTGCGTTTACGCCATCACATGATGGTCGCGCACAACCGTTTGGAAGGCACTTTACTATGTCCTCATTGTCCGAAACGTTTCGTCAACCAATTGAGACTCAAGACTCATATGATTTCGCATTCTGAAGAAAGACCGTACACTTGCGAGATTTGTGGTTTTAATCTCAAGACGAAGATTCAACTGATCAAACATCATCAGAATCGACACAGTGATGAAAGACCACTACAATGCAGGTATAAGAGAGAATTTTATATTGAAAACTTATAAATTATGTTTGCAAACATATATCGAGAAAAAACTCGAAAATATCTATATTATTAATTACTCAACTTTTCAGGTACTGCACTTGGCGATGCAAGCAAGTAAGCGCTCTCGTCTGTCACGAGCGTACGCATACCAATGAACGTCCATACTCGTGTAGTGTGTGCCGGCAGCGCTTCAAATATCTAGGTGACAAAAACAAACATGAGCGGCGTCACGAAAGCCTTGGTGGTTCTGGATTCAAACGTATTGTGCCAGTGAGAACTGTTAAAGCGAAAGAACAACGTACTGACGATTCTTCCATATCTGAGCAAGACCAAGGTTCTCAGGACTCCATAGTTACCCAAGATACTCAAAAATTATATGAAGGGCAACAGACACAGGATATCAACAGAAAACAGGTCGAATTGAAGCATGAAATTGATATCGAGACTGCTGAAGGTTATGAACAGGTACGAATATTTCACGAACAGCATTGTTAATCATATAATAATTTTTTTTATAAATGATTTATATAAAATAAATAATATGGGTATATTAAATTGCATTTTTACGACTGTGTTTCGAATTTGTCACTTTTCTAGAAATACGAGGAAAGCTCGAGAGAAACGTCGGAAGCTACAGAATTAATAATGAACATGGAAGATTCTAATGTATATACGGAGGAAGTAACAGCTGATAGTATAGAGTCCAACGTGGAGATTATAACGGACGAGATAATGACGAATGACATTTTGCAGTCGGGTACTACAGCTGTGGTACATCTGCAAGAAGACGATACAGGGAAGATTCAAGTGATACCTGTGATGCTTGATCTGTCTGATGCAAACACTGAGGTCGCTCTTCCAACTACGTCTATTATGTACAATAATTAAATTAAAATTATTTTAAACTACATTAATTTTTTTTTTATGAACTGACTGTGTGCTCGTAACAGAATTTTAGTATTAAAATTTTATTATTAATTCTGCTTAAGATATCACATAAACTCCTGAAAGTTGGAAAAAGATACGGAGAAAATAGCAAAAGCGCTTGTATAAAATAGAATAGCGACCGACATAAATTATAAGCAGATTGCGGCGAACCAGGTAGCGCGGCCGGGAAAAGATGCAAAAAATAAGTCGAAAATGTAGAAAAAATTTGTTTTGTGCTTTGCACAAGACTAAAAACCACTTCTTTTCCGGTCGTATCATACCGTCCTGCTGCACCTTGTATAAAAGTATTTTGTATAAATTAGTGAAATAGCGTATGCGTATAATTCTCCGCGTGGAGAATTATACGCATGTATGTGCGTGTGTATGTGTATTTGTCTATGTATATTCTTCTTTGAAGTTTATTAAATAAGTAATTTCGTATATTGAACACAATTAAACAAAGTGAACAGTTGAGACATTGCTTTGTGCTCATTTTCTGTGATTGGCCTATTGAGCTAGACCTATTGCAGATGTATATAGGCATTATCATTCGATCTTCGTAAAAATTATACATAGTTTGTATAATAAACTACAATTTGATTATTTTCTGCACTTTTTCTCACTCATTTCTTCTACAGATTAAGATTAGACTTAACAGAGTGTCTGCCTGCAAAAATCAATAAAATTTGAATTCTTGGAAAATTTTCTATTTAAAAAAATTATATATATAATT